TGAAGCAGCTTGATTCAAGAGAAAATTTCAGACCTGCAGAGATGGAACGATATATGATCACATTGAATAAAATGCTCAAAGAAAAGGAAATATAAGATCTGCAGAGGATGGATGTATCAATTTAATATTAATCATATACATATACATTGGGTATTTGGTTTTTGTTTTAATAAAAGCTGGGAAGAAGAATTTTAAGAATTCAACTTTAGATTCTGAAATATCAATAGTTCTTCTTTTTGACTTTTATGATTTGTGGAAAATACATGTAGTATATATCAAATGATAAATTCATATTTCATATTTTTACACTTTATATTGGACCTTTAAAACAAACAAAGAAATGTGTATTAGCAGAGCTACAATAACCAATCAAAGTACTAGAAGTGTCAAAGCCCTATAACCAATTTGTTTATTAATTATTTATCAGGAATTTTCACAATACGTACAACCACATCCGGATTCCTACTTGCGATGATGAATTTTCCTGACATTCAAAGTAAGCTCCATGAGGAAATTGATAGTGTGATTGGCAAAGAACAGCTTCCGGAGCTATCAGATCGTGAGAAGATGCCATATATGGAAGCAACAATTCTTGAAACACTGCGTTACATGTCGATGATCACAACACTCTTACATAAAACTACTTGTGATACCCATATAGCTGGTTGTGATCTCCCAAAGAATACACAGGTAAATACATTCATGTCTATTTTGATTATTTTTCATATACAGTACATTGTATTGTTCATTTAATTTTGTTTAATTTGTCATCTGCTTTAATCAGGCATTTATGAAAAATTCACCAAACCCTGCCAAAATCTGATTTAATATAAATCTGATTAAGTCTAATACTTAAATATTTACCAACCAAATTTAAATGCAATCTTCTGGCATCTTTTAGTTTGGTAAAACATGATACACAATAATAAATATCCCACTCTAAAAAGCAAAATGGCTGTAATGTTATTTACAAAGCATGCCAAAACTTATCATGTATAATTTTCTAATTGAACTAATAAGCAGTTTTCCAGGCAGTTGATAATGTAACAACTAAGTTACTACAGTACAGATGTAAAGTTTGTAAAAACACAACAAAAAATAAGGCATTAACATGACAAAATGTTACCACTTGCCATCTGTGACAGACACCGACTGCAAAAAACAGATGCAAACTGCCAAAAACCATCCACAAAAAGTTGGAGACTATAACAATTTGCCACCACTGCTGGTGGGGACATCAATACCAAAAAACAGAGATGATTGCGTCAATTTCATTCAATGAATCACAAAATCAAGTTTCTCATATTTTACACAGGTATCATGGTTGCCTGAATAATCATTCATGTTCACTTATCCAACCTGATTATAAAGACTTTATAACAAAATGGATAAACTTCCATGTGGGGAATTTAAAATTTCATCATTTCACCAACAAAGGGGTTCATTTGTATCAAAAAATTTTACCCATATGTTAATAGTAACATCTGGTTACTGAAAAGTTAGTCACTCATGAGCAAGTATATCCAGTAGCTCCAATAATCAAGCAAGAATTCCTCACTTCAGCATTCAGCAACCAGGATGTTATCTGGTGAATTTTATAGTCTTGGTTGCATTGTGTTTATGTCCTATAGTGTTCAATTGCTCAACTAGACTCAATAGGGAAAAAGGTCTAAATAACTGTTGCCCATAAGCAACTTAAATAAAATACATTGTCTTACACTAGGTTTGGATGAACTTATATGGCATGCACCATGATAAACGTTACTTCAAACACAACCCAGATTCTTTTGATCCTTCACGATTCCTGGACTCTGATGGCCATCTAGTTCCACATGAGGAAACAAAAGCGTAAGTCAAATTATAATCTAAATTATGTAGATATCTAGATATGGGCCATGATAAGCATTGCTTCAAAGACAACCCAGATTCTTTTGATCCTACAAGATTCCTGGACTCTAATGGCAATCTATTTCTGCATGAGGAAAGAAAAGCGTGAGTTGGATTCTGACCTAAACTATAGATGAATAAACACAAGGAGCACATGGGTTTCGGACTCGCAACCTCGTGGTTACTGCGCCAAATCGCCTAGCCTGAATGTGCTGGCACTCAAGCCCCCTCAACCAACTCAACAACCCCAAAAAAGGATGTTTTGTTTTAACGCTAAAACACACCAGAGGAAGCACAACTGACATTCCTATCACCTTTTTTCCCTTTGACTTTTGCGCTTATATATTCCTACACATACAAATCAGAGATTGACCACTGTATAAATTTCAATTCAATCAGACTATTATTTTTCGATGACAAATGTGAGAAGTGTTTTGTGTCCCATAATTAAAAATTCGAGCAATCTTATAACAATGTCTTTATGTTCCCTAATATTTTGGCATAATTACAGACATTGCCATGTGTGGAAACTTTTAACACATCTTTTTGGGTCATTGCTATGAAAAAAAGTTGGCATTAATGATCACAAATTATTTTTTCATGTAGAAATACTGTTTTGCCATGTGTGAAAAAATGAATTTTTATTACAGGGTGCTGGCATTTGGAGCAGGTAGACGTGTCTGTATGGGAGAAGTTCTTGCAAAAACCAGGGTGTTTCTCCTCTTTACACAGCTGTTACAAAACTTTTACTTCGAGCAAGCCGACCCTGAAAATCCTGTCCTGTTTGATATGAGAAAATTTAGAGCTGGGCCAGATTTTTTAGTCGCACCTGAATTTAAGATAGTAGCGAAACCTCGTTAGAAGGGGATCATACCATGATCTATGTACTATAGTAGCAAAGCCTTATAAAATAAAGGTATAAACCGCCATCGTCATACCATTAAAGTGATCATACTTAGCCTCTTGCTGTAGCTATGATAGATTATGGTATCAAAGATCTTGTTAGTACCTGTGTAAAAGGTTTGTATTAGACCATGCAATAATACAACATTACAATGTATTTCTTAAAACTTTGAATTTACCATGTATGTATCAAAAACCACAGCAAATCTTTATCGAAAATGTTAATGAAGCTTCGAGTGAGATGCAAAACTTTTTGTGAGCAAAAAACAAAATTATTGTGAGAGTAGAATTTTAGTATCTGGACTCAAGTAAAAGAATGACAGAATCAGCAAGTGACATGATGCAGATAATTTTGATACCTATATCATGTATATGGTTTAAAACCATTGGTTTGGAAACTCATTATTCTTTACAAAGTGTGTGAGTAACTTTTTCTCAGAGTTACAACTGATTATAATATAAATTTGAAGTACATTAATTGACTGAACAGCTGAATATCAAGAGATGGTGTAGTGAAATAGTATATACTATTATATAGTATCAAACAATGTACAACTATATCCAGCTTCAAATATATCAAATACATATTGAGCACAATATGTAATATATATAAGTCTAATAAGGATGCATTATATATTAAAATGTACATGTATACAAAATTCAAAACTTCTGTATGGCACTCTGATTTTACAAGTTTTGTTTGCGAATATCATCACTGGTGAGTGGTGATCCACTCAATTACACTATTTACCTAAATGGTTCGTCTGGTAACAAAATGTCGGAATCTATAAGGTGCTATTTTTCTCTTTTCCTTAATTAACACGTCATAGGCAGAATTCCCAGAACATTTTATCACAAGAATATGTCAGTATCATAGTTCAGAAGACAACAGAGGTTAGAGGTGCAGATCTTAACCTTTTTTGAAGTTCTGTTTACATAAAATAAGTGAAGTAATAAAATCAACAATTCTGTTGTCTTCTGAACCATTTTTTGCAAACATGTACATTTTCTTAAATATATGATACTGACATATTTGAGGTTCCGACATTTTGTTACCCAGATGCAGTGTTTCAGTAACCAGGGTAATCGAGTGAATCACCAGTGATTATGCTTATATATGCTATATTTTTTGAGTCCTAGAGCTTCACAACAAAATAGATTGTAGAGTTCTTGATGATAAAAGACAACTAATAATAATATTCTTTTTTTTTATTAAGTTCGCCCTCCTTTCTCTTACAATTTACACAACCAGATTTTTGAACTCAGCATTTTTCTCAGTATGAACTCTACAATGAGTGATCAAATGCAACAAACCCCTGTTTATTCATAGTTTCAAACTCACCATGATAAGCCAATTAATGGGTTAATTTATCTGACATTAGCATGATTAACAAGCATATGGAGCATGCAAGGCATTTAATCTTATAAAAGCAATTCAAAACTCAAACCACCACTATTTTGTCACTTCATCATTTCAAAAATGATTTTAGTTAGATGTACCCAGCAACATTAATAAAACATTGTTGGAGTATTTCACAGGTACACATACACAATACAGGGTAGGTTAGGATTCTTCCTATTCTACACAATCCAAGTAAATTGGTAAATTATCTTTGCATATTCTAAGGGTTTATGGAACAGAATTTTACTTTCCTCATTTTCATACCAACTTGTTAACATTTCATATCAATCCCTCACTTAATTGTTTGCCTTGAAATACATAGACAATATGTCTGGATCCACTCATTCCGCCACTTATACTGCCATCTATTAATGCACCTGATAAATCATCACAATATAGCACCCAAGGGTTTGATAAAAATGCATGGACAATAGACTAAAAACACATTCAAAATGTAGTTCTAAAAATTGTTAATCTGATTATGTTAATTCCCCATGGAGCCCATGTTATAAAATCATCAGAAGTGAAATATATTTGCTTATATTAAACAGATGATAAATTCAAACTAACTTCTTTTAACACATTTAAATGGTAAAACTATCAAAGTCAAATAAGGTCAGATGACATTGAACCCTTTCAATACCTACCATGCAAACTAACCTTGGTATTTTTAAGTTTTATGCTTTGAAAATTATAATAGCACATTGAATTCCAATATGTTGTTTTGGAATTGTTCCATTACCATTTATCTTTCATAAGGTAAAGATCCTCATGATTGTAATGTAATAAAAGTTCACAAACCAAATATATGGGTGTAAATTCTTAACTATTAACTTGTTTTTTCTAGTATTACAGCTTAAAGGTTAAAGAGTTATAAAATTGATCCTAGGCATACAAACATATATACATTAGCAAAGGTAAAGTGGAGATTGAAGAGGAAACTATAGTAATGGGTGTCTTAATTAAAGTTTTCTGCATATGGGTATAATACAACAATATCCATTTGCTGAGTTTCTGACATCTTGGCAAGTCGTGGCATTTTAAGAATCTGAATTTAAGATTTTTGATGCAAGAGATTAATCTAGTGATTTGCTGTGGAAAAAACTTGCAGATAAGATGCTTTTTGAGTTACTTTTAGCAAGTGCAGTGGTGTGTTTAGCATATAACATATACAAGTACATGGTCAGAAAAACCTTAGACCTTCAAGGACCCAGAAGTTTACCAATCATTGGAAACATCCATAGCTTTATTCAAGATGGAGGCCCAGTTTGGCAAGTTCAAATATGGGCAAAAGAATATGGTGATGCATTCAAAATAAGCATTCTTGGTGAAGAAATTGTCATACTGAGTGATTATGATAGTATTTATGAGGCATTGGTAGAAAGATCAAACGATTTTGCTGGAAGGCCTTACGAAAATTCATATGCAATAAATAAGTGGTTTTCTCATGGCATATTCACACAAGATTTTACTCAAGGGTTTAGAGCATACAAGAAACTAGGATTACGTGGACTCAAACAGCATGGGGATGGAATCAGTAGAATTGTGAACATATCAAAAGAAAACATTAGCAATACAGTAAAGGAGTTCAAAGAAGAAAATGGTCAACCTTTCCAGCCTCATGACAAACTTCAAAATCTGTTATGCCGGATCATTATATGTGTGGTAGGTATAACTTAATGAATCTAAATTGTCAGTTGAACAAGATCTTATATCAAAAGAATCATAATTTGACAAAATAATTTGCAGACGGAAATATATTCCTAAGGGAAACTATTTTTCATTATTTCTTCAAAATGAGGCAATCATTCATTATACATGTATATACATTCATTCATTCATTATATCTACATTAATATACTACTACACAATACAGTGAAACTTGTCAAATTCAAACGCCATCGGGACCAGCTTAAAGAGATTGGATAAGGAGGTTTCCACATTTCCAGGCTGTAGCATTCATAATATTCTGCATTTTGATGAAATGTGAACAAATAACGCAAATGCGAGTAGGTAGTTACCAGTTTCACCAGCAGGTGGCTCGCTCGGGTCAGATAGCATGGCGGGTATAGTAGAAAGTTCCCTTTAACTTAAATTACATCTGTTTTAGTGGTTCAATTTTCATATTGCCCTTATGTATCGAATAGTTATGCATATTAAAGTATGTCCAGTAAAAGAAAATGTTATATGTCCAATACTAGAAGATATTTCACTTTTTGTGATTTTGTAATATGGGGTCTATGGGGAATCAACCCGAACTAGAAGTCACATTTTCAAAAAAGATTAAATTTTCAAAGTTGATAAACAATTTTCGAAACCATATTTTTAGATGTATTTTTACATGTAGATTTTTTGAATATTTAATGACGTAAATCAAGATCATTTCTATTCGCATCTACTCTATTCTCAATAAATATTTATGGAACTATATTGACCACACGGTATTCCAATAATTTGAAATAATTATGATTCAAATGAATTCATTAAACATGTTAGAAAGACATTATGAGTGAGACCATTCAACTGTTCAATGTTTTTCCAAATCTTTGGATATAATAATAAAACAGTGAAAATATTTGAGAAATTTTGTATGAAACATGTGATATCTTATGAAAAGTGTTCATATCACACGTGTTGAATGTTCAAATATGACTGTTCACTGTTCAAATCGGGAGGTGTTCACATTTCAAGGTTTCTTTAAAAGGGGAGTCAATGGGATGAAAAAATGGGACTGAAAAAAGTGTTCAAATTGGAATTAGTTTGAATTAACCAAGTGTTCAAATATATACAGGTTTCACTGTATGTTATTTAGACAAATATATATCAGCATTCCTTTGACTGCAATATAGCAATGTATACATTGCTTCTCCTAGTTTTCTGCATGAAAATGCTTTAATCCGATGTTGAATCCATGGCTTTTCATTAACAATTTCAAATATTCTCTTAACTTTTCTTTATGCCTTCACTTCTGATTATGAAGTCATGGAGATATCTATGATATTGAATAAGCTGAATTGAGGGAAAAAAGACAATGTGATAGGCTAGACCTAGCTATGTACATTAAAGGCACATTAGGCTTCAGAGACAATAAAATTTTTCAACATTTTTTTCATTGCTTAAGAGTTGATGTCATGGTCTAACTCCTTTCCATTGATTTACAAGTTTTTATGACTTTTTGAATCTCCCGCCATTGTCAGCTGCAACGCCCCCCTATTTTTTGTCCAGTGTAATTAAAACTATGTGCATGCTCAGTAGTTCGGTCAATTTTTTTTCAATCATTTTTTTATTTTTCCGTCTATAATCGATCAATAAACAAGTTTATGAACAAAGGAACATTTCAACTTTAATTAATTACAATGCCTAGATAGACAATCAATCAACCAAAAGCAATATTCTGTTTGTCACCAAAAATTCTTTGAATTAACAATTTTTTTAGCTGCTTGGTGAAAATACGCCCTATAAAGAGGATGACGGAGAATTCGCTAGGAAATGGTTGGAGGACCTCGAGGAGAATTTAAGAGGGCCATTTTTCTATCTAATAGAGATGTTCCCATGGACACGTTACTTTGGCAACCCTGTTTATTCCACATTGAATGAAATGATAAAGAGCCGTAATAAAACCTTCACGGAGTGGATTGAAAGGTTCAAACATTATAAACAGGTACAATACTTATGATATAATATGTACAATAAATAAATATGTAAACTATGTGCATTGAGATTTTGGTAAAACTTTCTTTTATTCCATTAATTTCCCAAGTGTTTCATTGCATGATAAAAACATGGTGCCCTTAAATGGGTTGGATTCTGGGTGACATTTCACGTGTGTTATAGGAAAGTGGTGAGAGGACACTTATAAAAGAGTTATTGGCCGCTAAGGAGGACGGCAAAATGACAGATGATGGTATTTTTGGAATCATGACTGATACTTTCATTGCAGGTATAAATCCTTTTCATAGTTGAGACTAGTTCTTTAGAGCATTTTTCCACTCTGCAGACCCTGGATATGGTTGTAAATAACAGGCATCTTCCAATTTACTATCAATTTAAATAGTTCTTGATTATGCTTCATTAGCTAATAACTTTGATCTATTTTGTGTAACCATACTATAACTGAAGAAGCTTGATTCAAGAGAAAATTTCAGACCTGCAGAGATGGCACTGCAGATATGATCACATTATATAAAATGCTCAAAGAAAAGGAAACATAAGATCTGCAGATGATGGATGTGTCAATTTAATATTAATCATATACATTTACATTGGGTATTTGGTTTTCGTTTTAATAAAAGCTGGGAAGAATTTTAAGAATTCAACTTTAGATTCTGAAATATCAATAGTTCTTTTTGACTTTTATGATTTGTGGAAAATAGTACATATCATGATAAATTCATATTTCATATTTTTACACTTTATATTGGACCTTTAAAACAAACAAAGAAATGTGTATTAGCAGAGCTACAATAATCAATCAAAGTACTAGAAGTGTCAAAGCCCTATAACCAATTTGTTTATTAATTATTTATCAGGAATTTTCACAACACGTACAACCACATCCGGATTCCTACTTGCAATGATGAACTTTCCTGACATTCAAAGTAAGCTCCATGAGGAAATTGATTGTGTGATTGGCAAAGAACAGCTTCCGGAGCTATCAGATCGTGAGAAGATGCCATATATGGAAGCAACAATTCTTGAAACGCTGCGTTACATGTCGATGGTCCCAACAATCTTACATAAAACAACTTGTGATACCCATATAGCTGGTTGTGATCTCCCAAAGAATACACAGGTAAATACATTCATGTCTATTTTAATTATTTTTCATATACAGTACATTGTTCATTTAATTTTGCTTAATTTGTCATCTGCTTTAATCAGGCATTTATGAAAAATTCACCAAACCCTGCCGAAAACTGATTTAATATAAATCTGATTAAGTCTAATACTTGGTCCAAGTTTGTAAAACTTGTATCAGTAATAATTAAGTATGGGCCAATACTGCAAAATAATTTACCAACCAAATTTAAATGCAATCTTCAGGCATCTTTTAGTTGGTAAAACAAGATACACAATAATAAATATCCCACTCTAAAAAGCAAAATGGCTGTAATGTAATTTACAAAGCATGCCAAAACTTATCATGTATAATTTTCTATTAATTCCTGTGATCCCTCTCCAAATAAAATAACAAAACAAGGCGTGTGCGGTTGGTTAGATGGCAGAAGCTTGTCTGTTAGACTGGTCATCGCCGGGAGGGGTGTGAGTGTGGACACCGCGATTCCCGGGGTTACGATGGTCAGTCTAAGACGCTGCATTTTTACAAAACCCATTTACGCAACTCGACAGCCCCCGCCACCGATTTATTAAAAGCACTAGTGTTTTAGGCAGGCATATGAAGTTTGTAACATACACCAGTGTTTCAGGCAGGCATGTGAAATTTGTAACATGCACTAGTGTTTCAGGCAGGCATGGTAAGTTTGTAACATGCACCAGTGTTTCAGGCAGGCATGTGAAATTTGTAACATGCACCAGTGTTTCAGGCAGGCATGGTAAGTTTGTAACATGCCCCGGTGTTTCTGGCAGGCATGTGAAGTTTGTAACATGCACGTCGAGTGTTTCAGGCAGGCATGTGAAGTTTTGTAACGTGCACCAGTGTTTCAGGCAGGCATGTGGAGACAACAAGAAGGCACCTTTTTGGGACAGGCCTATATTGACATGAATTCGTGCGCCCTTTCAAGGCAAGCATGAATTATATGATCTGAAAAAAAATAAGGGGTGATGGTGGGTGGGGAAAAAGTTGTAATACAGTAAAAAACGTATGAATGATGGTATTGTAAGAATAATGAAAACGAGTATGTTGACTGTTGACTGACTGAATACAAGCTGCTCGAATGTATAGTTACTGAAGTGTGTGGAGCGAGAAGAGATACACAAGAGGCGTAACCTATTGGTCGAGTGATCAATTCCATTAACCTGGTTTTAATTCAAAAACACAATATTAATTCCTGTGATCCCTCTCCAAATAAAATAACAAAACAAGGCGTGTGCGGTTGGTTAGATGGCAGAAGCTTGTCTGTTAGACTGGTCATCGCCGGGAGGGGTGTGAGTGTGGACACCGCGATTCCCGGGGTTACAATGGTCAGTCTAAGACGCTGCGTTTTTACAAAACCCATTTACGCAACTCGACAGCCCCCAAAACCGCCAAACCCTAATTGAACTAATAAGCAGTTTTCCAGGCAGTTGATAATGTAACGACCAAGTTACTACAGTACAGATGTAAAGTTTGTAAAAACACAACCAAAAAATAGGGCATTAACATGACAAATTGTTACCACCTGCCATTTGTGATAGACACCAACTGCAAAAATAGATGCAAACTGCCAAAAACCATCCACAAAAAGTTGGAGACTATAACAATATGTCACCACTGCTGGTGGGGACATCAATACCAAAAAACAGAGATGATTGCGTCAATTTCATTTAATGAATCACAAAACCAAGTTTCTCATATTTTACACAGGGTCATGGTTGGCTGAATAATCATCTATATTCACTTTTCCAACCTGATTATAAAGACGTTATAACAAAATGGATAAACATCCATATGGGGAATTTTAAATTTCATCATTTTCACCAACAAAGGGGTTCATTTGTATCAAAATATTTTACCCATATGTTAATAGTAACATCTGGTTACTGAAAAGTTAGTCCAATAATCTAGCAAGAATTCCTCACTTCAGCATTAAGCAACCAGGATGTTATCTGGTGAATTTCATAGTCTTGGTTGCATCGTGTTTATGTGCTAAAGTGCTCAATTACTCAACTAAACTCAATAGAGAAAAAGGTCCAAATAACTGTTGCCTATAAGCAACTTCAATCAAATACATTGTCTTACAGGTTTGGATGAACTTATATGGCATGCACCATGATAAACGTTACTTCAAACACAACCCAGATTCCTTTGATCCTACAAGATTCCTGGACTCTGATGGCCATCTAGTTCCACATGAGGAAAGAAAAGCGTAAGTCAAATTATAATCTAAATTATGTAGATATCTAGATATGGGCCATGATAAGCATTGCTTTAAACACAACCCAGATGCTTTTGATCCTACAAGATTCCTGGACTCTGATGGCCATCTAGTTCCACATGAGGAAAGAAAAGCGTAAGTCAAATTATAATCTAAATTATGTAGATATCTAGATATGGGCCATGATAAGCATTGCTTCAAACACGACCTAGATTCCTTTGATCCTACAAGATTTCTGGACTCTAATGGCAATCTAGTTCTGCATGAGGAAAGAAAAGCTGGATTCTGACCTAAAATATAGAGATTGACCACTGTATAAATTTCAATTCAATCTGACTATTATTTTTCAAGAATTTATTTTTTCATGCAGAAATACTGCTATGCCATGTGTGACAAAATAAATTTTTATTACAGGGTACTGGCATTTGGAGCAGGTAGACGCGTCTGTATGGGAGAAGTTCTTGCAAAAACCAGGGTGTTTCTCCTCTTAACACAGCTGTTACAAAACTTTTACTTCGAGCAAGCCGACCCTGAAAATCCTGTCCTGTTTGATATGAGGAAATTTATAGCTGGGCCAGATACTTTAATCGCACCTAAATTTAAGATAGTAGCGAAACCTCGTTAGAAGGGGATCATACCATGATCTATGTACTATAGTGGCAAAGCCTTATTAAATAAGAGTATAACCCGCCCTCGTCATACCATTAAAGTGATCATACACATAAAGTATCATAGCCTCTTGATACTTATGGTATCAAAGGTCTGGTTAGTACCTGTGTAAAAGACTTGTATTAGACCAATAATATAACATTACACTGTATTTCATAAGACTTTGAATGTACCATGTAAGTATAAAAACCACAGCAAATCTTTATTGAAAATGTTAGTGAAGCTTCGAGTGAGGTGCAAAACTTTTTGTTAGCAAAAAGACAAAATTATTGTGAAAGTTGAATTTTGGTATCTGGACTCAAGTAAAAGAATGGCAGAATCACCAAATGACATGATACAGATAATTTTGATACTTATAGCAAGTATATGGTTTAAAACCATTGGTTTGGAACCTCATCATTTTTTTCACAAAGTGTGCCAGTAACTTTTTTCTCAGAGTTACAACTGGTTGTAATATAATCTTGAAAAGCATGTTAATTGACAGAACAACTTTATATCAAAAGATCATGTAGTGGAATAGTATATACTTTTATATAGTATCAAACAATGTACAACCAACCTGAAGAACATGTTTAAGAATGTACAACTATATTCAGCTTCAAATATATCCGATACATATTTAGCATAATATGTAATATGTATAAGTCTAATAAGGATTCATTATATATCAAAATATATGTGTATACAAAATTCAAAACTTCTATATGGCACTCTGATTTTACAAGTTTTGTTTGGGGTGTATTATCACTGCTGATCGACTCAATAACACTGGTTACCGAAATGGTTCGTTTCAGTGACAAAATGTCGGAATCTAGTTGGATTTTTCTCTTTTCCTTATTTCACGCATCGTAGGCAGAATTCCCAAGGCATTTTTTATCACAAACATATGTCAGTATCGTAGTTCAGAAGACAACAGAATCGTTGATTTGGGTTAGAAGTGCAGATCATAACCTCTTTTGAAGTTCCGTTTATGTAACATAAGTGAGGTAATAAAATCAACGATTCTGTTGTCTTCTGAACTATTTTTTCACAAACATGTACATTTTCTTAATTCTTTGCCTTGCTCGATGCAACAGAACAACGATATCAAATTATAAGGAAGTGAGCTTGCCACTTTCATTTATTGAAAAAGTAGCCTCTGTAACAGCATGTTGTTATGAACATGGTAAATACAAGTCACATTAAGTACAAAACGCAGGTAACGATACTATGACATGATTCCCTTTATAGCATGAAAGAACACTCTAAATGTGAACGTTAAGACTTAATAAGACTTAACAAAGAAATATAAATTAACATTTATCGAAATTGATTAATCCCGGCCATTAAAAACCTCAAATTAATGCAGAAAAGGTACGCGATCAATCAAAGACATGTAAATGTTCTAAAACATAATTATTTTATCAAAATAAAGTGCGTCTCGATACGTGGCAAAGCTCAGAATGAAGTTACAAGCCGTTCTAACATGCACTCATGCAAAACAACTCAACATCAACTCGTACACCTGTTCCATTTACACAACGCCTAAAGAAATCATTTATGAGCTAATGTCGCTGCGCTCAAACGCACATAAATGTCAAATACATGATACTGACATATTTGAGGTTCTGACATTTTGTTACCCGGAAGAAGTGTTTCAGTAACCAGGGCAATCGAGTGAATCACCAGTGGTTATGCTTATATATGCTATATTTTTGGAGTCCTAGACCTTTACAACAAAACAGATGTCAATTGATTATTTACTTTTATAAATATGATATCTCATAACATGAAAAAATACATCAATAAGGGCTTTACTAAAACTCATATTTTCACATGTAGAGTTCTTGATAATAAAAGACAACTATAAATTTGATAATATTTCTTTTTTCAATAAGTTCGTCCTCCCTCCCCTCACATTGTACACAACCATATTTTTCTCAGTATGAACTCGACAATGATTTTAAACCAAAAGCATTTTTTCATTTCAACATTTCAAAAATGGTAGGTGTACCTTAACCCAGTTGCATTACTATAACCATTGTGGGAGTATTTCTCAGGTACACATACACATTACAAAGCTTATAGTTCAAAAGGGAACATGGTACAGACTTGTGCTTTCCTTAATTTCATACCAAGTACATTCCTAAACATTTTTAATCAATCCCTCGTACTTGATGGTTTGCCATGAAATATATAGACAAATTCTCTTGATCCACCACCCAAATTGGCACCCATTTACACACCTGGTAAATCATCACAATATAGCACCCAAGGGTTTGATAGACTAAACAAAAGCCACATTCTTCAATTAAAAATGTGGCTCTAAAAATGTGTTTATCTACTTGATAATAAATGCTTTATACATAATTTCCAATGTTTTTCGGTCAAGTTTATATTTTAGTCCTCGCATGACATCTATCATCTTGGCAGCTCTTTTTGTTATATTCCTTATGTGTGATCCAATGTGTGAGCTGCATATTACAGATTAAACCCATTCTCAGTAGTGTTGTCGCGATTAATCGATACATCGCGATATACATCGCCAAAGCTGATTCTGGCGATGCATCGATGTCTGAAACAAAACATCGATGTTTTTGAAAAAAATGAATTTGCTAAAAATCACCCTTTCTTATCTTATTTTGACGCAAATCGCTTACCTTTCTCATGTCTTATTTCATTTTCCAATGTTTTCTGATATTCTTTCGCTTTAAAACTGTTTTAGCTATTCGAAATGAACCATTAATCCGTAAAAAAATTACTTTACTTTCATTTCACCTTTCTAGAAGTTCCCGGATGTACCGGATGTTCGGTATTTTAGTGCATTAGTGTTCGGTATTTCAGTGCACTTTTCTCGGACTTTTTCTCGATGTACATCGCGATGTGCATCGATGTTTACTACTGAAAATTGCCGATGCATCGATGTATGATTATCCCTTACGGAAATTTACTGGCTCCCGCAGCCTGCTGCCGCAGTGCTCCCGCAGCCTAGTGCCGCAGCGCTGCGGCAGCACATTGGAATTTATCATGCAAATTAGGCTGCCGCAGCGCTGCCGCAGCCTGCTGCCGCAGCGCTCCTGCAGCATGCAAATTAGGCTGCCGCAGCGCTCCCGCAGCATGCAAATTAGGCTGCCGCAGCATGCTGCGAGAAGGCTGCAGTTAACCGCAGCACTGTCGGAGCCATTTCACTCTGGGACTTGAGCTGCGGTTAACCGCAGCAATTGCAGAGAAGGCTACCATTGGCCTGAGGTATTTTAGGGGAAGGGGGATTGAAAACATCTCACCCAATATGATGGATGCCTATCTCTTCCATTATAGTTGCATGGCTGTGATTTTGTTGGGTTATATCCCCCAGTTTGCCTAACTGAACAAACATTGTCAGAAACATGGTGGTAATCAGACTCAGAGTTATTTGTACATTTTTCACACACACACTTTCTACCTTGTTTACGAATTGATTGCCTATATGAGTTAACAAGAAAGCAATGCACAATTTTTGGATTTCTTAAATCTTAATATTGAATTTTCATAGATTTCCTCTTGTTTGACTTGAGTCTCATGGTTTTAGCCCTTTCCCGACCCCTTATTTTATTAGCGTAATATTTGTTCAGTTTCGAGATGCTTTGGGGCATTTTATTGTTTTTATCAATGAGGGCCCAAGTGAAATAAATCAATGGGAAAATATTGACAATAAATAGGTAATACTCTATTAATTCTTAGCTAACAAACAACTAAAAAAATTAATACGCAAATTAGAGAGAATTATGTTAATAAATACATACAGGTGTTCATAATAAGGTATTGTTACCATTCAACGCTCATGTAGAATATTGACTGATTATAAAATGAAAATTACATTGTAACAACAAGGTAGTGTTAGATGAGAATTATCAGAGTATTACCTATTTATTAGCTATATTTAAAACCTTTTTCTTGCATTACTCTTACCCATTATGCATTATTGTCTACAAAATTCATTTTCTACTATACGAACCCAAAACATCAAATAATATGCAAAATTGGGTAGGGACACACAAATTCGAAGTATATGTTATTCCCGTGAATATTCAAATCTGGCCATGCAAAGCGTACTAATTAAGGTAAAGTCCAAAGTTTTTTTCAAAATTCTCTTCCAAAAACTACAGATTTTGTCAAAAATCTCCAATAAAAGTACCACTTTTTGCAGAATTTACCACAAAAACTATTGCTTTTATTAGAAAAAAATTTGAGATAATCTGCTTTTTTTAAAAAAGTACTGTTTTATCTCAAATCTACCGTAAAAACTTCAGTTGTATTAAAATTTACCTCAAAAACTCCCGATTTTAAAAAATCTACGGCGAAAACTAACAATTTTTTTAAAAACTACCAGATTTTGGAAAAATCTCCCATAAAAGTACCACAATTTTTGGAAATCTCACGCAAATTGTTCATTTTAGGTTGGCCCGGGACGTAAGACGATATAAGCAATTATTATGGGGACATCACTGGTGATTTTACCCATTCAGAATTGTCCTGAAGGCCAGAAGGCTCCAGTTATTGAAGGACCCTCTATGCCTCCAGCAGTATTTATCTTCATAATCTTTATAAAATACCTTATATTTTTACTGCATGGTACAATCCTCATACACAACACATTTATGCTTGACCACTTTGACTGTATGAATAGAATTAAAATTTAGCCTTTATAAATTCACAAAGAAAATGAGATTTGCCCATCTAAACTGGAATAACACAGCATATAAATATGATGCTGCCGCAGCACCATGCTGCCGCAGCGATTGGCTGCAATTACCTGCATCCAACATTTGAAGCCAATTTGCTGCGGCAGCGCTGCCGCAGCAATGTATTTCCGTAAGGGATGGCACATCGCGACAACACTAATTCTCAGAGCATTAAACCGTGACCTTTCTCGAGAAAGAAATTATGGGTTGTTCTGAGGTACCTTGTGATTTTTTGAGCTATAATGAGAGAATATACAATAATGAAGAAATGGGGCAAATATTGTGTTCAAATACTTACAGTGTCTTTATGAAGATCATTCCTTTGATTTCTTGCAATTTTCTCAAAAGTTAGCCGGGCGAATAATTTTTCTAAATATAGTATGTCACATAACTTTTTTTGTTTATTTACTTGTATGGTTGTGCTTTGATATTTCTTAGGAAAAAACAGTTTTATTAACATTAAATTTTATATTAAGCATTTATAATCTCGTCAGTTGTATGAAAATGTAAAAAAATATTATGTGTTAGCAAACTGCTTTCTAGAGAAAGGTCAAGGTTTACTAACTTCTCTGTTTCGAATGTGCTTTGAGATTATTGACCATCAATGTTTAAAAAGATCAAAAATATATGTTTTTTATATTTATGATTTAGACAAACTGCATATGGTCCAAAGGTTGTAGATTAAATGCACATAAAATCAACAAGTATTAAACTGTTGTGTCTGTGGCTGTAGTCTTTATTAATACCATAACTGTCTAAATGAATAGACGCAAATAAAGAATACATACATACATACAACTAGTATATAATTCATTACAGTATGTACTTCTAGCTTCCAGTAAGACTATCAAGTTACTCCTACTTATAGGCAACTTTCACAAGTTAGCTGGATCACAACATGATACCTAGTGTATCTGGAGACTATCAGATACAAAACATATTCAACAGCATAAGAGATTGAAAAGGAAACTACAGTAATGTGAGTTGTTTGCTACATTGTTGTAGATTGATGTACATAGTTGTCTACATGCAGAGACATGGAATGCTTAGTGATTACTGATAACTATAGTATGAGTGTTACAGACTAAGATACTTCTCACAGAGTATAACATTGAACAAAAATTCTGAATTATATTTTTGTCAGCTTCATAAAACATATATCATCAAAACATGCTTTTCAAATACACTGTATATTAATATATTTTTTCAATCTCAGCACTTTTCTCACATTATAATATAAGCCAATGGGAAGTATTTGAATATATAGGACTTCATTTGAACTGATGAGGATTCATTTGTGATGTGATAAAATGAAATGTTTCTTATGCTTTGTCAATTTACATGGATCTCAATGAACCAAGAAGATGGCTCTTTTCATAAAAGGCTATGGGAGTAACTGTATTGTACTTTCATGGGTGTAACGCTATATTTCTAAGTAATATGCCACTGCGGGAACAAGAGTTGTGCGAAGCAAAAAACGAGTGTTTAGAGGGGTCTGGGGGAAATTTTGAAATATGGTTGTATTTGGAGCAAATTTGCAACCATCTGGTACGCCTGTGCGTACCCAGCGTACCGGGCACTACGCCTATGACTTTAAAGACATTATTTCTTTTCACATTAGATTATGGTTTAGGGATATACAGGGTCTTAGACATGTTTACACTTAGAGTTTGCTTTTCTTGCTAGGTTTCTTTACAATTTTTGGTCCTTTCCCTTGGTACCTGTGCTTGGATATTTAAGGGGAATCTCAATATATGACCTACTTTAAAACATCAATTGTTGGCATTTGATTCTGTTGGCAAAGCTAATTTTCATCAGTTTGATTTCTGACATCTTGGGAAACAATAGAATTTTCAAATTAATCTCAAATTATTTTTTTTTTTTGTTTTTTAGAAATTGATTAGTGAATTGTTGTGGAAAAGTTTGCAGGCACGATGCTTTATGTGTTACTTATAGCCAGCACAGTGGTGTGTTTAACATATAACATATACAAGTACATGGTCAAGAAAAGCATTGCCCTTCCACGACCCAAAGGGCTACCATTCATAGGAAATATCCACAGCTTCATTTTGAATGGAGGCCCAGTATGGCAAGTTCAAAAATGGGCAAAGGAATATGGTGATGCGTTCAAAATAAGCATTCTTGGTGAAGAAATTGTCATACTGAGTGATTATGATAGTATTTACGAGGCATTGGTGGTGAGATCAAATGATTTTGCTGGAAGGCCTTTTGATAAATCATATGCATTCAATAAGTGGTTTTGTCATAGCGTATCTGCACAGGATTTTACACAAAGGTTTAAAACATACAAGAAAATAGGATTACGTGGACTCAAACAGCATGGGGATGGAATCAGTAGAATTGTGAACATATCCAATGATAACATTAGCCAGACAGTAAAGGAGTTTAAAGAAGAACATGGTGAACCTTTCCAACCTCATGACAAACTTCAAAACCTTCTTTGTCGGATTATAATATGTATGGTAGGTATAACTAGAGGGATCTATATTTAGGAAATTATTTTTCATTATTTCCTCAAAATGTGGCATGTCATTTTTTTGTATAATTAAAAACTTAATGTTTTCTTGAGAATAACATTATGCCATTCCTTTGGTTGCAACATTGCAATGAATACTTCAAAAATGCAAAGGGAATTTCTGCATGATTTTTTAGAATTTTTAACAAAAATTGAGACTGATATCATTAAACTTATATGTCTTGTCAATTTCTTCCAGCTGCTAGGTGAAAATACACCTTATGAAGAAAATGATGGCAAATTTGCAAGAAATGGTTAAAGAATCTCGAAGTTTTGTTGAATAGGCCATTTTTCTATCTGTTGGAGATGTTTCCATGGACACATTATTTTGGGAACCCTGTTTTTCCTACACTGACTGAATTGATGAGATGCCGTGATAAGCAGTTCAGGGAGTGGATTGAAAGGTTCAAACATTACAAACAGGTACATACTTGTGATATTTTATGAACAATAAATATTAGATTTTGGTGAAATTTCATCTTTACTCAATAAATTTCCCATTCGGAAAAAATGTATTTTTGAGTTCATGGATAACAAAGGGTATTTAGCCAAGTGGTCCATAACTTGTACAAAAGGCTGTGGTTATGCATGTATGTCTATATACAAGTATCTGGATTTTTCTTCCAATGATGCATCTATCTCCATTGTATGATAACACTCACTTCAATGTATGCTATAGGAAGGTGGTGAGAGGACCATCACTGATGAGTTATTAACTACAAAGGAGGCAGGCACAATAACAGATGACGGCATTTTTGGAATCATGATTGATACTTTCAGCGCAGGTATAATATCTTCTTCATACCATGAATAAGGTTTTCCAGAGAGGTGATTAAAGATCTACAGAGAAATGAAGGCATGCATGATCACAATAAAAGTGCTCCAAGAATGGGTCTCAGATGGTTTTCAATACTTTAGTAATATAAAAGAGCGGAGATATTTAGATATATTAGAACATTTGAATTCATTTCTTAGTTTAAGTATGAATAGTGAATTCAATACTAGTCATGTATACTGAAATATTTGAAAGGTACAGTTTACTGGCAAAATATGATTCCATGCTAATTTATATGAGCAATCATTTGAATAGTAATCTGCTTGAGGACATATAAATTTTGTTACACCATACTTTTAAAAATGAGTTTCTTACTTTTTATAGATACAAATTTGATGGATTTAATTACTTATTCCGTGTAATGGAATTTTAATGTATCTTTGTTGCACTTTGTACATAATTTGTAAAGTATCAGATATTATTAAACAGAGAGGCTCAGTACTCAGATAATATCTAAGACAATGAAAGCCATGGAAATAGTATTTTATTTTCTATAAACTTTATATGGGGCTGTTGCAATTATCATTGAACACTGTTCCAAATCCCTATACATTCGTTTATCAATATATCTTATCAGGAATGTTCACAACATTCACAACTACATGCGGATTCCTACTTGCAATGATGAACTATCCAGATATCCAAAATCACCTTCACAAGGAAATTGATCGGGTGATTGGTAAAGAACAGCTACCAGAACTATCAGATTGTGAGAAGATGCCATATATGGAAGCAACTATTCTTGAAACACTTCGTTACATGTCAATGGTCCCAACAAATGTGCCACATAAAACTACTTGTGATACCCATATAGCTGGATGTGATATCCCAAAGGGAACACAGGTTAGTATATTATCTGTTTGAATTATCTTTTATAAATATATATATATACTGTAATAACATTAATCACTATTTTTGGCAAATTGACATTCATGAAAAAATCATCAAAGTTTGCTAATCTTCACTAAAATCCCAAGAAATGAAAGAGCATGCAAGAAAACAACAATTGTCTAAAAGTTGGACCTACATTTGTATAATTTCGATATTAGTAAAAGTTGCAAACTTAATTATGGACCAACATATGGGTCAAAAAAGGTAAGGATTGAAAAGTGGATTGGATCGAATGGATTGGATTCAGGTAAAAAGGTTGATTGGATCGGTAATCTTCAGTACAGTAAATAAAGCTATTGGGTTTCAGGTTTGGATGAACTTATATGGCATGCACCATGATAAACGTTACTTCAAACACAACCCAGATTCTTTTGATCCTACAAGATTCCTGGACTCTGACGGCCATCTAGTTCCACATGAGGAAAGAAAAATGTAAGTTGAATTATGGCCTCAGCTATATAGATGTATTTTAGTTACTGTATGCAGGCCCGTAGCCAGGGGGGGGGTTCGCATGGTTCGGGCGAACCCCCCCCCCCCCCTGGCCAAAAATTCTTTCAAAATCATGCAGTTTTTCACCATTCTGAGCACTTTTTAAGTGATTTTGGCCCTTTTTGGACCCAAATTGTCAAAAGTGAACCCCCCCCCTGGAATTTTCCAAAAAGTGGACCCCCCCTTGGCGAATCCTGGCTACGGGCCTGGTATGAATTCAAGTATTGACTTTTCAAGTAATACATGTAACTGTACCAAATTTTTCGATCCGATGATCATTGCCAAAGTAACTGAATGTGATCACTCTATCTTCTAAATATCTAAGCACAAGTGCCAAATTGAAGCGTCCAAAAGTTGTAATAGAACTTAGCAAGAAAAAGGAAATTATAAGTGTATACCAGTCATACAAAAAACAAACCCCACAGATATCAGAACCATGATCTTACATGCATGAATTTCAAGGTAACAAAATGTGAACACTCTTGTACTTAATTGTAAAATCTTTTAATACATTCTTTGTATTTCATTCTATCAGCTTACCTTCTCAGTTAAAGCTCAGTATTCCTTGCATTGAAACCATTCTACAAAAATACTAAAAGCTCACTAAAACATTTGCCATGGTAACAGATATTGTCATATGTATAAAACTTTTAACCATATGTTATCTATTGCATTAATTATCCAAGGTACAACCATGAGCATGCCATTAACTTGCACAAGGATCCTTGCATCCCGGGGGGTTCACTCCAATATACCTCTTTATACCTATGTGGCGCGCCAAAGACTCCCTTTTTGAGCATTTTTTCCATGTCTATTTCCTCTCAAGATTGGAAGTTTCCATGTATACTTCCTCTAAAAAGGCTCTCTCTTCGACAAATTTTCGATATTTTTTCCTCTCAGATTGGCCAGCTTCCATGGTTTATGCCCTTAGCCAAAATTGCCTCTGCTGCACATGCCTACCCAAATTATTTAGAGTGAACCCCCGGGCCTTGCATGACAGCAGCAGTGTTATCATGAATGACTAATGAGACCGTAGCCTTTTAACACTTCTTGATGGTAAGATGGCCTATGTCATAAAAATGTGCAAAATCTGGGTTTTTATGCAGAAATATTATTTTGCCATATTGATTGTTGAGTTTTTATTACAGGGTACTGGCATTTGGAGCAGGAAGACGCGTCTGTATGGGAGAAGTTCTCGCAAAAACCAGGATGTTTCTCCTCTTTACACAGCTGTTACAAAACTTTCACTTTGAGCAAGCTGACACTGAGAATCCAGTTCTGTTTGATATGAGGGAATTTATAGTTGCGCCAAATGCTTTACTGGCACCAAAATTTGCAATAGCAGCAAAGCCTCGCTAGAAGTGGATCATGCCGTTATTAATACTTTAGTAGCAAAGCCTTGTAAAATAAGGGTACTATATAGATATCATACCAGTGAGCTGATCATACATACAGTCCCTTGCTGTAGATTTACATATACCACCCAGACTAATTTCAGTATTGTGAGATCTGGTTTATATCTGTGTTTATATACTTTAAAAGTAAAGCCTCATAAAATAAGGGTTTTAACTAACCAGACCTCATATCATACCACGGATTAATGGATGCTAACATATTCGTTACATCATTATTTTAATGTGAAACATTGGTAAATATGATTACTGGTACTGGCATTTGGAGCAGGAAGACGCGTCTGTATGGGAGAAGTTCTAGCAAAAACCAGGATGTTTCTCCTCTTTACACAGCTGTTACAAAACTTTCACTTTGAGCAAGCTGACCCTGAGAATCCAGATCTGTTTGATATGAGGGAATTTATAGTTGCGCCAAATGCTTTACTGGCACCAAAATTTGCAATAGCAGCAAAGCCTCGCTAGAAGTGGATCATGCCATTATTAATACTTTATTCAAACATGACCGTGCTCTATTCGAATTTCTCAACCAATCAGAATGCAGCATAGCCAATATAGAACGTTCTCTAATTCTCCATAGATGCACGACCATGCTCTATTCAATCTGCAATTTGCATTGTTTCTAGTGACGTCACATCTCAGCTAAACATCTGGGGCTCTGTCCGGGGATAGCTGTTCTTGACAGCATGCGTATTCTTCCTTCATGCCCGTTCCACAGACACGGCTTTTACTAATTTTTATGTTTGAATCGGAATAAATAATGATAGGCCATTCAATATGGTGAAATTCAGCACTCGTTGGACAGAATGTTAGTACAAATGCACTCACCTTCGGTTCGTGCTTTGTACAACATTCTGTCCAACTCGTGCTGAATTTCACCATATTGAATGGTCTATCATTATTTATTCCTTAAGTAGCAAAGCCTTGTAAAATAAGGGTACTATATAGATATTGTACAAGTGAGCCGATCATACATACAGTCCCTTGCTGTAGATTTACATATACCACCCAGCCTAATTTCAGTATTGTGAGATCTGGTTTATATCTGTGTTTATATACTTTAAAAGTAAAGCCTCATAAAATAAGGGTTTTAACTAACCAGACCTCATATCATACCACGGAGTAATGGATGCTAACATATTTGTTACATCATTATTTTGATGTGAAACATTGGTAAATATGACAGAAATTAAAATCAAGACCATTAGATTGGTGCTTTCCACTTCCTACAAACAGTGCAAGTAACTTTTTCTGAGTGATTGGATTCTAAACATGAAAAGCACAAGACTGGAACTAAAATTGCAAAAAACATTGATTATTCCTTACACCAAAAGTATAATATTAATATATTATGAATTATTGCATGGATCATTGTAAAATCTTACAAGGCATACAACTATATAACTCCAAAACATGTTGGTGTTATCTCTAAATATTAACAAAAACAGTAACTTATGTGTGTATGTAATATCAGTATGGTGTATCATGTGTTTTTAAAAATGTTTACAATATTAATCATTTTCCAAATTTTTAAAAGAGTGATATACAAATTTGGCTCAATGTAAGTTAACATGAGAGCTTTTACTAGACATGATAGTTTCAAACAGTTTATCTGGATCTTTGCACTGTTTCAGATCAGATTTTAAAGTTTCAAACAAAAGCTCTCTGTGTTTTAAGTTCTTTGTACAGCTTGTGATAAAGTGAAGCTCATCCTCAATTACCCCACATTCACTACACAACCTTTCACTTGTGGGTTTTGGCTTTGGTTTTGAGTACCGTCCAACTTCTATCTGTTATTTATGTGAACTCATCCCCAAGTCATCTCAACCCCAAGTCATCTCAACCCAGTCCAACTCAACCCCAAGTCAATTCAACCCCAAGTCAACTCAACCCCAGTAAAACTCAACCCCAAGTCAACTCAACCCTGTAAAACTCAACCCCGGTAAAACTCAACCCTATTCATTTGTGCAATGTCTAATTTATTTTTTAATGATGAATAATATAAGTCATTCATTTCTGAAAATCTAGCATTTTGCATGATACTTTGAATAGAAAGTCGTAAAAGTATTCCAAAAAAACTGTTAAGCTCAAGGATAATTCATCAAGTTGTCACTATTATTTAATGTAAGACATTCTTTTGAAATCAAATTTAGGATAATTTAGAAATAATTAACAATGTAATATAACTTTTTATTTATATGAACATGCATTAACAAAATCATTAACATTTACTTATTAATAGACTGAAAGCATATAGGTGTAGCCAGGAGGGGTGCGCACACACCCTCCCCCCAATTTTGAAGGAAGTTGCATCATTTTTTGTCAAAACATATCTTTTTTTGGTTCGCTTATGCCACAATCGGCCCCCCTGACTGAAAACCTGATTTTTTGGGCGATCGCATCCCTCCTGACTGAAAGCTGGCTATGCCCTTGGAAAGCAATGGTCATGTTCCAGTTTTCTAAATGATCACGAGTGTCAACTTCATAGGGATTACAACAAAACAAATGTATTAGCAAGATTAATAAAATGACCCATATTTTAATCCTATAAGTACCATGTTGACATTTTGGAGATAAACTCATTATTAACTATAATCTAAAAAGGTAGTGGTGTAAGAATGAAAAACACAAACTGAATAATACAGAATTATTTTTATAAAATAGACTTTCTTAAAAGTTTATCAATATATAGAAATATAGGGGTTGAGTTTTACTGGGGTTGAGTTTTACAGGGTTGAGTTGACTTGGGGTTGAGTTTTACTGGGGTTGACTTGACTTGGGGTTGACTTGACTTGGGGTTGAGTTTTACTGGGTTGAGTTGACTTGGGGTTGAGATGACCAGGAAGCGTTAATGCATGTGTATACTTTTTATTTTGAATGTTTAGATATGATTCTTTAGTGAAAGTATTTTTAATTTTATATAAGTTCTAAGAACAGGAAAAGTAAGAATATTCTGTTTCCATAGAAGTGCATAATTACTTTTTAATTTCTTTGTGATCATTTGAATAAATATATAATCATCTTCAACATTTTGAGTCAACCAATGAGAAAATAAATCACATTGTTTTAATATGTCAATAACTTTACTGAACCAAGTGCCAGCGTAACCTAAACCATTCATTTCAAGGTCATACAAGTATGATTTATTGAGCATATTTTCTTCAGGTTATATCATTTAAAGTACAATGGTAAATTATGCTAGCATATTCTGAGGGAATGAGGTACAAACTTCTGTTTTTCTAATTTTCATACTAAGATATACCCCAAAAAGTTTCAAACCAGTCCCTCATACTTCATGGTCTCCCTTAATTGAAGTAGACAAGATGGCTGAATGCCTGCCCATCACTCAACTGTTCCATACCCAACTGATCGCAATATAGCACCTAAGGGTTTAATAAAATACTTTATTTTCATAATTAAATATTCCAAAAGTCTGATATATTTAGAAACCATGTGGTATTAAAATTTGTCCATCTACATTTACTTTGAAATTCTGATTTTCTTTATAAAACATTAAGATTTATAGGTCAGGTAAAATCTCCATAAAGCCAATGTTACAAAATTGTAAAAAGTGCAACATCTTTTCTTAATATTAAAGAGATAACACACTTTTGTAATTTGTTTTACTGAACACATTTCAAATGATACAACTATTAAACTGAATGATAAGGTTATATACTGTATGGTTAGATAAAACAGAGACATATTTACACAAAGTAAATATACCTGTTTATTCAACCCATTATTCAAGTATAAGATATTGAACTGAACTACTTATCAAAGGTCATGTGACACTAGAAAGCCACTTGGACACTAAGATCAAACTGCATGAGATCAAAAAATTAAATTAAGTGCACATGAAATCAATACTCTGCATATAAATTATGTACAAAACTATAAACATATACAAAGGTATAGTGAGGTTTGTTTAAAGCTAACATTTTTCTAAATATAAAGCATTTGCTGCTAACGTTTGGTTTTCTTTAGCAATAACCAACCATCAACTAAATGTCTGACACATTGACAAAACATAGCACTTAAAAGTTCTTTAAATTTACAAGCTTTGATGGTTTTTCTATAGATGGATCAAGTGATTTGCTATTGGAAAGTTTGCAGACAAGATGCTTTATGAGTTACTTCTAGCCAGCACAGTGCTGTGTTTAACATATAACATTTACAAGTACATGGTCAAGAAAACCATAAAACTTCCAGGACCCAGAGGTTTACCATTCATTGGAAACATCCATAGCTTTATTCAAGATGGAGGCCCAGTTTGGCAAGTTCAAAAATGGGCAAATAAATATGGTGATACATTCAAAATAAACATTCTTGGTGAAGAAATCGTCATACTGAGTGATTATGATAGTATCTATGAGGCACTCGTAGAAAGATCAAATGATTTTGCTGGAAGGCCTTTCGAAAAATCATACGTAACGAAAAAATTGTTTTCTCATGGCATATTCATACAGGATTTTACTCAAAGGTTTGAAGCAAACAAGAAACTAGGATCACGTGGACTCAAACAGCATGGGGATGGAATCGGTAGAATTGTGAACCTCTCAAATGAAAACATAAGCCAGACAGTAAAGGAGTTTAAAGAAGAAAATGGTCAACCTTTCCAACCTCATGACAAACTTCAAAATCTGTTTTGTCGGATCATTATATGTGTGGTAGGTATAACTTAATGAATCTAAATTGTCAGTTGAACAAGATTTTATATCAAAAGAATCATAATAAGACAAAATACAGGGTGGTCCAAAAAAAGTGAACCTCTGCAACGGGCCATATTTCCCTTATTACTTGCAGGAATTCCTTCATATTTTCACATGTTGTAGAGAAAGGTCTAAAATCTATGTTGGTACCACACATTTTTCTTAGTCTTGAAATTTGCAGAAATTATAAGCCCTGACCAAACATTACTGAAAATGGATAAAATGTGATTTTCAATATCCGCGATTCTTCAACCCTTCAACACCCTTCCCCTGACATTTTTTAAGCTGCAGTGTTAAAGAACTAATATTTTCTGACTGTGTTCAATTTTAAATCCTGCACATTATGGATTAAAACTAGCATCCTACCTTTGTTAGTTACAGAGTTATTGTGATCCAAAGAAATAATCTAAGCTTCCATAGACAAAAATTTTTTCCAGTGAAATTGCGATTATACCCCTATATGATCTTGGAATGTCAATATCTTCATAAATCATGGACTAATTCTAATGAAATATGACTCAAAACATTGAATATTGGATTTTCTTTTGATATTTTAAAGCTTATTGATGAAAGGTTTCTCAGATACCCAGTCACAGGGGGCAACTTCCTTCCACAAGAGCCCCCCTCTAACTGTTTGTGTAAGTAACATACGCCTCAGCTGTTGAATGGTAAAAACTGCTTCAAAACGATCAATGAACGTGTGAAATGTTTTTTGCTTAAATAGTGTCCCTTTTGTCATATGGTAGGGTATTAAGCTTGTATCTCTAACTGAAAGCTGTTGAAAGATCATCCAATGTGTTTCAACTATTTCCGTGAATCACATTGGTAAAATTTTGCACAATATCTTATTTTCAGGCATGTTTGTTAAACTCTTGTAATTTCTTCAAAATTTAAGACTGCAAATAAATTATGGCATCAACCAAAATTGTAGACCTTTCTCTACAACATGTGATAATTTGAGCCCATTCATGAAGCTATTAAGGAAAATATAGCCTGTTGCAGGGGTTCACTTTTTGGACCACCCTGTAATTTGCAGATGGAAATATATTCCAAAGGGAAACTATTTTTCATTATTTCTTCAAAATGAGGCAGTCATTCATAATATATACATTCATATACTACTACACAAGACAGTAAAACTTGTCAAATTCAAACGCCATCGGGACCAGCTAAAAGAGTTTGGATAAGGAGGTTTCCACATTTCCAGGCTTAAGCATTCATGATATTCTGCATTTTGATGAAATGTGAAGAAATTCTCAATAAATCTTTATGGTACTATATTGACCACACGGTATTCCAATAATTTGAAATAATTATGATTCAAATGAGTCCATTAAACATGTTAGAAAGACATTATGAGTGAGACCATTCAACTGTTCAATGTTTTTCTAAATCTTTGGATATAAAAATAAAACAGTGAAAATATTTGAGCAATTTTGTATGAAACATGTGATATCTTATGAAAAGTGTTCATATCACACATGTTAAATGTTCAAATATGACTGTTCAGTGTTCAAATCAGGAGGTGTTCACATTTCAAGGTTTCTTTAAAATGGGAGTCAATGGGAGGAAAAAATGGGACTGAAAAGAGTGTTCAAATTGGGATTAGCTAGGCTTAAATGGGTGTTCAAATATATACAGGTTTCACTGTATGTTATCTAAACAAATATATAACAGCATTGCTTTGATTGCAATATAGCAATGTATACATTGCTTCTCCTAGTTTTCTGCAAGAAAATGCTTTAATCTGATGTTGAATCCATGGTTCATTAGTTGAACTTTTCATTAACAATTTCAAATATATCTGAACTTTTCTTTGTGCCTTCACTTCTGATTATGAAGTCATGGAGAAATCTATGATATTGAATAAGCTGAATTGGGGGGAAAAAGACAGGGTGATAGGCTAGGCCTAGGTATGTACATTAACCTCTTGACTACCTGGAGTGACGAGATATCTTGTCACCTCAGAAATTACCTTGAAACCAAGGGTGACGGTCAAATCTGTCACAAAATTTTTCACTAAAATTGCTCTTATAACAATTTCCATCCAATTTAAACAAAACTTGTTTTAGCATTTGTAGAAATGATCTCCGCCGTCTGATTTTACAAAGTTGAGCATCTAAAGTTGTATATGAATGTAGTTAAATATCAAAAGGTGGCAAAAATGAAAAATTATCTGGGTTCAACCGATTTTAGAGACTGGGATTCAAGAGGTTAAAGGCACATTAGGCTTCAGAGACAATAAAACTGTTCAACATTTTTTTATGGCTTAAGAGTTGATGTCATGGTTTAACTCCTTTCCGCTGATTTACCAGTTTTTATGACTTTTTTAATCTCATGCCAATGTCAGCTGCCACGCCCCCTAACTTGCCCTGGGAGCATCTTTTGTTCAGTGTAATTAAAACTCTGTGCATGGTCAGTAGTTCGGTCAATTTTTTTTCAATCATTTCTTAATTGTTCTGTCTATAATCGATCAATAAACAAGTTTAGGAACAAAGGAACTTTAGTTAATTACGATGCCTAGATTATAGACAATCAATGCCTAGACACCCAGGACTGCGGCCAATATGGGATAGGATAGTAAATATCCCACCCGAAAGTGACATTGAATCAGATGATGAATCAAATCTTGGGGAAGCTTTTTCATCCTCAGAGTCAGAGGACGATTCTGACTCAAATTCAATTTTCTCACGTTTTTCAGGAGTATCTTCAACAGAAAGGACTTAAAACTATACATGAAAGTCCATTCAAAGTCGTCTATTGAACCTTGAAAAGCCATATATACAACAACTTTCAGCTCATCTTTACTTAGTAGAATTTTTTTATGAATTTGTCTGATATCTGCTTGAATATGGTATATACTTGTGTTGATTGTTTAATTATTACATAATAGATTGGGGATAGAATATGTCAAAGTTGTCTGATCATGTCCCACAATAAATTCTTTGAATTTTTTTAAGCTGCTTGGTGAAAATACGCCCTATAAAGAGGATGACGGAGAATTCGCTAGGAAATGGTTAGAGGACATCGAGGTGAATTTAAGAGGGCCATTTTTCTATCTTATACAGATGTTCCCATGGACACGTTACTTTGGCAACCCTGTTTATTCGACAATGAATGAAATGATGAAATGCCGTAACAAAACCTTTACGGAGTGGATTGAAAGGTTCAAACATTATAAACAGGTAAAATACTTATGATAATATAATATGTACAATAAATAAATATGTAAACTTTGTGCATTGAGATTTTGGTAAAACTTTATCTTTTACTCCATTTATTTCCCAAGTATTTCATTGCATGATAAAAAACATGGTGCCCTTTAATGGGTTGGAAATGTGTTATAGGAAAGTGGTGAGAGGACACTTATTAAAGAGTTATTGGCCGCTAAGGAGGACGGCAAAATGACAGATGATGGTATTTTTGGAATCATGATTGAAACTTTCATTGCAGGTATAAATCCTTTTCATAGTTAGACTAGTTCTTTAGTGCATTTTTCCACTCTGCAGACCCTGCATTTGGTTTTAACAGGAATCTTCCAATTTACTATCAATTTAAATAGTTCTTGATTATGCTTTCATTAGCTAATAACTCTGATCTATTTTGTGTGACCATACTATAACTGAAGCAGCTTGATTCAAGAGAAAATTTCAGACCTGCAGAGATGGAACGATATATGATCACATTGAATAAAATGCTCAAAGAAAAGGAAATATTAAGATCTGCAGAGGATGGATGTGTCAATTTTATATTAATCATATACATATACATTGGGTATTTGGTTTTTGTTTTAATAAAAGCTGGGAAGAAGAATTTTAAGAATTCAACTTTAGATTCTGAAATATCAATAGTTCTTTTTGACTTTTATGATTTGTGGAAAAAAGTATATATCAAATGATAAATTCATATTTCATATTTTTACACTTTATATTGGACCTTGAAAACAAACAAAGTAATGTGTATTAGCAGAGCTACAATAATCAATCAAAGTACTAGAAGTGTCAAAGCCCTATAACCAATTTGTTTATTAATTATTTATTAGGAATTTTCACAACACATACAACCACATCCGGATTCCTACTTGCAATGATGAATTTTCCTGACATTCAAAGTAAGCTCCATGAGGAAATTGATCATGTGATTGGCAAAGACCAGCTTCCAGAGCTATCAGATCGTGAGAAGATGCCATATATGGAAGCAACAATTCTTGAAACACTGCGTTACATGTCGATGATCACACCAATCTTCCATAAAACTACTTGTGATACCAATATAGCTGGTTGTGATCTCCCAAAGAATACACAGGTAAATACATTCATGTCTCTTTTGATTATTTTTCATATACAGTACATTGTATTGTTCATTTAATTTTGCTTAATTTGTCATCTGCTTTAATTAGGCATTTATGAAAAATTCACCAAACCCTGCCAAAATCTGATTTAATATAAATCTGATTAAGTCTAATATTTACCAACCAAATTTAAATGCGATCTTCTGGCATCTTTTAGTTTGGTAAAACATGATACACAATAATAAATATCCCACTCTAAAAAGCAAAATGGCTGTAATGTTATTTACAAAGCATGCCAAAACTTATCATGTATACTTTTCTAATTGAACTAATAAGAAGTTTCCAGGCAGTTGATAATGTAACAACCAAGTTACTACAGTACAGATGTAAAGTTTGTAAAAACACAAAAACAAAAAAATAAGGCATTAACATGACAAAATGTTACCACTTGCCATTTGTGACAGACACCGACTAAAAAAAACAGATGCAAACTGGCAAAAACCATCCACAAAAAGTTGGAGACTATAACAATATGTCATCACTGCTGGTGGGGACATCAATACCAAAAAACAGAGATGATTGCGTCAATTTCATTTAATGAATCACAAAACCGAATTTCTCATATTTAACACAGGGTTGACTGAATAATCATTCATATTCACTTTTCAAGCCTGATAATAAAGACTTTATAAAAAAAATGGATAAACTTCCATATGGGGAATTTTAAATTTCAACATTTTCACCAACAAAGGGGTTCATTTGAATCAAAATATTTTACCCATATGTTAATAGTAACATCTGGTTACTGAAAAGTTAGTCACTCATGAGCAAATATATCCAGAAGCTCCAATAATCTAGCAAGAATTCCTCACTTCAGCATTCAGCAACCAGGATGTTATCTGATGAATTTCACAGTCTTGGTTGCATTCTGTTTATGTCCTATAGTGCTCAATTACTCAACTAAACTCAATAGAGAAAAAGGTCTAAATAACTGTTGCCTAAAAGCAACTTAAATACATTGTCTTACAGGTTTGGATGAACTTATATGGCATGCACCATGATAAACGTTACTTCAAACACAACCCAGATTCTTTTGTTCCTTCACGATTCCTTGACTCTGATGGCCATCTAGTTCCACATGAGGAAAGAAAAGCGTAAGTCAAATTATAATCTAAATTATGTAGATATCTAGATATGGGCCATGATAAGCATTGCTTCAAACACAACCCAGATTCCTTTAATCCTACAAGATTCCTGGACTCTAATGGCAATCTTGTTCCACCTAAAGAAAGAAAAGCGTGAGTTGGATTCTGACCTAAACAATAGAGATTGACCACTGTATAAATTTCAATTCAATCTGACTATTATTTTTCAATGACAAATGTGTGAAGTGTTTTGTATCCCATAATTCAAAATCTGAACAATCTTATAACAATGTCTTTATGTTCACTAATATTTTGGCATGATTACAGACATTGCCATGTGTGGAAACTTTTAACACATCTTTTTGGGACATTGATATGAAAAATGTTGGCATTAGAGATCACAAATTGTTTTTTCATGCAGAAATACTGTTTTGCCATGTGTGACAAAATGAAATGAATTTATTACAGGGTACTGGCATTTGGAGCAGGTAGACGCGTCTGTTTGGGAGAAGTTCTTGCAAAAACCAGGATGTTTCTCCTCTTTACACAGCTGTTACAAAACTTTTACTTCGAGCAAGCTGACCCAGAAAATCCTGTCCTGTTTGATATGAGGAAATTCATAGCTGGGCCTGATACTTTAGTCGCAACTAAATTTAAGATAGTAGCGAAACCTCGTTAGAAGGGTATCATACCATGATCTATGTACTATAGTAGCAAAGCCTTATAAAATAAGGGTATAACCCGCCCTTGTCATACCATTAAAGTGATCATACACATGAAGTATCATAGCCTCTTGATACTTATGGTATCAAAGGTCTGGTTAGTACCTGTGTAAAAGGCTTGAATTAGAACAATAATATAACATTACACTGTATTTCATAAGACTTTGAATTTACCATGTAAGTATCAAAAACCACAGCAAATCTTTATTGAAAATGTTAGTGAAGCTTCGAGTGAGGTGCCAAACTTTTTGTTAGCAAAAAGACAAAATTATTGTGAAAGTTGAATTTTGGTATCTTGACTCAAGTAAAAGAATGGCAGAATCACCAAGTGACATGATGCAGATAATTCTGATACTTATATCATATATGTGGTTTAAAACCATTGGTTTGGAACCTCATCATTGTTTTTACAAAGTGTAAGCAAGTAACTTTTTTCTCAGAGTTACAATTGGTTGTAATATAAACTTTAAAAAGTACATTAATTGAGAGAACAACTAAATATCAAGAGACCATGTAGTGGAATAGTATATACTTTTTTATCCCACCCTAAGTGCTTTATATGATTGTATAATAGCATTGTATAACTGCAATATTAAACCAACACTCATCGTATACAACTCTTGAGAACGATATACAACTCCTGGATAGCGTATACAACTCCTGGGCAGCGTATACAACTCTTTGACTCGATATACAACTGCTGAATTTAGATTAAACTTTTATTGATTAAAGATTAGGGTGGGATAATAAGATCATATAATGGTTGATTTTGTATATCGCTATACTCTCGTGAGTATATGATATATACACTCGTTCCCTTCGGTCACTCGTGAATATATCATATACTCACTTGAGTATAAACACGATATACAGAATCAACCATTATATAACCTCATAATTTTCAATTTTCAATTTGTTTATTTCACAAAAAACATACAATATACATATACAATGAGTGGGTGACACAAGGGTTTGTGTATATTCCCAAGATGGAGTAAATTTACAAAGTATGTTAGAGTGGCGGGGATCTGCCATTGCATGTCTTAAATAATATATATATATATATAAAATTTGTGCCATCAAAGTGCCCCTAAATAGAATTAAAGTTGTAATAAATATTTTTTTGTCTGTTTTTTCATGAGTATGATGCTTCTGATAGATTTAAAATGTGGGGGTAATTGGTTCCAAATATCAGGTATAGAATAAGATAGCATTGATTTTCCATAGTTTGTACGAATTTTTGGTTTGTCGAAAGTTTTCTTGTTTCTTGTATCATAATTATGTCTATTTTCAACTATTTGGAAGAAATCTGGAAATATTTGTTTGTAATTATCCTTGTCATTGATCCATTTAAACATGAATATATATCTTTGTTGCTTATTTATCTGAAATATGTTCAGGATTTTTAGATCATGAAAAAGAGGTAAAGAGTGAGCTCTAAAGTCGCTATTTGTTGCAATTCTTACAAATTGTTTCTGAGAACGATGAAGAGTATTAAGCAATGTACAGCCTGCTTCGCCCCAGATTATATTTCCATAAATGAGATATGAGTAGATTAGAGAGTAATATATACTAAGTAAGCTTTTGGCATTCAATAAATGTTTAACTTTGTATAATATACCAATGGTTCTTGATATTTTCATGTTTACTGCTGTAATGTGATTCTTCCAGGTAAGATTCTGATCAATTATAATTCCTAAAAAGTTTATATGTGTCACTTGCTCAAGTATTTTATTATTCACAATGACTGATATATCATTTTTATTATATTGCTTTTGTCTAGAAGAAAATATGATATATTTAGTTTTCTTTGCATTTAACGAAAGTTTATTTGTGGCTATCCATTCCTCAATTAGTTTCAATTCAGCATTCAAAGCATTGGTAATATCATTAAGATTTTTTCCTTGTATTAACAGATTCGTATCATCTGCAAATAGTACAAAAAATAGTCGAGGAGAAGATAGGTAGATGTCATTGATGTATATGATAAAAAACAAGGGACCTAGCACAGAGCCCTGAGGAATTCCACATGTGATTGACTCGGGATCTGAAATAGTGTCTATATAACAAGTTTTTTGAATTCTATTAGAAAAGTAACTTTTTACCCATTCCAGCGCTACTCCTCGTATCCCATAGAAATCGAGTTTTTGAAAGAGGATATTATGGTCAATAGTATCAAAAGCTTTAGAAAAGTCAAGAAATACACCAATAGAGAATTCACCTTTGTCTATAGAATTTCTGATTTTTTCAACAAATGTAAGTACTGCCATGAATGTTGATTTTTTTTCCCGAAAGCCAAATTGATAAAGATACATTATTTCTATTTTATCAAGAAAAGAGGTCAGTCGATGGTGCATAAGTTTCTCAAGTAATTTTGAGAAGACTGGTAAAATCGATATAGGTCTATAATTATTAAAAAGCTGTTTGTCCTCCTTTTTATGAATTGGTATTATCTTCGCAATTTTTAATTTGTCAGGAAAAACACCATTTGTTAGAGATAAATTGAAAATATGTAATAATGGTAATTGGAATTCCTTACCACTATGCTTAATTATGGAAGGTTTGAAATCGTCAAAACCGGCCGCAGAGTTTTTCAATTTTGATAATTCCACGTTTAATTCATTGGAGTCGATCGGATTCAAAAATAAAGTTGAAGCTTGTCTACCAATATTATTCATGTAGTCTAAAGGACTTTTGTTTGAAGGAGGAATCTTTGCTGCCAGGGTCTCACCTACCCTTGAAAAGAAAGAATTAAACTGATTAGCAATGTCTAATTTATTTGTTATTTCAGTATTATTATGGAAGAATGTGTCTGGGATATTGTGATTTTTATTTTTCCTTTGAAGAATTTCATTAATAATTTCCCAATTAGCTTTAATGTTTCCTTGATTTTCCTCAAATTTTCTGTTAAAGTAATGCTTATGGGCTGATCTTATGATATTTTTTAACATTTTAGAATAAACTTTATAATTTGCCTTATTTTGATTTGTTGGTGTACGAAGATATTTTTTATATAATTTACTTTTTTGTCTCACCGATACAAGAATAGCTGAAGTAATCCAGGGTTTTTCATTATTATTATAGGACTTAAAAGATACCAATTTGATTGGAAAACTTTCATCATAAATTTCTTTCAGGCGTTCTTCAAAAAAATTGTAGGAAGTATTTGTATCATCGCTATTCATTGTATCTGCCCATGATTCTTTGGCTAATTTTTCTTGAAAGGTAGTATAATATAGTATCAAACAATGTACAACTATATCCAGCTTCAAATATAGCCAATACATATTGAGCACAATATGTAATATGTGTAAGTCTGATAAGGGTTCATTATATATTAAAATGAACATGTATACAAAATTCAAAACTTCTGTATGGCACTCTGATTTTACAAGTTTTGTTTGGGGCATATTATCACTGCACTGGTGATCCACTCAATTACAATAGTTACCAAAATGGTTTGTTTCACTAACAAAATGTCTGAATCTAGAAGGTGTGATTTTTCTCTTTTCCTTATTTCACACGTCGTAGGCAGAATTCCCATGACATTTTTATCACATAGATATGTCAGTATCATAGTTCAGAAGACAACAGAATCGTCGATTTGAGAAGTGCAGATCATAACCCTTTTTTGATGATCCATTTACGTAACATAAGTAAGCTCATATAATCAACGATTCTGCAAACTCCCATGCAGCGTCTCAGTATAGACACTGGGGCGGGCAGATGAAGAAAATCCCCAAAATTTGGGGAAAATAGTTCCCCTTTTCATCATATATGTGGTCAATTTTCACACAACTTATAAAATATGTATTTATGAATGTCCCCCAAAACATTATTTTGTCAAAATATTTCAAAATTATTGAAATATGAGAAGAAATCATCGCGGAAGGAATTCTGAGTAAAAGTTGTATTGATAATAGTTTACCACACGTGTTGTTTATCAGTTAATACGCGCAATTCAACCAATGAAATTGTCTAAATTTTACAATCACGCGACCTGAGCATGGGACTAGAACCAATCACGTCAGTTGTTTATTAAAAAGTTACCATGCTTAAGGTGAGATACCTGTCCGCCGCAGTGATATATCACTGCATGGGAGTTCGACCATTCTGTTGTCTTCTGAACTATTTTTTTCGCAAATATGTACATATTTGAGGTTCTAACATTTTGTTACCCGGAAGAAGTGTTTCAGTAACCAGGGTAATCGAGTGAATCACCAGTGGTTATGCTTATATATGCTATATTTTGGAGTCCTAGACCTTCACAACAAAACAGATGTCAATTGATTATTTACTTTTATAAATATGATGTCCCATAACATGAAAAAATCAGTCCCCTTACACTGTACACAACTATATTTTTCTCAGTATGAACTCAACAATGATTTTAAACCAAAAGCATTTTTCCACTTCAACATTTCAAAAATGCTTCTAATTAGGTGTACCTTAACCCAGTAGCATTACTATAACCCTTGTTGGAGTATTTCACAGGTACACATACACATTACAAAGCTTATAGTTCAAGGGGCAGGGGGAATCTTTCTTTAATTTCTACACAATCAAAGTAAATTGGTAAATTATATCAGCATATTCTAAGGGAACATGGTACAGACTTGTGCTTTCCTTAATTTCATACCAAGTACATTCCTAAACATTTTTAATCAATCCCTCGTACTTGGTGGTTTGTCATGAAACATATAGACAATTTCTCTTGATCCACCACCCAAATTGACACCCATTTACTCACCTGGTAAATCATTGCAATATACCACCCAAGGGTTTGATAGACTAAACAAAAGCCAAATTCTTCAATTAAAAATTTGGCTCTAAAAATGTGTTTATCTACTTTGAAATTTTATTTCCCTTCAGAATGTGTTCCAGGTTGGATATATTCCCCATAAGGCCCATGTTCAATAATGACAAGTGAATTTTTTTTCCTTATATCAAACAGATAATTTATTTAAATGAATTATTTCACTATGTGCCACTGATCTAAAAGTGATTGCAATAAACTAAAAAAAATTTAAATTTGTCCATCTACATTTACTTTGAAATTCTGATTTTCTTTATAAAACATTAAGATTTATAGGTCAAGTAGAATCTCCAAAAAGCCAATGTTACAAAAGTAAAAAGTGCAAAATCTTTTCTTAATATTGAACAGATAATACATTTTTGTAATTTGTTTTACTGGACACATTTCAAATGATACAACTATTAAACTGAATGATAAGGTTATATATGGTTAGATAAAACAGAGACATATTTGCTATTACATGTATGTGTCTCTGATTAAAGCTGATACACTAAATCTGTCAATAATCATGGTTCAAGGGAACCTTTTGTATGACCTTGGTTATTTGAAGAACTGATATCAACTTGCTACAAAACCATTCACCTTCCATAAGGGATAGATCCTAAAGATCTAATGCAATAAAAGTACACAAAGTAAATATACCTGTTTATTCAACCCATTATTCAAGTATAAACTATTGAACTGAACTACTTATCAATGGTCATAACACTAGAAAGCCACTTCTACACTAAGATCAAACTGCATGAGGTCAAAAAATTAAATTAAGTGCACATGAAATCAATACTCTGCATATAAATTATGTACAAAACTATAAACATATACAAAGGTATAGTGAGATTGAAAAGGAAACCAAAGTAATGTAAGTTTAAAGTTTTCTGCATGAGATTTGTTAAATGTAGCAATAATTTTTTCATCCATGGCCTTTTTTCTGACAATGTAAGGCAACAGAAAGAATTTAAATAGGACGACAATGTCTAATAAATATATGCAATTTGCAGAGATTAAACACAGGAACTTGTATGAACAATAGCTGACATCTACAACAACAGCTGACATCTACAGCAGCCCAACTAGAAGAACAGTGGCAACCTGTTACCTAACCATATTTCTTTGAGAAAATAAAGAGCAAATAAATACTATTTGGACTCACTTTTTATATTATTTGGCAATACAAGTTCCTGTGAGATTCGAGAACCACTTTTGAACTTGTACATTTAACAAATCTCTCGATGTGTCTAAATACTTCAAAATTTCATGTTGTTAGCAATTTATTCTCTAGCATCTTGGCAAAACAAAGCACTTAAATTGTTAACTTTTTCTTTAGAGACGGTAAACATGTGATTTGTTGTGAAAAACTTGCAACATAGCACTTAATTTTTAACTTTTTCTTTAGAGACAGTGAACAAGTGATTTGCCATACGCGTAGAAAAGCTTAAAGACAAGATGCTTTATGAGTTCCTTTTAGCCAGCACAGTGCTGTGTTTAACATATAACATTTACAAGTACATGGTCAAGAAAACCATAAAACTTCCAGGACCCAGAGGCTTACCAATCATTGGAAACATCCATAGCTTCATTTTGGGTGGGGGCCCAGTTTGGCAAGTCCAGAAATGGGCAAAAGAATATGGCGATGCATTCAAAATAAGCATTCTTGGTGCAGAAATTGTCATTCTGAGTGATTATGATAGTATCTACGATGCCTTGGTGGTAAGATCAAATGATTTTGCTGGAAGGCCTTTCGATAAATCATACGGAGTCAAGGAATGGTTTAATAGCAACATAGCCACTAATGACTTTACACCAACATTTAGAACCTACAAGAAACTAGGATTACGTGGACTAAAACAGCATGGGGATGGAATCAGTAGAATTGTGAACATATCCAATGAAAACATAAGCCAGACAGTAAAGGAGTTCAAAGAAGAAAATGGTGAACCTTTCCAGCCTCACATGAAACTTCAAAATCTCTTATGTCGGATCATTGTATGTATGGTAGGTATAATTAGATGCTTCTACATGTTATTTGTCTATTGAGCAGGAATCTATATGAAAAGTGATAATAAAATATTATTCTATGGGATGTCAAATGACATGCTCCTGAGACTACAAGCTGAAGGAAAATGCCAGTAGACAGGATATTCCCTAGGGGAAATTATATTTCACTTTTTTCAAAAATATGGCAGTACCCTTTTGGACCACTAACACCATCCACAAAAAAGTTCGCGACTTTAACAATATATCGCCACTTGCGGTGGTGACATAAAAATATACTATTGACTGGTTAGATGAAATAATTGGTATTTTCATGAGAATATATAAAAAAAGTTTATGAGCACCCAGAACACATATTTAATTGAATGCGTACAGTAATCATAATGAATGGTGTATATAATCATTACTAATTTTCTAAAAATTCTTTTTTTTCAATTTTGTAAAGGGACATTGTTTCCATTTAAAAAGTGTGTAAACTTGTAATATTAGGAATAAGCAAATGAATATTTTAAGATCATATGGGAAATAAACTTATTGTACACAAAAGCATAAAAGCATAAATTAGAAGAATCCATGTATTAATGAATGAAAAATTATTTAAGCTGCTTGGTGAAAATACGCCCTATGAAGAAAATGATGGTGAATTTGCTAGAAGATGGTTAGATGACCTCGAAGTAGCAACAAATGGACCGTTTTTCTATCTATTAGAGATGTTTCCAGTGACACGCTTCTTTGGCAACCCTGTTTATCCGAAAATGACTGAATTGATGGAATGTCGTGATAAACATTTCACAGAGTGGATTGAAAGATTCAAACTTCATAAACAGGTAAAATATGTAATTTTACAATAAATAGTATTATGTACACTATATGCTTTCAAATTTTGATGAAACTTGATCCTTTCACAAAATTCCCATCCTGACAAATGTCTTCTTGTTTTCATGTATCTCCTTCATAAATGGCATTTCAACTTCTGTTATAGGAAAGTGGCGAGAGGACCCTTATAGACGAGTTACTGATCGCTAAGGATGAAGGCACAATAACAGATGATGGTATTTTTGGAATCATGACTGATACTTTCAGCGCAGGTATAATATCTCTAAGCTGTTCTAAGAATCTTTGGATTTGTCATCATTGTCAATTGTGACATCATTTCAAATATTTTTTGGACAAAATTTGTTTTAAAAACTTATCACTCTGATGTATTAGCATTTTGTGTAGGCAAACTGCTATTGAATCCATAGAGGAAATTTAAGATTTGCAGAGAGCTTGAAGGATCACAGATTAAAAATGTTTTTAGAATAGTTCATTTATGGGCTCTCTTGAAAGCCGATATTAAGCAGATATTAAGCAGATATATGATTTAACAGTGAATTAAAATCTGTAATGTATTCACCAGATTTTGAATACATTGAGAAAAAATGCTGTGTGAAATCTCTTTAGTACTTCATAGTTTTAAACTTATCATGGTGCCTTTAAAATAAATTAAAAGAGGTGTATTAGAGAGTTTATTGTTTATTGTTAATTATCAAGAATGAAAATCCTGTTTTAAAATCATATAATCTATTTGATGATTACTTACTTATCAGGAGTTTTCACAACATTTACAACTACATCCGGATTCCTACTCGCAATGACGAACTATCCAGATATCCAAAATAACCTTCACAAGGAAATTGATTGTGTGATTGGCAAAGAACAGCTACCGGAACTATCAGATCGTGAGAAGATGCCATATATGGAGGCAACGATTCTTGAAACACTGCGATATATGTCAATAGTGGCAACAAACGTGCCACATAAAACTACTTGTGATACCCATATAGCTGGATGTGATATCCCAAAGGGAACACAGGTTCGTTTATTCATATCTACTTAAACTATACCTTTTATAAATATAACGTTGGTCATCATCTTTTTTCTTAATTTGACACTTGGTCAAATTTGGCAAATTGGCAGTCATGGAAAATATATTCAAATCTTTACTGAAATCCAATGAAATTAAAATGCATGAAAGAAAAACTACGATATAATATTTAGAGGTTATGTCATGTGCACTATCAAAGCATATATGCCAGAGGTTCTCAGTGATATAAGGCCTGACCTTGAAAGGGAAATTGATGAGAACTGAAGGCATATGTGCCACGATAGTGACATAAACAATTTATAACATACCTAGCTATGATGATGTAGACTGGACTCCTACAACCCAACTCTTTCCATTAAAGTGTTCGAGACAATATGTCATAACTTCTGGCGATGACATAATACAAGTTGTACAGGAAATAAGTTAAGCCTCACAAGTGATCTGTTGTCCACAAAAAATTCTTATTCCCATTAACAAAACGTAACTAGAGTACATTGAATTACAGGTTTGGATGAACTTATATGGCATGCACCATGATAAGCGTTACTTCAAACACAACCCAGATTCCTTTGATCCTACAAGATTCCTTGAATCTGACGGCAATCTAGTTCCACATGAAGAGAGGAAAGCGTAAGTTGGATTATGTAAATGTCTACAAGATGTCCATTGATCACTGTATAAATTTCCGCCATCCACAAAAAAGATGGAGACTTAAACAATATGTCACTTTTGATGGTGACATAAAAATGTGAACATTCTTGAAGCATCTTTAAGTACAGTCTTTGCATGAATTGCAACTTTTACTAAACTTTCTTTTTCAGTTTAACTCATTATTCCTTGCATTAAAGTTATCCAACAAAAATCCTGTAGTTCACAAAAAAGTTTCCATGGTAACAGATATTGCAATTTAAACGTGGTTAGAGACCTAGAAAATTGAGATTTTATATAATTATTATAAAATGTGATCAATTTAGATTTTCAAAGCAGAAATAATATTTTGACAAATGACTGATGAATTTTTATTACAGATTACTGGCATTTGGAGCAGGTAGACGTGTCTGTATGGGAGAAGTTCTAGCAAAAACCAGGATGTTTCTCCTCTTTACACAGCTTTTACAAAACTTTCACTTTGAGCATGCTGACCCTAAAAATCCAGTCCTGTTTGATATGAGGAAATTCATAACTTCACCAACCCTTTTATTGACACCAAAGTTCAAGATAGTAGCAAAGCCTCGTTAGAAGTGGAACATGCCGTGATTTAAACTTTAGTAGCAATGCCTTGTAAAATTGTTTCAAGCCTATCAAGAGCATTGTGAGGTCTGGTAGTAAGTGCCAGTACCTGGATCACAGGGAAATGGAGATAAACTGGGAGAAAGTCCCTGTTTACCCAACCCCTATAACTGCTTTCATTTTCTCTGATTCAGATTTAGGAAGTGGACAAAAATTTAATGTATTCATTAACTCACGTGTCTTTGTCGATTTCCCGCATTTGCTTCACGCAGTTCTCTTTCCCGTGAAGTGATGTATCAGCAAATGCCATTATTTCAACATTCTCCATTTGCCATGTGAAAAGCTTCGTTCTGATTGGTGCATTTCTGTAGAGTTGCATCGAGCGTTTAATGTACACCTCTGCATTCTTTTTACGTAGTGATGCATATAGTTCATCCACCTTACTCGCTGAAATATCATTAAATTAATAATTCAAATAAAACTGAACACCGAAAAAAAAGAATTATCTGTCACATTATTTTTATAGGTTATGCCTCAGTCACATTTGATCTACGACAACCATACAGCAGCTGTAGCTTCCAAAAATTAATAGAATTATGCAGCATAAAACATAAAGAAAGCAGTGTGATGTAGATTTTCAGTTATAGCCTATCCATTTTCAAATACGCCGCTTTATGCCCGCTGTACAGCAAATGTGACTGAAGCTAAAGTACAATGTGAGCACTTTATGCTGTTATTGATGTAGTTTAATGTTATTAATAGTTAAGCATTGCTTTGAGTTGAGACTAATTAGTGTAGATATACCTGTGTGTCATGTTTTGATACAATTTAGTTGTCAATAAATAAAATACTAATGCATGTAAATATTTTGGGGCTCATATATCCTTTGTTTAATAACAAATTAATTTCAATTATGCAATATTTTGATTCCTAGATCATTTTTCAAGTTACTGACAGTTATCAGGTTATTCTTATGATTTCAGAAGAGATTTTTTGTATAAAAGATGTGTAATATGAAATAAATAGAATCAATTAAAAAAAATATCAAATTAATTTGTTATTAAAACATTTATACATCCATACTTAATATGAAAATTGTACATGAACCTAACATATAGAATTATGAATCATGAAATTATGGATTCTTGATACTGTTAAACAAAACCACGGTGATAAATATCACACATTGAAGAGCAAAATGGCCGCCATGTAATTTGCCTAACATCCCCAAAACCAGCAGCCAGCAGCAGTGTGACAAAAGGCATAAATCTATATTTTTAGGAAAAGCAAATAATACATGTACATGTAGATGAACTTGAGTTTTGTAGAATGACACATTTAGATAATAAACCATGCCTTAATGCTTATTGTATGCCTATTAAAACTAATCATTGAGAGAAATATATTTAAAGAAATGAACCAGTTCTGAATTGTTTAGTTTCGAATTTGTTACACTGTCGATTGATTCAATCAAATATAACAAAGACAAAACCTTCTTAAACAATTTAAAGTAGTAGCAAAGAATAGAGACTAAAATATTGGAAGAAACTATTCCATTCCAACACCTCCCCTTTAATCCTAATTTATGTCAGATGAAATATGGAAATTATTCAAAATTTATGATGCAAAAATGTCCCAAATCATTCAAATTGAAAAGGGTGTCCTCAAAATCATTGTCAATTAACCTTAAAATCAAAAGCATTATAAAATAAATTCAAAACTGACTTTTTAGACTATAGACATGACTCGAAAACCAGTGAGCAAACATTGATTAGTTTCTTTCAACTTCTCTCTAATCGTTGTTTCCCCTTTAATATTTCAACTGATTGGTACTACTTCCTCATATTTAGTGATTTTAAAAATCGAAATAGATCTTTCAGATAAATCCCTGAGAGAAACTTTGATATATTGGCTAGCATGATGATGTCATAGATTGTATTTTTAAAATTAAAAATAAGTTTATCTTGTTTTACATGCTCAGATGGCATTATCAATTCAGCCAAAATTTCATTCTAATGTATCAAAAGGTGGCAGGATTTATTGGATATTTTCTCTTGCAATCTTTCAAATACCTGGAAGAAGGCCGTGTATTTTGCGGAGTTCTTGAATCTTTTTATCCATTGCCAGCAAGCGTTTCTGACTTTCCCCAAATTCATCAACCATGAGCTAAAAGAAAAAGTCTTTTGAGTACTTGGAAGGTCAAAATTGCATCTTTAAGAAATCCAATACAATATCTTGACTACAATAGTTTTGAAAATATATGTTTTTATTTTCTTGCAAGATCTATTTTTATCTTTTCATTTACATTTCAACAAAAAATTCTGATCGGTGACTTTACGAGAGAAAAATGCATGAAGTCTGAACACTTTTTATCATAGATTTTTTGCAGTGGCCCACTTTTTCACAAACGGTGTTAAAAAAGTGTTACCTCATAATTATCTCCAAGTTTAACTTCAAACGGATCGTCATGTAACTGCACTGTCAATTTCTGAAAAGAATTGTCCAATAGGCTACATAAGAAGGTGTTCACACTAAGGCAGATGAGGCAATAGAGTCAACATAATTTTATAGAAAAATATTCACCCACATAGCAATTTTTCAGCAGTGCTTACATTTTCCACATTAAGAAATTTAACATGTTTTCTAAGGGTTCATTTTCTTTTATATTGCCCTAAATGATATAACCATATTTGTTACAGGAATACAGACCACCATCCACTAAAAAGTTGGCTTTTGGCGGTGACATAAAAACTGATATTTTGCAAAACATTGATATCTCAAAATTTGACTTGAGATCAAATCACTGATTTCCACAGCTTTGAAGCAAGTGGCCGCAAGATTTTGATAACTTGAAAACCCTGTATCTACTTGGAAAAAAGGAGTGCAGATATAAGAAATTTGTGCATCAACCAAAGCGAAAATCATGGGAAAAATCTCTATGTAAACTTACCTTGGTTTTAATGATCAAATCTGGAGGTAGCAAACTTTCAACTGTAAATGGTTTTCTGCGAATTTTGTGAACAATTTTGATCCATTTCCATGTGTTGATTATCTAAAAAAAAATTTAATTATCATAAAATTAATAATGACATATATGGCAAAAAATATACAGAATATATGACTCTGGATTGGCATGGTGTTAACAGTGTTTAATTTATTTCAGACAAGTGATCACGTAATGTAAGTTGTGTCAAATTCATGACCTAAGCAATCAACTGGTTTCTAGGGAAACAGGCTCACATGCAAAAATGTCAAACTGACCCAAAAAAGAAAAAAATCAAAATCTAGTCAAAAGTCTCTTATTAAGTACTGACTTTTCATCCCAAAACCTGGTGAAACATATTTTGCCTTTTTAGGATTTGACATTATGTACCATTAGATTTTGTCTTTTTTGAAATTAAAGAAACCAAAAAAACAAACACACACTTTACCTGCTCAAAACAGGCCGAGAAATTATAACTGTGTGGAAAAAACGACTTGGACGTCACTAAATCCAATAGACCTGCAAACAGAACATTTGAAATCTGAAAACGAATACGGTATATCATTACATTTTTCCACAATTTTGGAGTTGGTGTTCATCGTTTTCGATGTTCTTTAGGACACATTAGTAGGGATTCATTTTACAGGGAAACCACAACATGTTTTCAGACACAAAACTCACCAAGCCCTGTTGGTTGGTAGCACCAGCTGCTCAAAGACTTCTCTCTCAAACTTCAGAAATGTGCTGTGATGTACAGACTCAACTCTAACATCCTGCAAAATGAATTAAACAGTCCTTTGGATTGTGATGGTGATTTCTGAATGGTAGGGGAGGGGTGTGTAAGACATTGTTTCTTTGTGAGTTGGACCATTGTTTGGGGGATGTTTTTCTTGATTTGTGTTCTTTGATATTTTCTTTGACAAAAAAGTTGGAGACCATAACAATGTCACCACTTTCAGAAATGTCACCACCAGTTATTTGAAGATGAAAGAATTTGTTACAGACACCAAACCCCGACAAATGATACAAGATATATGATGAGTTATAATAATGTATAATCACTGTGGCACCCACATAACAACATAACAACAACAAGGCATTAACATGACAAAATGTCACCACCAGTTATTCGAAGTTGCAATTTTATTACATAGGCCGATCCCCCAACACCAGCCACCAAACACTGTCAACAAAAAATATTGAGGCAATAACAATGTCACTTCTCGTGGTGATACAATGATCCTTCCCTTTTTGCATAAATATTTACAAAATTAAATTCATCTAGTGACATTCCCCAATTCAACTATATGTATATCAGGTTGACAGCAATTAATTTTAAGTTTATTTTAATTTAACTCCCCCGTTATCATAATCTTTGGGAAATTAAAAAATATTTCTCGCATTTTTCACTATACAATACTCAATCCTCCAGGGAGCAGATAATTACCTTCAGTTTGAATATTTCATTGTCATCAAATATAACTGATACTGCAGGGCCACCTATTGAGCATTTTCCATTCTGTAGGGTGATAAGGATTTCTTCGGTTCGAGCTTCAACTCTGAAAAAAAAGATACTCATTTTTGGAAATATGATACACTTACCATGCTGTGAAGTTTGTATATACAATGTATGTGATAACATTAAAGTTCAAAAATTCATTTATTTTTTGACAATGTTAGTAGCTATAGTTCAACATGAATATTTCAATATTTTAAACTACAAACCTATGCCCATCTGTCATCTCTAAGCCAAGCAAAGTATTTGCTTCAATTTTGACAGTAACATTCAACTTTGACAAAACGCCTTCTTTTTCTTCGTCATCAATTTTTGCACCGTTCCCACTCCTCGAACCAGTTTCACCATTTGAATGTGACTGAATGTTTTCGTTTTGTTGAGTTTGACATTTAGTGGTTCCCTTTAATTGGGTTTGACATTTAGAGAGTGTTGTTTTCAGCTGTGTAATGTCTTGAAGTGTGTGGTATATACACATGTGGACCTTTGTACACCATACAAAGTACAGTTCATTCGATAGCTGGATTTGTATGGACTGAAAAAAAAAATCAAAGCATGTACCATGATAAATATCTAACTCGGACAAGAACCAAGGGGATTCAGGGTTCAAGCTATATGGTATCAAGCGAATTTTCATAAAAATCTCACGATTTATTTTTGTCATACCAAAGAAAAAACCTTAACTTTGTAATGAGTATATAATTTGCAGGTAATCTGAATCTGGTTTGTGTTTTTACTCCAAAATCTATGAATATTAATCTTGTTCCACTTTCCGTGTTAGCATCTTTAAATGTGATCCCTACCTGAGTGTTAGGGAAGTAGAATAGGGAGCACTGCTGGATGTGGCAGACGTAATCTGTGAGGTCACTAGCGCCAACTAGTGATAATGCCTGGAATCAAAATATTTTCAAATAAAGACCAGTGCATGTACAAGGATTTCATTCAAGATGCGACCATATGACATGGATAATTTCTTTCAAACTGAAATACACAGAAGATGTGTAAATTGCAGCAAATCAAAATACTTCTGGACTAAGTTCTATCGAGGTTTGTTTTCAATATGACAAGTATTTTTTCAGGAAGGAAATCCAATGTTAAAACTTGAGACATCAAATTACTTTCACAAATATGATTCTTAATTTTCAATGTTTGCAACACAAAGTTTTTTCAAATACATGCATCTTTTTCATTGTCTTAATCTAAGCTAAAATGACCTGGTACCAATGTAATTTGGGTCTTTAGCCAAATAGCCCCCCCCCCCCCCCGCAGACCCGGTCTGTCCATTACTTTTAAACTCTTCCTAAATGTTTTTATCCAACCAAAGACAGTAGGGACCATAAAAGATATGAACATAAATCTCCGGGTGACCATATTTTCTTTCATATCAGTCTCTTAGTTACCTGGTTTTCTTGAGTGAGATATACCACTTTAAAGCCATCAAGTTCAAAAGTTGTTTGTGATTGACGCTTCTTCATCTTAACACAATCCAGCCTCAGCATAAGACAGACTGAAAATATAAATGAAAAATGGGCAGCATAATTCCCAACCTTGGTAGCAAACTTGAAGGTCAAAAAGACAATGCTGCTACAAATTCACTCTCACACCGTTGAACGGTGCATAAAATAACATTTTTTTTCTTCTGGAGTAATTTAGAGGTTAAATCAGTTAAAAGATATGGTGCACTAAACAAACCTTTATGTTCATTTGAGACAAATATATTTATATTTGTACATCCTATATTAATATTGCACATGAGTTGGGTTTCTGGGATCTGCGATTCCATGGAAGACTTAAAAGATGGCACTGCTTGTTTGTTCTCATTTGATGACATCACACTGGAGGTTAATGCTGATTGGCTTATTGTTGTTATTAGTTGCTCAGCAACTGAGGTTGCTAGGGATGACCATTCAAAATGGAGTCCATCCATCAGGAAATCAGTCTGAACATCTGACGAGAATTTGTTTACCTAAAATGAACATGAAATTGCACATTTTGATTAGTAAATACATTGATTAAATTTTTAATTCATTATTTTGGATATACACTTTTGTAACAGTGGCACAGCTCAAAAATAGGTATCGACAATAAATTACAAAATTGCATAGAAAATGGCAAAAACATCTAAAATCGGAAACAACCAATTTATAACATTAGAAACTCGAAGAACTACTTTGAAAACAGTTACTAAGTGAAACAACAGATTTAAAAACAGATTTTTGTTGAGACAAATGTAACTTCATTTGTAAAATTTAAATTAAAAATGAATAGACACACACTTAGTAGAGAAGAATGGCTTGAAATAACAATGTCTTACTTTAATAATAAATAGACCTATATACAGTAAAGTGTTCCATTGATGTTCGTCAGAGTTCAGTTGATGTATTGGCACCTGTGATTCTTCTAGTTGCATATAGATGGCCTCGAGGTCAATGTCACCACGGATATCCCGTGTTGTGAACCAATCACCACTTCCAGTTGCTATAACAACAAATAAATAAAATAGTATAACAAAGTGCACATCAGTAGAACTATCTATGTTAAAAGTACCCCTTCCAAAAAAGCGAACACCCCTTCCACAATAGACTAGATGCGAAATATAGAAATGATCTTGATTTACGTCATTAAATATTCAAATTTCAGCCAAAGTGGTGTCATATTTGAAATCTACATGTAAAAATACATCTAAAAATATGGTTTCGAAAATTGTTTATCAAGTTTGAAACTGGTAACTACCTACTCGCATTTGCGTTATTGCTGGCTACGTTCTTGAAAGTAGTGTGTTAATGGTACTTGATGTTAACATTCAAGGTTTCAATCATTGGGACAAACAGAAACATGGGAGAAAATTCTCAAACAAATCAAGGTGTTCACTTTAGAGAAGAAACCACATTTTGATTGCTGTACAATTTAAAAATTTGTGAGACACTATGAAAGCAAACATCTAATTTGCATCCACATAATTCATTAAAATCAAGTATTCAAGAATTACATTTGAAACTGAAGGAATGTTAATTGATGTCATTGTATTCGTTAAAATTTTTACCCATATCAGAAAGGCTTTCCATAATGGCTAGTTTGATTTTGGAAGTTGTAATTCCCGCCACAACGCCTCTGGATGTTTCCGTGGTAACTGCCACAGATGAATCTGCTATTTCTACATCAATATTGATGATTTTGTTTCTTATAAACTGCATGACTAAATCCCTGAAAATAAGGTTGCAATTCGATTAAGATACAATATTTACAATAAAACTTACTCTGGGAATGAAATGAAAATTAATTGAAATTATTTAATTGATTTAATTTAAATCAACAAATCAGATCAAAATAATGAAGTACACATGAGAAATAATTTGATACTCTTGTAATTTTTGTATATTTTTTGAAATCATATACAGTAAAACAGTAGACATACTTGGAACCTAGTAAAAAGATTTCAGCCAATGGGAGAAGTAACGAGGCATTAACATGCAAAATGTCAACACCTGCCATTTGTTACAGATGCTGAATGACAACGCCAAACACCATCCACAAAAACTGAATATAGCCCCTGAAGGGTGCTATAAAAAGTTAGAAACTATAACAATATGTCACAACTTGTGGTGCCGACATAAAAATTTGGCCCAAGGAAAATTATTCACCTTTACAGAAGTTGAGAGGTTGTACTGAACTGTACTTTACTACATTATGTATACATGTACTGTCCTGAACCATGCTGTACTGTACCGTTGATTGGTGCTTCCACTGCTTTTTCAGAATAATGCTGGTCCAGAAATATACATGTGCTGTATCATGTTCTCATTTTAGCTTACAGTTAACATATAACATTTACACATATTTAAAGAAAGTAAATCTAACCTTTGATTATGGCTTTTTTGCTTTGGTCTTAAATCCATCTGCACATTTCCAGCCTCATTTTGGATTTTATTCAAGATGGCTGCCAAAGATTCCAAATCACTGGGATTATAGGTAAATTGACAGCTTTGACTGCGACTAGTTATGTTGATTGCCCCTCCTTCATGCTAAAAATAACAACCAATCAATCTATTTTGTCCGTATCATTGTTTAAAAAGTTCATTAAGGATTGGTTACCACATGTACCACATTACTCTAGTAACTCTACACTATACTCTTCTGAATGGCACTAGAACATTTTTTTACATTCTTTGATCTTTCCTCTATTTGCTCACTTGAAATATATTCATTTATTCTGAAATTTACGTGATGAATTTGAATCTCAAAGAGCAAGCAAACCCCCTAGCCAAAAATTCTTTCAAAATCATGCAGTTTTTCACCATTCTTAGCACTTTTCAAGTAATTTTAGGCCAAAGTTATCAAATGTGAACCCCCCTGGAACTTTTCGAAAAGTGAACCCTCTTGGCAAAGGCTGACTATGGGCCTGAACACTACAATGTACCTGAACTTTCCCAGTGAACTTTGTCAACGAGAAAATTGTTGACTGCAATGTCACTGCACTGATGCCATCTATATTCAGTGTGATGGATACTCCCACCAGCTGTTTCTCAAGAAAATGCATATATGTCTCCAGTTTTACGTGGCGAATAGCAATGGAGAGATCTTCGTTCCTCGATGAAGTAACACGTAACTTTGTATTCTCCAGGCATATGGACATGGTCTGAATTGAAACATTTACAGAAATGTATATAAATATGCATGTACAAAATTTCCAAATAAAAAAATACATGTTCAGAAAGTACATATTTAGTCTCAAAAGTATGAAGTTCAGTGCAAGGGAAATCTTTCTTATACAGGGTGTCCATAAAGTCTCTTTACACTTTACACAGACTTTGTATTGTAATTGTATAAAGACTTTATGGATACCTATTATTCACTCGGGTACACTGAGCTGACTGAGATGTGGCTTCACCACTTGTTATGTAATACACAGGACACCCGGTCGCTGTGCATGTAAATAAAGCTGATCAGATATTTACTTGCATCTGAAATAATGTAAGCCTGTGGCTTCGATTTTGAATTGATAATTTCAAAATGGCAGTAAAGAATATTTGGGCACAGATTTTCTTTAAGGCCTTTAACATACTCCTCACAGTGGTTTTCCTCATAGGTTTACATGTTAACCCCCATATTTGTTTGAACGACTATTTTTTAAGCGTGGAACAGAAGAAATCCCGATAAAGAAAATAAATCTGTATCTTGATTCTATTCCCTATAAAGTCCGCAACATTTCAATATGATATCTCTGTTACATTGGGTCAAAATTTGGTGTCAAAATTGATGGATTTCATGAAATTTAACAAAAATGGCAGATCCCATGTTAAACAAATGGGGAATGGTTGGGTTGCCATAAGTCATATGAGGAATGATCCATCCATCCGATTGCTCTCAAAATTGAAATTGTAAGAGATAATTAAATTTGCTAAATTGTCCACTTGACAAAACTATGATTTAATTGTCCAGGCTTTACAAAAGTTAATGGTTTCAAATTCAATAATTTTTTAATGATCCTCTTATTGAAATAACACAGGTGGTTCAGTGAGGTGGTCAAAATTACTTTAACGCTCCGTATCGCTAATTTTAACAACATAAGCGAGACATTTAGCATGTAAAATGTAAAATCATTCAATTTTTTACTTAAAAAGTATTTTTAATAAATGTTTTACTGAATAGATATTCCAAAATCTGAGTTGCCCCTAAGCCACCATTCCCCATTTGTTTAACATGGGATCTGCCATTTTTGTTAAATTTCATGAAATTCATCAATTTTGACATCAAATTTTGACCCAATGTAATGGAGGTATAACATTGAAACGTTGCGGACTTTATAGGGAATAGAATCAAGATTCAGATTTATTTACTTTATTGGGATTTCTTTTGTTCCACGCTTAGAAAATAGTTGTTCAAACAAATATGGGGGTTAACATGTAAACCTATGAGGAAAACCACTGGTCCTTAACTTTTTTTGAGGAGTATAAATACAGTACTATACCTTTGGACTGATCGCCAAGATTTTGAGCAATTTTGATTGCATTTCACTATCATCCCCAGTGAGAGCATCTTCAAACTCCGAGACTTGTTTAGGAGAGTGGAGCCTCTTTCTGAATGAATCTAGCCTCTTTCTGGATTTCTCTCGATGCAACACAAGTATAAGTTCATCTGTTATTCCAATATCTAGTTTCGTAACAGCAACGTGTAAAACCTATATCAAATCAAAAAACCATAACAAAAAACAAAAATCATATTTCTATATTTTTAATAATAAATTGGATAAATTAATTTAAAACAAGCAAAAGTCAAGAATATTAATCTCTTTTTGACCAATAAAATTGAGTATATAGATAATTGTACTAATAATATTTAATATTCACCTCAGCGGACACATCTGTCTGATAACCAATCTCAAGTAAGACATTTGCACTCAAGGATCCCTCCCCAAAGCACATTGTTTCAGCATCCTGGTGCGTCAGGCCTTCCCCTAGGGGGACAGGGCTGCCTATTTCCCTCGCAGGCTTTAGCAGTTTAGTTTGTAGAGTATTAATGCTGACACTCACTTGAAGTCTATAAATACAACACTCGTATATATGAAGAATAACTATGAACACTCACTTGTAAGGATGGCATTTATCAGTAAATAGTAAGATTAGGATAATAACTCTGAAAAGTGTAATGATTTATATAAAATGTCACAGTGGCAGTAACATGAAAAATGTCAACATCTGCCATTTGTTACAGTTGCAGACTATAAAATGTGGTGACATCATAAAAAGGAAAAGCTTGAAATGGATTCAGCGAAATATAGAATAAGAAGACTTGTACAAGAGGCATCTACCAAGAGTTTAGACCAGCTGATTTCTTCAGTATATACCTACAAGAAGTAACATGGTATGACACACCCTGTGTATTGTAACTTATTTTTGCCAAATAAAATTGATAACTAAATGACAGTATACATGTATACAGAAAAATAACATACCAACAAGCCTGTTTTTGTATGGAATCCTTATGACACAAATTGTGAATTGTAGCTTATTTTTGCCAAACAAAGCTGATAAAGGAAAATGTAATGTGACTTACTTATTTAACTCAATGTGAGAGTCAATGGAAATGTCTTGTATGGAGAGATTAAGCTGACAGCCAGGGTAGAGAACATCAAAGACATCGACATGCAAATGTTCTATGTTGACGCATACATACTGTAAGAATACATACAAAGTCCATCTACATGTACATGTATATTACATTGGGCTTTTCCGAATATATGTCCAATTTTACTTTCCCTGCAGCATTTTCCTTAGAAAATATTAGAATGTGTATTCTGTGTATTAATCCCGGTCCCAGACCTTGGAGATCATTCCCGCTCGTTATGTACCTAGAACTTCAGTAGGTATGAAATACACGAAATACATTTACTCATTTACACTCTACAGCCATGCGTTCTTTGATTATCACTAACGTGCACAACTTTTACATTATATCATACATGAAACAGTGAAACCTGTATATTCAAACACTTCTACAATCTGAACATCTCTCAATGTGAACACTTTTTCACTATCCAAATTTTGTAATCTTCAATCGACATAACTTGAAATGTGAACACCTGCCAATCCAAACACTTTTGACTGGCCCAAGTAGTGTTCAAATTAGACAGGTTTTACTGTGTTATATATTGTGTTATATAGAATGAATAGAAAATAATTATTACCTGAATTACTGATGAAAGTTTAGCAACTTGTTGTGCAGGGCTCTCACTAGATGGCACTTTTGGTTTTGTTTCTTGGGCTTTGTGACTAGGGAGCCCTCTTTTAGTGTCTGTCTGTAGCCTGACATCGCTGATACACAAAACAATTGGTTTTCTGAAAATAAGATTTAACTTTTTCAATTTCAATTCTATCCCCTTGGTTCAGGTAATTGCCAAATCCAGAATGCCAATTTGTAAGAATTGGAACGAATCAATCAACTTTCCCACTGATTTAATGTCATAGATCAACTCAGCCATATCTCAAAGGATCTAAGCCTGGCCTGTACTGTTAAGTGAATAAAGAAAAGATATAGTGTGAAAATGAGTGAAAAGAGAAAAGGACACAGATGTTTCGTTGCCCATAATGTTAGACTGATAGCAAAGAAATCGCACATTTAAAATTTTCAATTCAAGATTTTCAAAAAGTAGAATATTTAATGTTAGCCACTGAGCCCTATTGAAATTCATATTGGAATTTCACCATTTGGAAGCTCTAAGATTGTTTTTTCAACAGAATGGCATTACATCTAGTGGTGTTTCACAGATAAGCATTGTAAATCTCAAACTTAAAGCAATAATAAGATGGTACAGTAAAAATAAAGCCCTGTAAACAGAACAAAAATCTTGTCTTACTTTGCATCGTTGTTGATGAAGCTACTGGAGAGCCAAAGTCTTTCAATATCCTAAAACATTAATGAAATTCAAATTCAAGAATAACATGGATTGTACATATAAATGAATGGATGAAAAAATCTAATAAAGGTTTATTTTATTAGAAACAGTGTAAATGAGTAGACTATAATAAAATAAATAATAGAGGGTATTTGTTTCGCATGTATACAAAATACTACTGTACTAATATCTTTTTTTATTTGAACATAAAAATATGTTATTAAGTACTCATACTAATTAGATTTAACAATTATTAGATTTGAATATAGATTAGATTTATTAAATATAATTAGATATTTTCCAATATTTTGTAAACTCACCAATACAGTACCATTGCTCAGCACAAATTGAACATTCTTGAATGTGAACAATCCAATTGTTCCAAACTTTGCCTCAATGTTGACATACTTTCTAAAGATGTAGCATAAGACCCATGCTGTTATCCTGAAACATATGAGAAATGAGTTCTTTTTAGATTTTTATTGAATTTTAAGTGAAATGAGTTGAATACATTGCCTGTCATCTGATTTAGTGATTTTTGACCATGAAAGTGTAATTTATATTTCATTACTAAAATACATTTTGGGTGAACTTAAGGGTTCATTCATGAAACTTTATTTGAGTCAAGGATTCATTTCAATATAAAATATCAATATAAAATATGAGGCTTGTATCTCTCTTGTAGCTGGAGTGATGATTCGATGACAGCAAATTTGGTTATTAACTTTTTATAAGAACAGAAATCACAAAATGTGTACCCTGTGCACAGAGTATAGTAATAAACTACCCTCTTCCTAGTATAGACTATATAACAGTTCAGCAGCCCTGCCCCAAAATTGGTGCCTGTGACAGCCCGGGTAATAAATAATTTAAAATCTACCACTCTGACCCTTTCTCAACCAATCAGCAAAGTGGAAGGAACACGTGCTAAATACATGCTCATTAACTTTGCGGGGATATCAAAGGAAATGACCATGAAGCAAGTCATACCTATTTCGACGACAAACTCTGATTGGCTTGGTGAGATCAGAGATTTATTGTAAACTGAAAGAGTGAAGAAGGAGCTATATTTTAAGAAGTGAAGTTGAAAGAATGCAAAGGTATTAAATGTGCTACAGTTGAAGAAAAATAAACCACATTGATGAGCAATACATGATGAGAAGTGCTTAGGGCTTGAGTGCATTCTTTTGTTTTAATTTAATCAAATACAGTTTCGTAACTAGATTTCTAGAACCAAGGTAATCAGAAAAACACAGGGAGACAAATATACACATAGCCCAGTTGCCTTGCACAGAAGTGACAATTAATTAAACAACAGAGAAAATTCTGGTTCAAACATGGAAAATTACTAAAACTTTTCAAAACAAAAGATTATAATCACGAAAACAAGTAGATGTTGACTGCTGCTGATAAAATGCCTGCTCATTTTGTACTGCTTAAGAAATAAAAAACAAGAATTAGACGAGTGAATAAAAGAACAAGTGATACAAGTACAAAGTGAAATCAATGTATCAAGTGACCAAAGGCAGCATTAAAGTTCCATCATGTTCAGTACACAAACACGTAAATTAAAGAAGAACCTCTTGGGCTACTGTATCTAGTTCCAAGACCATCTTCTATGCCCTGGTCTTGGGAGGGCATAATGGAGCCACTTTCAAGTGTCACTTGAGATAAGCAGAGGTGAATGGTCATTTCAAATTTGGTCATTAATAAAAAGTACATAAGCATTTGAAAATAAATACAATAAAATGGTTTCAATTTTTATCTTTATTTTTATTTTTGTAGTGCACAATTTTAAAACAGTAATAGACTAAAAATTTAGCCTAAAAAGGAAGTGAAAGTGCACAACTTCTGCAAAATTTGAAAGTTTATGCGATGTTTTTTGTCATTATTCTTATCTTTTTATACCTGATTTACATACCTAGTTATCAGCCAGAGAATTCCTAGTAACACCAATGGTAGCCAGATAATTGTACTCATGCTGGAAAGCAGAAATTCGAACTTTTTCAAGATATTTTAAATTTTTTGTGTAGCCTTGACCACCATCTTTAATTTTGTAGGTCAAACGTTCACGTGACCAATTTCGACCAATCAGATCTCTGCACCCAGGCCGCCTTGTTATTCTGAAATTCGCCATTACTGTCGCCATTTTATGCGAATAATCGGATACTTCATCAAATATTTCAGGATTTATGGCATTGTCGAAGCTCAAATGAGCTCCAAAGAAAGTTTGTAGGTCGGTGAAGCCATGGATTTAGTATGAGTTTTCAAAGTCCAGCTGGAAACGGCTGTAGTCTTGAGGACTGCCACACAAACTTATTTGCACTCGTAAGTTTTTCATAAATTTGAAATTGGTCAGTAAAACCTTGAATAAAGCACTAACACATGTTTTATTATGTATTTTAACCCTTTCGTGACATAGTTTGATATGTAAGCTTAAAGCTGTGCTAATTTTTGTGCAAGAACAAGGACTATAAAGTGTTGAAATATTTTAAGAAATTTATTGAACAATGCCAAAAATTCCATGATATGATCATTTTCAGTTCAAAATCAAATGGGTCACATTTACTTTCAAAATTCATTTTTAATATGAAACTTACAACAACCACATGGAATGACTACCCTAGATAACATAACTTGTATTCTTAGTTCTAAGGCTTATCTTAGTATTGTATGATTTTAGTTAATAATCACATTTATCATTTTGTGAACTCGTGACCTGATTTTGAACTTTCCCATTGCACACTGATGGCCTTAGTCCAAGACTGATAATATATGTTGCATAATATCTTATGGTTAGCAAAAATTTCAATTTTCAATTTAGACTGATCTATGTGGGATAAAGTGGCGCAGTCTCGGGACAGAAGAATTTTGTACGGATCCTTTAGAAGATCCAGTACTCAAATCATATACCAGGTGTCTTCAATCTGATATACTTTGCGTTTGGAGACGTGGAAGAAAATGTGCATCAGAAAGTCAGCCCAAAGATCATCCTAAAGAATTGTGGATATTTTGGTATGGGGAGGAACCATCAAATGTGGACAATTTGATTGCCTCACAACTCAAAGGTACGTTTTGTGGATTCAATATCAGGAGTCTATTTATCATGGGAAACCCTAATTCACAACATTTCCTGATTTCTCCATTATGTTATGTATGATAGACAAATAAATGCTAAATCATTATAGGAAACTTATTCAAAACTGAAACTTCTTTGAAAATAAGTTTCCTGCTCTAGAACCCAGTATTCATTTTTGCTCAGGACGTGCATTTATGATATGAGTAATAATTTTTGGGTATTTTGAGTTGAGATTTTGGATGAGTTACTTACTTGTGTATGAATTTCAACTTTGAGAAAGAATTTGTGCGTTATAGAGTGAAGTATTATGATAACTTCTTATTGACACGCAGCTCAGTGTTTTCAATTCCAGTTTTCTTTTGCTTTTATTATTCACAGTGCCCTAACAATGTTATTTTTGTAGTCTATTTCATTATGACTACCATTCATTATGGTAAAAATCAAAGTTAAAATCTCTAGTAAAAGTTGACCTAGATACCTTGGTCACCATGACCTACTACAAGAACATTCAATGAAGGTCAAGTGTCTCGATTGACTTATACCCTTTTATATTTTCTGATGTTTTTATTGACCTGGCTTGTTGAAAAATTCATATTATTTGCACTATCACATATTCGAAGAAGTTGTTATTAAACAATTTTCTTCCAACCAATTTTTTTTCATTTTGGTGTAAAAGATTGTATCCTTAACATGGTTGCCTTGACATTATACTAAAGTAAAAGTTCTAGTTATTAGCTTTAGTTTCAAAGTCATTATGATATACTTTTAACTCTTGACTCCTAGTCATTTTACATTTAAAAGAACTCTGCTACATTCGATGTGTTTATTCATACTGTCATGTATTTCTTTATATTTGATATAAGACTCGCTCATGACGTCATTTATTACTCTTGCTAATAAATTCTTGAAAAATGCTATTTATCATTTACTAAGATGACATCAGTTAAATTTTACCCGTTCACCAACTTAATCAACTATAGTTCGGTGCATTTTATTCTTTTGAGTTTTGTAAATAGTCTGTTCCTTACAGGGTCAATCTCTTGACGGATTGGTTTGGAATTTTTGGAGTAAAGCTTATGTAAAACAGCAATACAGTTTTGTTTATGTGTATGTTGGGTTCATTTTAAGGTGGCAATTTTGTATTTTTGTCCAAAATCTTTTCTGCACATTTCATTGTACAATTGTATTTCTGCACATTTCTCATTCATTTTTGTTTTTGATTTTTAGACTCAAAACATTAATAAAAACATGTAATTTTGGATAAGAAACAAAAATGAAACCTGGTACTATCCTTGTTTCCCGCGTGCTAAGCGAGAATTCTACCGTTACACCACCATGTTTTATGAATGGTTGAAGTAATTAAAAGCTACTTATTTTGAATGCTATGATTCGGAAGTGACGTCACGTTCTTCATTTAGAAACCTTTCCGAAATCATATCGTCAGCGCCGATCGAAGCAATTCAATGAAAAATCTTTGAAATGACACATTTATCGTAAGTATTTCTACACAAGATTTGCCCCATTTGTTCATCATTCTATAATCTTTCATTAAGCTCAAAATGATAAAGTTCACCCCCGAAACAACCCAAGAGTGCGTTTTGGAGCGATGTGCAGGTTTAAACATTTTATATGACTTATGGCTATGTGCTCTCAAGATAATACTCCAAGCCGAAAGTCAGATTTTTCCAAGGGGGTTCAGTTTTTATGTCACCATCAGAAGTGGTAACATATTGTTGAAGTGTCCACTTTTTTGGAGGTTGGTTGGTGTTTGGTGTCTGTAACAAATGACAAGAAGTGATATTTTGCTTGTTAGTGAAAAAATTCCAGTGGGTTAAAATTTGACAATTTAATCATTTGAAAAGTGCTCAAACAGTGAAAAACTGTATGGTTTTGAAAGAACATTTGGCCAGGAATTGGGGGGGGGGATTAGGGGTTAGGAACCCCTGTACTCCTCAACAAATTATTTCAAGCTGTCATTCTAGGTCACCTCTTTAAAATTGTTACCTTTGGAATGTCACTGTAGTCTTGTCTTTTAATGTTAAACTATATAAGATCTTAAGAATTAACAAGGAGTATTATAGGCTACAAACATGAAGTTATCACTCTTAGGTTGTATAATTCGAGTAAGTAGATACAAACAATATGGCATGGATTGTATTATCAGTACCAAGCGACTTGTTATTTTGACCTTAATTTCTCTAGTACTGTAGCCTACCCTGTGTGGTTGACTTCATCTTAAACTTGTTACATTAGCGTCCAAGTCCTGGATTCACCATTCTAAGGCATCCAGCCAATCAGAGTATCATTCCTTAAGAATTGTTCGTTGTGTTCATGAGGGTCTGTGGTATTCACTGATTGGTTGAATGTCATTTGTTCAATCCTTCAGTCAGAGTGTAGTGTCCTAACTGATGAGTTTGGGTATTTTTAAGCAAGGTTATCAAAACGAAAGTGCATAACACTATCTTCTGAATTGATTACAACTTTGATAGCACATGACCTTGTTAAGAAACAATATGGTCTATAATTCCAGAGGTTTTGAATTTTGCTCTAAAAATAAGAGCTGGAGTTGCACTAGCAACTGGGAACATATGCAATTTTCTTCACATTGCCAGCTTTTTTATTTAGAAGTTTGCTTAACTGTTTCTTGTTACCTTGTTCTTTTCAACAATCTTGCCTGTTCTTCATTTGTTATGTCACTTCCACTTGTGATGACATATTGTTATAGTCTCCAACTTTTTTGTGGATGATGTTTGGCACTTGGTGTTTGGTGGTTGATGTTTGGCAGTCAGTGTCTGTAACAAATAGCCAGTGGTGATATTTTGCATGTCAATGCCTTGTTTTGCCTGTTAAAAATTCTTATGGAAACGCTGTATTAAAGAGGCTGAAAATCACTTATTAAAATCAAAATTCTGCAAGAAAAAAAGCAAATTCTGCAAGGAGAAAATCGAAATTCTGCACAAATTTTCAAAAAAAGTCCAAATTCTGCAATCTTTTAAAACGATGAAAAACGGAAACGGAAGTCAGCTACTTTCTAGGTAAGAACTGCGCGTCATTAGCGAACTCGCTTTAGCGAATTTAAACGTGATAGAATGTTGAATTTCACGGTGAAATCGTACTTGTACTCAATAATGATTGATTGTTGGACATAAACAGACACTCTTCAAATACCCCGCATAGGAGATCGTAAAATATGTAATTTCTGGAAATTCTGGTACTTCCGCGGGATTTTCATGAAAATCAGGGATTCTGCAAAAATTGAAGTTTTGTCAAATCCCGTCCACGCCGCGGAATTACGGAATACTAGTATCTATGATTGGAAAATCTCCATATGAGATCAACCAAATTCTGCATTTCTTCTTGAAGACTCCTTATTAATTCAAGACTGGTTAACCCCTTATTGATGCAATACTGAAAACCCAGAGAAGAAATAAAGTAATCATTATAGTCATTCATTTAATGTATATTCAATTTATTCTTGATACTAATTGCCATTAAGTGCTAGAGTATAAATCAATTTGAGCCTATATTTAAAAATCACATTCTGGTCATTTGTAGTTTTGATAAATTTGAATAAACAATTTGATTTTATTAGATTCTTTATAATTAAAGATGTATTTTTATCCATTATACTTGTCAGTATTTTTTTTTGATAAATGTCCCTTTTCTACTCGATTTAATGTTTTAAAGTAGAAAATGTTGCGACCTTTTATTTGAGGGTGACCTGGGCTCTTGATATGAACAGGTGGTGAAAATTTTGAACTCAATAATTGATCTCGGAATGAACTCTTCTAATACAATGTACAGTGAAACCTGTATATTCGAACGCCTGTCTAATATGTACACATCTCAATATGAATGCCTGTCTAATATGTACACATTTCAATGTGAACGCCTGTTTAATATGTATACATCTCAATGTGAACGCCTGTTTAATATGTATACATCTCAATGTGAACGCCTGTTTAATATGTACACATCTCAATGTGAACGCCTGTCTAATATGTACACATCTCAATATGAACGCCTGTCTAATATGTACACATTTCAATGTGAACGCCTGTTTAATATATATACATCTCAATGTGAACGCCTGTTTAATATGTACACATCTCAATGTGAATGCCTGTCTAATGATACACATCTCAATGTGAACGCCTGTCTAATATGTACACATATCAATGTGAACGTCTGTCTAATATGTACACATCTCAATGTGAACATCTGTCTAATATGTACACTTCTCATTACCAAATTTGTTATCTCCCATTGACCTTCATGTTTGACCTTGAAATGTGAACACCTGCTAATTCGAACACTTTGGCCAGTTCCCAGTGAGGTTCAAATTAGACAGGTTTTACTATACAGCCAAATCAGCAATTGTTTTCTCTCCAGTGTTTTTGGCTCATTTTGATTTTTGCACATGACGCAACCTCGTTTTACCTAATAAACCATAATGGAGTTATGCCTTGGTTAACATATTCGAATATTTCACGATTTTCTGTTATATTGAATTGGTGCAAATAAGGGTACACTGTATGTTTTAATTACAGTATCTCTAGTTCGATTGTGTTTTCAGTGTGATCTACTACCCTTGAATTATTACTACGTAGACATTACCCTTGTGAAGGGATCATGATGGGAATGTTATAAACCACATGCTATACGAGTTAATTATATGTAATTATCAAGTAACTAACTTAACAGACATGTAGTTAACACTTTGAATTATAGAGATGCAAAAATAATTAGATAGTGATTCATATTATAAAGAAAAACGGGTGTCATATAAGAATTAACAGACAGACATTTTAAATGCTGATATATAGCTAGCGTTTACACAAACATGTGGTATGAATACATGAAAACATGTACTAGTGCACCAGGCTAGCTTCCTCAAGTAAAAGAAATTGGTAAACAGACACACAAGTGCTAGACTCCAGCATCAGATTATAGTGAAGAAACTTGCTATTTGTACAGTATTCATTCATTCTTTATCAATCAAACAAGAACTTCAAGATATTTAGAGCCAGGGACTAATTAAGAGTTCTTCACATTTTAAAACATTTTAAAACCTTTGTAATTACATTTTATAAAACAGTTGAAACAATGTTCTTTCTTATATCAAAGCATCCCTGTTAGTTCACTAAATCTCTGTTAATTTAAGAAAGTGCCTTGATAGAAACTAATGATAGCAAGCACTTAACAAAGCTTGTTCTTCAGCTTTCAATATTTAATTCTGGGTCATGTTGTGTTGTAACAATAGAAGACCATCAACAGTATAGCACCATCCTATGAATATTTTACCCTCTGTTTGTGATTCTTTCGCTCTATTGCTTTCCCATGTTTCAATTTTCCAGCGTTTCTATACTTTAAGTTTGATATCGTGCCACGTCTACCTATGTGTTTTCTATTAAAATTCCATTCTTAAGCACTTTTTATAAAAGTGACCACTGTAAACTTACTCCAGGGTATCTAGCCTAATGGTTATTTTGGAATAAAGAATTCAATGCCATAATTTCACTGACCTTTCCAAGGTTCTATCCATAAAGTGACAGGGCCCTTTGTATTTATCCCAGTGCTCTCTCCATATTGAAATATTTGAGGCGCAGTACATCCAGTTAATTTATAACGTCAAAATGCTGGAGCATGAAATATTCAACTAAAAATAACAAAAAAATCCTGGAATGTACTAAAAATTCCTCATCTTCAAAATTTTACATTAAGAATAACAAAATGTTACACTTAAGAAGGATTTGCACTAAAATGAGCAAAATCTTGCCCAAAAATAGGCAACCAATTTTTATGATTCGATTACCAAGAGCAAAAAGTGGTTGCTACTAGCAGTTGGGCAGATGTGAGTTTTGAACCCTGGGGTTAGCTACTGACAAGTGAATAAAGATGTGATGAGTACCAGAATATAGTGACCTCCGGTTATATTACTGCACTTGGTTACTGCCCTTAGAGTGTATTCAGTGATCTCCCCAGAATTAAAGCAAGTGGGCGCAGCACCCACCTGAGATTTTGAAAATAGGCTTGCACCCACCTGAAAACCTATTTGCACCCACTTGAAAATGAGAAAAACCATGAAAAATTGGCATATTTTGACCAATTTTGGTCTGAATTGTGAAAATGAGAATTTTGCACCCACCTGAGAAAAAATCCTGGGGAGATCACTGGTATTAGAGTAATTTCCCATTTTGCTACCATCACAGTGCTGTCACCAGGAAATGTTTAGGATGTGGGTGAAAACTCCAGTGTGGCGGCTCAATGGTGATAAATCATTTATGTTATATTTTATCCTTTTACATATTTAAGTTATATTTTATACACGCTATTATAGTTTATGTGTATTAAGTCAAGCTTAGAGTGTGGAAACAATCATGATTTGCCAATAAGTTGTGGAAGGAGCTAAATAGACTGTGGTGCTGCCCCACAGTCTAAAGGTCTTGTGATAGCCCTGCATCATAAAGTCCATAAAGCCAAAAGGGAAGTTGTAATAATGTAATTATAACCCTTTTGAGGTGACGAGTTTACATTCTGATATAGCATCTTTCGTTTTACCATCTCAAGGCTGAGAAGAAATAAGATGTCATGGTAACCTGGTACCATGATGACATATTTAAGATTTAGACAATATTGGTTTCTATAACAACAAAGTAAGGAACTTCACTCACTTTGACAAATTGGTTTTCACTCTTTATGTGTCTAGGTAGTGACATTTTGTCGTGTAAATACCCTGAAGTTGTTCTTTTAACCCCTTGAATACCCTGAGTGAGATATAGACTACATAGGGGCATTCCCGGACAAACCCTTCGCACCAGAGTGAGGGATATATCAAGCACAGGATTTCTTTCTAAAATGACTCTAACTTTAAAAAGATTTGTTCAATCCGCATATTAACATACATAATTTTTATATAGACATAATACAGACATAATTGTGTACCTACTCAATAGAAGACCCTCTTATTTGCCATAATACAGTAGGCAGAAGTCAATATTAATACTCATCACATCTCCCTTCTTGCAGTTTAGAATTAATCAACCTTATAGGACAGCATGTTAGACATACTTAGTTAAATTGCCTCAATACTTATTCTAAGGCTTTCCTCCTAAATTCCTAAATTGTCTGTATTTCTATATAAATCAGAATATTATGTTATTTCTTGATTTTAGACTTTCTTATTGAAGTTATTTTTAAAACACAACCCCAAAAAAATTAGTTTTCATCCAGGGAGGTGGTGCAATCGTGGCATAAAGAAACCCCAAAAAATTGAAGATTTGTTTTGAATTTTACAAAAATTGATGCAACTTACTTCAAAATTGAGCTAGAAGCTTCAAGTAAAAAGCATTTTAAAGTTCTTTTCCTCTTCTATCTAATAGTTCTATTTTTATCGGTTAAACACCACCCTCCCACCCCCTCCTGGCTACGCCTATGAATTCCATTCCCCGGAGTCTGTATATGTCTTTATGGGTCAGTTGCCAAGCCTAGGCCATAATCAATTGAACAAAATAATTCACAATGGTCACCAGTAAAAAATTATGGCTGTTTTCGATCACATTCTCAACCATTTTTGCCAAAGGATACAGTTGGTACTAATGTTACCTTGTGATAGAGTAACATGTTGAAAATAAAGACCATAAATTCTTATAAGCATTGTGTGTATAAATGAAGTTCAATATTTGCATGACGAACTTTTTATATAAATGATTTAGATATCGTAAATATCAGTACACCATCAATAACAAGTCCAATATGCGGAGAAAAATGATTTGAATAGATGTTCATTTAACTATAAGACATAGAAGAACATGGGATGTATTGATAGTTGAATGATTGAATGAATGATGCGTGAATGAATAACAAAATGAATTGTTTATCATTCAGGAAAGTCTGCTTTCAATTGCGGAACAATGTGAATCCCATTTGGCTTATATTCCGCTTAATTCGCATTTCACAGACATTTTATCGGAAGATCTTAATTTTCGACACATGTCAATATGAAAATGTTTTGCTGTCATGAACCTTGCTGTAAGATACAAATAAAATGAACCCCTTTATTGAGATGTGACAGGCCCGTAGCCAGCTTTTGCAGGGGGGGGGGGGTCTTTTTAGAAAAAATTCCAGGGTGGTTTACGTATGACAATTTTGGGCCAAAATCAATTGTTGTCAAAATTGTGATAAACTGCATGATTTTGAAAGAATTTTTGACCAGGGGGTTTTCTTGCACTGCCTGAAACTGAACCCCTCACTTCCCCCTACCCCCTGGCTACAGGCCTGTGTAAATTCGAACTTTTGAAATGTATTGCCATTGATCAAAAGCATTCATATCTTAGATGGGTGACTCTTGAAAATTTGGTGTCTTGCTGGACTGCTGGTCCCATCTGAATTCACTACAGAAAGATTTTGTAGTAGATTGGATCTATATATTTATCCAATCCATGTAATTAAGAATGAGTATTGATTCTTTTAAATAAATAGTTCGTAAAATCACAACTTGGTAAATGCTGGAATGTCACATGCAATCAGGTAGTGAAATTGGAAAGAAAGCATTACTCCAAATAAATATTGGGGTCGGGGGTTTCACTAGAATTTCTCACAACAGGCTAATAATTAATGAAAACAACAGGCAAAATTAGTGGAACAACAGGCAAAATTAGTGGAACGACAGGCAAAATTAGTGGAACAACGGGTGATTTTGTGAAAAAACCCGATGAAAATTGCCTGCTGCTCATGAAACCACTGAGGATTGTCTTTGAATATGAATCACATTTTCGACCCACTTCCCTCCCTTATTTCTATATTTAACTAATATTTTGTTTTATATTTTCAGTTCTAGACCAAGGAAGTTGGGAGCATGGACTGTCATACGAATGTAGATGTCTGCTCTTCAAAGCACTTCATAATCTAATCGAAAGGTACGTCATAGGGCCTGTATTAAAGTATGGAGTGAATTTGGGGCCACATTGTGTGTTATATATACAGTGTTCTCCCCAGGATTTTTTCTCAAGTAGGTGCAAAATCCTCATGTTAACAATTCAGTTCAAAATTGGTCAAAATATGCCCATTTTACATGATTCTTCTCATTTTCAAGTGGGTGCAAATGAAATCTCAGGGGGCCGGGTGCAAGCCTGTTTTTGTTTAAATCTCAGGTGGGTGCTGTGCCCACTTGCTTTAATGCTTGGGAGATCACTGATGCTACAGGATTGTTTGTGTTAGAAAAATATTGTTAGAATTTGTGAGTGAATAGCGAATATTGGGTCTGTCATGGGCATATTCTGTTATTGTAAATGCCTGTACAAATTGTTCGCGAAAAAGTTGGTTGGAGTTTGTGAGTGGTACAGTTAGAGTTAACATTTTAGATGATTTTTCCGAAAGTGTGTATGGCCAATCATATAACTTTTATCAAAAGAAACATGCTTCACCATTAATATTCTTCCACCTTACATTTTTATATAAAAAAGATTCTCGACCTAAAATGAAATGCAAAATGTCCTTAAGTTATACAAAATAAGAACTTATTTATGAAACTCTATCGTATATATCTTTGGAACATTCAACAAATTCTTTGTATTTTATTATCGCATCTACTATAAGTGTAATGTATGGGGCAACACAGATTTATAATTGTATGATTTACCTAATTTTATCAATTAAAATGTGATTAAATCTGGCTCTAAATCTATACATTGTTGATAATGACATCAACATTTAGGTCAAATCTTGGCCATTCTGATACTCATAGCATCTTTCTGTTTCACCTGAAACATGCTATGATGTTATGAGGCATATTCTGTGATCCGAGCACAACAGATGAGAAGAGTCTTAACTGTCAATAAGTGTGATAGTTATCATGTAATCATTTACCTTAATGTCAATACATTACATAATATGCATTGTATTAAACAGTAGATATTAGCACAGGCACATGTACACAGGTTTAATGACCCCAATTAGATGAAATATGAGCTGAGGTGAAAGATCTTAAAAATCCTCAATTTTGGGCTCTCCTGGATCGCCAAATCAAGCTCATCATATCATGGCATCTCAGGGCCGAGAAGAAATGAGATGACATCGTTTATCATGATGAATCTTAAAATTTAATCTAATGCCTGACCAAATTTTAAGATTTTATGAGAGCTTTATATATCCATTTGTGTTTTCGTTAATTATTAATCTGTGTAGTCTCCTAGAAGACTAAGGCATACATACCAATAAACCAAAACCAGTTTGAATAACACCGAGCCTAATATAGATCACACCCTTGTCAAAAATGCTCCCAGGTTTTTATATCTATTGATTTATTTTATTTTAAACTGGAATGAACTGTTTGAATTTCTTGCATTTTACGCATAGGTCGAAAGAATTTCAAGTTTATTTTCTCTTATTTGTTGGACTTTACATACAATAAGCCTATTGAGAAATTATATTTATGGGTCTTAAGAATATAACAAGTGTTTCTTTTCATGAGGTAGTAAACTGCACCAGTGATAACCATGCTATTGCTCATCAAATATACTAAAATGTTGCAATTAGCAAGGAATTGAGCAAACACATCCTTCAAGATCGATCCTTCATTGCTTTCATAGCAGATCATAATGTAATGCAATGAATTACTCTTGGGCCAAGGATGGAACAAACAGGCATAACGTTTGTATTGTATCAAAGCCCTTGTATCTCTCCTTATATGATATAGAAACTGAGTCTTGGAGGATATAAATGCTTGAATGGTTACTTCATGAATGATTTATAGCATAGGAAACTTGGAAAATGGGGGCTTGTTGCTTACATAAAGGTAACATACTAATTACAAAGAGCTCCAAGAAATGTATTTATTCATTCACAGTTTATTGAGGAAATCATAGAAGTGTTGGAAATCTACCTTACAGCTCTGGAGGTCATGGTCTTAACCTTCAACCAGAATTCCTCATGAGAAACAACAATAGATATAATTGCCAAAAAGTCACGCCATCTTTTGATTAAAGAAACCTATGATTGTTTAGATTCAAGATGGTTGTATTAAGAGTCTTTCCAAACAATTTTGTTTGCAGAAAAAATAAAATAAAATTGCATTTTCAAACAAAAGCCAATGTGCTCGAGGGTTTAATTGGTTTAGTTGGTGGATTATACAAATCTTTGCAATTTTGCTGTTTTCAGGTGCCTGTTGACCCAGGGATTTGTACGTCTAGGACGATGGTTTGTACAGCCATACAACAACAGTCAGTCACAGGGAAACAGGGACATAAGGTGATCATTAGTTTTGCATTATTCATATCAGTAGTGGGAAAATACGCCCTAGCTTTTCTCAAAAAGGGACATAGTAGTTAATTGTGAGCTAGTTTTGTGGGATATTTTGAGTAGTCAAGTAAATACCAATTGGAATCGTTTTAACATTTTTCTCTATTTTTCAGTGCCCATTTGTCGATTTCATTCTCGTTTTTCCTCCATGGAGAAAGCACAGTGTGTGCAAGTATTGACGTTCGACAACATCTCCCAGTGCGCCATCTATCTCAGCAACAGCTCAATGCCTCATTAGGTGGCAGCACTCCCACTCAAGGTAATAAAACTGTATTTTCAGAAATAATGATCTTTGAAAAAAAGAATCCTTAAGTTTCTGTAAAATATTGATTTGAACTCCCAATGATGTACGAGTATTTTAACATTATTTTTGAATTAAGTTATAAATAAATTAACGTGAAACTATTTTGAATCTGTTATAGTTATCTTGGCCCCATATGGTCTTGCCGGGATACTATCGGGAGTTACTTACAAGGATTCGGACCAGGTGGCGCTGAAAACATTGGAGGAATGGCGTCAATTCTTCCCAATAGAGTTGCCACCAGATGGTGCTGCGAACAACAGCTTTGAACCAAATACACTCGGGAGTGTCATTGAGGTCATAGTTGGTAAGATATTTGATGAAGTTATATTGCCGTCTGCTTTAGGTTTTGATGCATTATGGGATGTGGGGCTGTTGTACCATTGTGTGTAAACTATTTTAAAATCATCGCGTGTATTAAGTGAACAGTAAGAACAAATTAACACATTTGTTGTATGTTTATTCAAATGCGTTATGGGTATATTTGATTTATGGTAATTTTATTTCATCATTTTCAGCTGGTGTACGAATGAAGTACCCTACATGCTTTGTACTTACTGTCGATGCAGACACTGATCATCCACCAGGTGGAGCTCAACCATCAGACGCATCTGCGAAATCATTAGATGTCAATTTACAAACGGATAATGCAGCGGCAGCTGGGGCTGGAATTATAAATGGAGACCCCTTCTGTCAGCGACTTGCCACAAAGGTTTGGCAGGAGAATTGCACAAATCAGACGCACAACAATCATAGGTAAGTTTGATAAAAGACAGATGTTGTGTATATTTCAGTAAAGTTTAAAATGTCACCATGAGAACTTTTCTGCGGATGGTGTTCAGTATTCGGCAGTTGGCAGTTGGTCTTCAGAGTCTAACAGTTAAGCATCCTGTAACAAATAGCAGGTGGTGGCTACCTTCTACATGTTCATGCTTTGTTTATACATTCAAGCCGATTCTTAATTTGATGCATTTTGGGATACACAGTATACTTTATTTAATGTTTTGTTGAAAATCTTATTGACATTGCTTGAATCATGGGATATATTGTTTACTATATTTGATGCATTATGGGATATGTTTTAGGTCTCAAGGCAAATCAAATGAAGATGCGTCTGTCGTTGGTGTATGGGATTTTCAGCCCCCAAACACAAAGAATCACTGTGGCTGTCAAAAGTAAGTGCAAACCAAAAGAAAGTTAGTGCACTCATGTTTTAAAGGTGAAGATGAAGTGAAATCAGCAAGGAATAAAGTTATCAGGAGGCATTCATTCAAAATTTTGAGCTAGAGTGGAAAAGTTTATTTAAAATAGTTAGTATCATTTTCACAGAATAACAAATTGCAAAGCTTGATTTTATATTGGACTGTTAAATGAATTAAGTTATGACAAAGGATAAACAGGGTCTTAAAATCATGTTTCAGGATTTTATAAGGCAAAATACATGTGAATATGATAAACACTAAATTCTGTTTATTATTTAACATACATTTTGCTTTCCAGGAAAAAGTTGTCCAATAGGGCCAACCAGGGTAAATCTGGGAAACACTTCAAAGGTGATAAAACGGATAAGTTGTTCGAGAAGCAGCAAAGTCGCATGTCGCGCAACATGACAGCATTTCACCGTCGTTCTCCAGCTTTGGATGATATGATGACCGTAGAAGTGGATATGTTGATGCAACGAGTGCCTAGTGCACAATTTAATGGAGGCTTTAAAGGTGGCGCCAGTAGTCAACAGTCAGGTGGGGGAATCCCTCAGTTACGCAATACAAACTTTGACTCGGCTGACTCCCCAGGGGTGCCATCTCCCCTGGCTGCCCCCACAGCCTCAAACTCAATAACCCATGGTGCAACTGACCCAACGATGCCGACTTTAAGTCCGCAACAACCACAAATTAAACAAGAAAAGCCTGACCCACCTCAAAATACTGAAAATGCAGAACCAACGACCCAGGAGGGTTTTATTCAAAGAACTAACGGTTCAATTAAAACTGAGCCATACACAACAGGATATACAAGCTCAGAAACTATAAAAACTGAGAAAGTTAGTTCATGGTTGGAAAATCATCGCCAGGCTACGGAATCTAAAGGCATTAAAAGGCCAATGCTGCCAAAATCTGCATATGACGAAAGCGATGTTGCATCAGTAAAAGAAACGCTGTATGATTTCAATGTTTTAAATGCATGGTAAGTTTAGTTGAAGCTACAATTAAAAGCTGTCCTGCTAAATATTTTATATAGCTCCATCTAGTGAATGCTCAAGTAAAACAAATCAGCTCCAACCTAAACAGCAGAAACATTGATTTAGCACCTAATCCCCCTGCACCCCCTTTTCCAGTGAAACCATTTTCTAAAAAATGACACACGAATATAATTATTTACCCCTAATATAGATATTGATCATTCACACTTTCTGTTACCCATATTCATTTTTCAGGCTCGACCACCCAGTGAAGCGACTTTGCCACTATCCCAGGGAGGTCATATGCGTGAAACAAGAAAAAACACAACCATCTGCAACAAATGCACCAGATCCTCAAGCTCCCATGCATGACCCATATGAGTTTTCTGAAGAATCATCCTCACATGCCAATATTTTAACAACGACAAGTAAACGTCTGAGTTATCGAGCGAGTCGGGATGATAGCCTTGGAAGGCCCCCTTTTAGCAAGGTACGTTGTTAATAATTTTTCGAAATGTTGTTGTTATGGGCTCCAACTACACGACAAAGAGATGCTACAATTGGGTCGGAAAAAATTGGTTTATGGTCACTGAGCTTTCATAGTCTTAAAACTAACTGCGACTTTAAAGTTGTGTGGTGTCTCAGTAGGGATGGGACGGGTGGCCCTTGGGCTGGTCCAAATTGGTTTAGGCCACGGGTCAAGTCAGGCTGTAATGTCAGACTCAGTTTTGATATTTGAGTTAAATTAGAAATACAATAGTATTCTACGATAGAAAATGTTCACAACCTATCTATTTCCTCTGTGTTTTGTGCTCTTCTATTAAAAAAATGAAAAGAAATGAAGAACTCTTTCAGAGATCTGGGTTTGTGAAAAAGCCAATATAGTCACTTGTTTTGAGCATTGCTTCCATCTGTTTGTATTTTGATGAATTTAGATATTTCTCCAATTATTTCTTTCATTTAAGGCAAAATATGGTCTTTGAAAAGTGGTTACTATTTTCACCTGTGCTTTCATTAACGCCGTCCCATAATGGAGAGGACCCGATTTCTACTATAGGGACCCCAAACAATGAAAATGAGGGGTCACTTGGACGCAGTGCAGGTCATATAAAAAAATCAACTCTGGATGAATGTATTGATAAAGATCTTACCTTCAGTCTTTTATTTGGTCAAAATCCGCTAAATAAACGAAGGATATTCTATTTCTAAAATAAATAGAATTTTCTTTCGGAGTTTCTTTCCCGGAAGTTGATTTCTGATCAAAATAGTATGAGGTATGTGATTGGACAATCACTAGTAGTTGATTTCCGAGCGGTAATCGGTACGAGTCCTATGATTGGCCGAGATTATTGATCGCGCATGCGTCTTAATAATTTTAACTAATCAAATTGCTGGATTTGCTGCGCATGCGCAAAAACTGAACCAAAAAATGGAACCTCACGGAGATTGCTCCTAGTGAAACTTTCTGAGCGATCAAAATCAATAGCAAATTGCTTTGAAATACGCGAAGAAAAATGGTATTTAATGGTTGAAAATTAGTTAGCCCTTTCTAATGGAGGTATCTGCATCATTTAATGACCTACTAGACGTGTGTAGTACACTGATCTGGGCCAAAAAATCTGATGCAAACTTTTCATCAATTTTTTCGTTCAGTGCAAAAATGTGACTTTGAATTCCTGGGAACCTTTTTTCATGGGGACGCACTTTTTTGAGGGGGGACGCAATTTTGTAAAATCAATCCGTCCCAGGGAAGCACTTTTGGACAAGCCTACTGAAAGCACTGTTCACCTAGTTACCATCTTATTTCATTGGATAAATCCTGATTGCTGGTTATTTTCAGATTGATCTAGAAGATTCCAGTTATTTTCAGATTAATCTAGAAGATTCCAGTTATTTTCAGATTAATCTAGAAGATTCCAGTTATTTTCAGATTAATCTAGAAGATTCCAGTTATTTTCAGATTAATCTAGAAGATTCCAGTTATTTTCAGATTAATCTAGAAGATTCCAGTTATTTTTCTTAATGAATTTGAGGTTAGGTTAAATGCATGAGCTACAAAATATGGTCTATATTTTCAGCTTGTTACTGTATTCAATTACTATTGATCATGATGATAGAACACTGGATGGAAAAATTCCTAGTATCCCTTGAATAAAATTTCAAGGTGGTCATATTTTTACTGTTAAATATACTGAAATGAAAAGGATTTATTAAGAGATGTTTTGCCCAGAAATGGAGTAGACATTATAAATATAGAAATGCAAGAAAATCTAACAGTTTCTCTCGATCAAAAAAGCAGAATTTTGAAGGATGTTTATCAAATTATCTAGAGAAATACATTAGAATTAAAATGCACGGGGATGCATTTTAAATATAGATTTACATTTATACATTCTCTCAGCAATATGTATCCCAATCTGGCCAGAAGTATGTATAATTGATTTTGTTTTAAATATAAAATACATATTGATACAATGTTTTACTTTACCTGGCCCTGAGCATGGATAATAATAAGTATGTCAATGTGTGCATTGTTCTATAATATACATGTGTAATAATTGTAATAACATATCACAATGATTAAATTCTCTCTCAGATTGTGTAATTAATCAAGTCGATGACCTCAAAGTGATTATCCTTAAAACGTGAGAGGCTACGCATCTATTGAGCACTTAAAAATAAGTTCTCAGTTTTACATCTTTATTGATTCAAATTTTTAGAAAGATGAAGCCCATCCAAAATTGTATAAGAATTGCCAAAGAGTCAGGTTGGTTCATGGTGACATATTGTCATAGTCTCCACCTTTTCTATGGCAGTTGATGTTCAGAGGTTGACTTTTGGTGTCTGTAACAAATGGAAGGTGGTCACATTTTTTCTAAAAAGTAGTGGTAGACTTGGCTGACTTGCCAGAAATTATAGTATGAGCATGAGCCTATCCCTGGATAAGTTAACATTTGTGGTTGATATGGTCTTGCTTATTTCCGTCAATTTCTCTTTAAAATTTGAAAGAAGTATCTGATTATTTTGCATTTTCAAACAATTTAGGTTGTGTCCTACATGTCTACTTTATTCCTTGGTGATTCCTCACCTTTTCACTTTATTTTTGCATTTTAAAACCTGATATCATGGGATTTATGTATGAATGGGCGTGTCCATTAAGAAAATTCATATCTTACGGAACAATCAATAACCTTCACGATTATGATGCCCTTTGACAAAACGTCTACTCAATCATCAATTTTTTATGAAATATGCAGAAAAGTGCTAATAACCTAAAACTTGTAACAATTTCCAATAATAATAAATTACATAGAGATAACTTTAAAAACTGAATTATTACGTAAAGAATCGAAAAATTTCTGAAGTTATAGAAATAGTGAAATCTTTTGATGGGATCGGAGAAAACTGTGAAATATGTAGAAAGAAATTGATTTGTAGACTAGAATTGGGACAAATATTGATTTATATATTGTGCGTACGACTTTCAACCTCAGGTCATAAAATTATTATAGTATTACCATTTTATGAATTTTGTGTGCTCGATATTTCTGTTGTAAAAGGTTTCTGTTTTCCAATAATGTACATAGGGGTTGATTGATTGAATAATCCCCCCCCCTGTTTATTGAATTTATGGCTATGACCTCTTAGAACTGTATCATTATAATACTGTAATGTCATTGTAAGAAAATGTATAAAGTTATACATGTATGGATGGAATTTGAGCATGATACCACATATTGACAAAGCTAAGTTTGATTTTATCGTGCTTATTTAAAGCATCGTCATCTCTTGCTGCTAGGTGGGCAGGTGGCCGCCATATAGATCTTGTCATCAAAATTCCAGGAAAACTGCTTGCCTGTTCAGCTTGAAATTTTTACAGAAGTCAGAACAGACTAGTGCCAAGATCTAGTCAGGTTTTGGGCATGCTGGGTAAATACTTGGTCGTCATTTTAAATGTTTAGCAATATTCATCACTGTGTCTTGGTTTTATTGGCCAATATGGTAAACCAGGATTTATTGTGTGACACTCAGTTATTGTGTGACATTGTCAGTTATTGTGTGACATTGTCAGTTATTGTGTTATACTTTCATTTATTGTGTGACACTGTCAGTTATTGTGTTACAATGTCAGTTATTGTGTGACACTGTCAGTTATTGTGTGACACTAGCAGTTATTGTGTGACACTGTCAGTTATTGTGTGACACTGTCAGTTATTGTGTGACGCTGTCAGTTATTGTGTGACACTGTCAGTTATTGTGTTATATTTGTGTTGCAGGAAGAGGAAGTAGGACGAGACAGGAAAGGTTCAGACAGTGGTGGGGTAACAATCAAAGAGGAAAAGACAGGTAGATATTTCAAATCACATTTATAAAAAGTTTATTTTGTGCATACCAAGTTCTGCATCAATCCTCAGTCACCAATTTTATGGTCTTTTAAATTTTTGGCCTACATTTAAGCAACATTTTCAAAAATAGTTATCGCTTTTGGAATATTGGCTTCATTTTCTGGAAACATGGTTCAAATTTAAAAACAGTTGGAAAAATGTTTCAATGGTGGTGGGTGAAGGGGGGGATGACCAGAAACTTTATGTTAGAATACAAATAAGTTAATTAGTTTTGATGGAAAGGAAATTAACCAAAGTGCAAAATATAGGCAGAGCAATTTTGAACAAAAGTGTTCTCTTTTGGGTCCATTTTGATCAAAAAATGTCACTGTTCTTTATATATTACAGATTCTGTTTTCAATGGAGAAACAAGTCCAGGAAACTTTGGAAGTAATTTCCTGAGTGAAAAGGATTTAGTGCCAAAGTACCATGACTTGGACAAGATGTTTGATACTTCAGATGATGATAGTAACGATGGCAACATGGTAGGTTATCCTTTTCTGAAAAATTCAGTAAATTTTGTTCACATCTCAACAAAAATGTGTTTATTTACTTAGGTCTTTGTCATGTCACGTGTCAATTGTGAGTGTTCTTCATTTGTTGAGTGGGAAAATTTTGTCAAAAAATGTCAAGAAGTTGGGCAAAATATCCCAATTTGGAACTCAATTTTCAACATAATAACACAAGTTTTATAAATTTCCATCCCAACAAATGTTGTTTCTGTACTTAGCCTCCCGGCATATTATATCTATATGATTCCAAGTTATATATAGCAAAAGAAAATCTGATTATATGTACTAATGGCTTTTCATATGATTGACTTATAACATAATCTATAGTACAAACATCTGCCTTGTTTAATTTTCAGCACCACATCTCTGCTCCTGTAGGCCCTAGTACTTTATTGGATGAAAAACCAGTTAAAAGTCAGACACAGTCGAGTCTGGCAAGCAGTACTGGGGCTGGACCAATAGGTATGTACAATTTCCACTCTTCCTCGTCATCTTTGTCCTCTTCTTAATATTCCTCTTCTTCCTCCATCTCCTCTTTCACATCCTCTTCCATTTTTCTAAAGTGATAAATTCTGCAAGTGAAACAAGTGGATTCTGTGGGGGGAAATGGCCAAATATATGATTTCTCTGTGTTTCCCATCAGGGATGATATGAATATGATATGGAAATGATACGAATAGAACAAAATTCAAGATTTTGCAAATCAGTGGGCCAATGCAAATTCCTGTTTCCACTCTGTGTAAATGGTGAACTGTGAGAGTGGCTTATTATGCAGAAATATTCCAATTTATAAACCTTGTTTCTTTACTTTGTTACTCCTTGGGGAGTTACATCTGACACAGTTAATAATGTGCTCTCTAGGGAATATCTTACAATGTGGAAAGCACGGAAACCTTTTGGCAAATAAGAGAAAAGATATAGGTTAACTTTAGAAACCAATCTCCTACATCACGATAAAAAATCGGTTAAGCTTATGAATCTCTTGTCATTTGTTTCTAGGTGCGACAGAGTTGGCTCACATGTTCCCGACGCCACCATCTCATGAAGAAACTGCCCTCTCACCCTCGATGGGAGTGGAGCCTCATTCTGAATCCACGGGATTTGATGCAATAGTTGGTCGCACAGAAGCTCCCAATCATTATGGTCACCTAGCAAACACTGAAGAACATAGAAAGGTAGGAAAAGTCACATATTTTCATGTTGGTTGATTTTTAAAGAAATATTTTGGTATTCTGGACATTATTTGATTCAAAACCTTATATATCGCAATATTTTTCTTATTTCCATGTGATTTAGATTACAAAGTTTTTTCACAATGATACTCTCAAGCGTTAGCAGTGCATGTAAAAATGTAATTAATAAGTAACGCTATAGATTCAGTAGGGTATTTCTTCTACAAATATCTATTTTTTGCTGAATAATGTCTTTTAAATCCAATTTTAAAAAATCATGAAAAAGTTTTGTTCATATTTAAAAGTCTTTTGCTTTATTTTCAGGAACTCAGTACAGTTTTCAAGCCACCTATGACGGCAAAGTTTATCAGTGCCGGAAGATATGCTCCAATTGAGTTGCCTAGCAATAACCAAGGCCAAGTGGCACGTACTATGGACTGTACTTATAAGCCTTCCTGGCAGTATCCTGTTGGACCCATGACTCCCATACCAAACCTTCCCCTAGTGGATAGTAAACCGCCAATACAGCCACCAAGGTAAAAATATATGGTCAATGTTAAAACATATTTTTTATGAGAGCATGTAATCATATTTTGATATGTTGAATGCAAGAATAGAAAATGAAACAGAAAGAATGAGTGTTCTTTCAAATAATTTCAGTAAAACATCATCAAAGGTTTTAATAGTAAATACAAGTGTGACAAATATCAAGTATGAAATATCAAGTAGTGTAAGGGAATTTTAAGTATGGTTAAAAAGTTGGAATTGAGTAAGACATTTGAAAATAAAACAAAACAAAGAGTTATAGTAATGGCTATTCTCTATTTAAATTCTTCACAAATACATTTTTATGGCACATACATGACATTGAAATTGTTTTTCCAGTACATATGCCAATATACCTTCAATAGAGAACTTGGGTAATCTGCAACGCACACCAGTAGCAGAGCGAGGGGGTCTTATGGAACAAACGTCCCCCGCAGCCTACCAAGGGGGGTCAGTACCCCAACGAACCCCTGGGAGCTATGAGCTACAATCACCTGCATCTAACGCATCATCATATATCAAAAATCTAAATTCTGTCGACCCTCAGGGAACGAACAGTACCATACCAGAAGCCCATGGGCTAGTAGTAAACATCACACTCATGGATTCTATGCTAAACATATATCGGGATCATAATTTTGATAGCTGCAATATGTGCGTGTGTTATATGAACATCAAAGGCTCCGATTCTGGATTATATCTCGCAGATAAAACTAACGAGCCTCAGTTGAATTGTATTTGTGGGTTCAGTGCAGTGACTAACAGGAAGTATGGCTATCGAGCCGGATTATTTTATGAGGATGAAGTGGACATATCGGGAATCAGAGACGATAGGTTAGAGCGACGCAAACCTAGTTTATTAACACTAAAACCTGATTTAGAAAAGGAAAACTCTATTGTGGAAATGCCGCAGGAGATTTTAAATTTACTTCAGGGTCAATTTACGACGCCTTTCCCATCTGTGACAGTATTAAATGTTTTCAATCGACTGAAGACCTTTAGTTTAGTGAACAGTCAACAGAGAATGAACATCTTGGAGATACAAGGTAAAGTATTATACAATATTGTATCACTGTCATATTCCTCACTCTTATTGGTCTGTATCTTACATGTGACTAAAAATAACAGGCGATATTCAATGGAAGTCGTGGGCAACTGAGGAATGTTGTGAAAGATGTGCAGGTATTCACCTCAGTAGAATTAAATATTTGAATGATATTACAAAAAATACAATTTAATAAAATTGTACAATGACACAAGTGAAAGTAATATACAATGTAAAGCAATAATGATACATTATATAAAGTTAAAGAAAAAAAATTTAATGCTATATAGACAATAATACAAGGTTTAGAATTTTGCAATTTAGGCATTCATTTAGAGAAAATAACTCTCAATTTGTTCCAAGAGTACAGTGGCCTTTATATTGGGGTCAAGTAGAAATAGCTTTTTTATGAGCCTCGGGGCCACCATATAAAAAACAAGTACAATTTACATTTTATGTTTTCAGTGAAGGTGTTTTATATCTTGGAAAATTAAATTGAATTTAAATGTAATAATTTGCAAATGTCAAGTGCATTATTGGAGCTTATATTTGATTGGTTGTTACAGATGGATGTGATGTGTGTTACAATGGGCTGGAACAAGGACGTCAATGTGTTGACGATAACTCACCAACAAAACTTGATGATGTCATACAAAAATCAAAATGCTTACACAAATGGCCATATTTACATAGTAAGTGAATTATATCCAATAGTAGAGTCCCAAGTTGGATCATGTGACCCATCGATCAGTTAACTAAACATCAATCTAACCCAAGGAGAGCTCACCCCCAGTTCATTAAAATTCATCAAATTATGCGCATTAACAACCTCTCAACTTTCCATTCTATTTTATAAACCGGAACTATTGGGTTTATGTGATGTGCAGTGCATATGCGCTTATCAGTATTTAAAAGCTGATAGTGCAAATTTAAAAAAAATTTGAAATAAAATTATCAAATTTTTTCCACCCTTGGGGGGGGTATATTAATAATTTATTACATTGTACTTGTAATAAGTACAGTGAGTACCCAAAGGGAGGGTATATTAACCCTTCAGTTCCTAATGTTAATTTATAGAATCTCAATCCCACTTCAACCTGCCAGGCAGGTCTTGAGGAAGTGGGGAGTGTTTGTGTAAACAAAACTTGATTTAGAAAAAAATTAACCATCGATATTTGGTCAGGCCCTATTTGGTTTACCCATAATTCCATTCATCAGCGCTTCCTACAAAATATCAATTTCACACTAATTTCCAGATATGGCCAAACTCCCCACAAATGCTGCCGAAGTTGTTCGACTCCTTAAGTCTCTTCAGCCACAATTACAAGAGGCAATCCAAGACAAGCGCCAGACAAAACTTTGGGAAAACAAGTACAAAATCGCTGGGCCATTATCTTGGAAGGATTTCCATTTAATGGCTGGGCGAGGCAATGAGGAGGCAAGCGAACCGCAACCGATACCATCTCTAATGGTGGGCTTTGATAAAGAGTGGCTGTCCCTTGCCCCGCAGTCTTTGAGATATTGGGTAAGTTAGACCTCGAGTGATTGCCTGTACACTCTTGATTTTGATGTCACCACCATAACTTGTGACATTCGTTATGGTTTCCAACTTTTTGACGGCATCCACCAGTTGGCACTCGGCATCTGGAATGAATATGAGGTGGTGATATTTTGCATGTTATTTGGCTTGTTATCATATCAGTGGCTTTAGTTTTGGAGGTATTTGTTCGAACATTTGTAAATAAATGGCAGCTCCCTCAAGAAAATAAATTACTTGGATAATTTGATCATTCCAATTTTAGGAAAACCACATGCTCAATTTTCTTGTTCTGTAATTTCAGGATAAGCTGTTACTCGAACCATATGGCAAACAGCGCAATGTTGCATATGCTGTTGTTGCTCCTGACAATGACATTATCTTGCAACATGTACGAGGTTTCTTCAAAGAACTAAGTACTGTCTATGAGCTGTGTCGGCTGGGGAAGCACAGACAGTTCAAACATCTACGTGATGGTATTATGCGTGTCGGAACTAAAGAGGCCTCATCCATATCGAATAAAGATTCTAATATTGATGACTGGTTTGACAATATAGGTAAATACTTAAATAATTTTATTCTCAAAAGTGAAGATATCGCACTGTTAAACATTTGAATTTTTGGTCCAAAATTTATGCTAAACAAAATCTGGTGTATTATGAAATTGAAAGTAAAATAATTTTATTTTTCAAGGTGACTCGCCAGTTGCAGCCAAACTCCGTCTCTACGCTCAAGTCTGTCAGCAATATCTCGGTGCTTTGATAACAGAACAAGTGTCTGATAAGTCTGTATTTGATGATGTGAAGAAGGAACAAACCTCTGGGGGTCCCCTAAAACCCCACCAGAGGTCTAACCTCCCTGAGTACTCGCCTCACCCTCATACTCCCGATAACCGTGACAGAGAAAATCACGACGAGAAAGAAAAAGGTGAGCTGATTAGTTAGAGAAATCGAAAGGCACAACTGGAAATTTTAGAATGATGCAAATGTATTTGATTTAAAACTACCATTTACAGCAACATTTCGAAAAAGTATTTACATCTAAAATTATTTATTGAATTAATCTATTTCTCTTGGTCATGACAAGAATGATATCACCTAATTTAATTGAAAAAAATATTGCTTTATTTATTTAGATAAAGATGATACCAGTCATGATAAGGACCAGAACCAGGATTCAGAGTCAAATGAGCCAACCCCATCAATCGTTGTATATATCGTGGATCCATTCAATTTTGGAACAGAATTTTCTGATCTTAATCGACTTTCCACATTGGGGCTATTGCGATGCTTTCAACATATGGTGAAAAGTATGTCTGGTGATGCAGCGAAAAATAACATTCAACTTCAGGTTGGTGAAATATAAGTTTTCTGTTTCAGTATATTTCCATAAAATTTTCAACTAAAATAATATTTTAATGGCTAAATGTTGAACAATATTAATAGAAATCTAAACTGGATAAAAAAAATAAAAAAGAGAGACAAATTCTCAGATTTTATAACACTTTTTTTTTTAAGTCCATTACTGTCCATGTTGGTGAAAACTAAATTGAAGAATTGGTATATATGTAATTTTCATTTACTCCAATTCATTAGGTTTCATATAACCCATAATGCAACTGCCCATTTTCAGATTGTGCCACTTCAGTCACTACTAAGTCAGAAAAATTCTGAAATCAGGGGTCAGTTTATTAAATCAATGGCAATGTCAGTGTTTGCTCAATGTAAGAGGCAACTACACTACGCAGCTCCCGGAAAATCTCTCACAGGGATGGGTCCAAGTGCAAAGGCAGAAATGATGCTCCAAAGAAAAATTGTAAGCTGTTTTTAGATTTTGTTTATTTTTATAATTTCTTAACATTTACATCTTTATTTCTCATTGGTTTCTATTAAGCCACATGTAGAAGCTCAAATTCATAGTGATGCATAATGGGATGTTTATCTCTCCCTTGCTACTACAACTTTCTTGCTGTTGCTTCAAAGAAGGAATTTCCCAGAAATTTCCATTGCCATGCTTTCTCACACTATCCAAATTTGTGCACAGAATGAACGTGGATTCAAATATACTGGACTTAACAAGCTATAAACTAAACATGCATATAAATAAAAATCATGTAAAAACGATGAAAAAACAAAAGCTGAAATCAGATTTAGGTATTATCTTCAGATGAAGTTCTACACATAATCATTTGTACAGTGGTTGACTTGTAAATGCTTGTTTTGATAATAAAGAGAACTGTTATGAAATATATTTTGGTGTGAAACTTTTGAATCAGCCTTCAACCTCCTTTGCGGTCAGCCATATTTTTGTTATGGACATATATGGCCGTTGCTCCCTACTAAATGTCTGTTTGTCTTGGTGAAACTCTATCAGAGGAAGCCACCTATATTTCAGAATGATAACTACAACATATTCAGCCCACCTTACATCCTGGCATCTCAGACGGACGCTCAATCAATCATCGTGGCGACAATGGGAGAACAGCAACAGGAAGTTCCAGTGACTGCAGTACTGTATTGTGGGTATTGTCTGTCGGAAGATCAGCGCTGGTTGCTCGCTGTGTGCACAGATGAGCGTGGAGAATTGCTTGAGACTGTGACGATTAATATTGAGATCCCCGATAGGTTAGTAGTGAAGCATATCACAAACCCATAATTCAAAGATTTTAGACAGTTTGTTTGAAGTTCACTATTGGTGCCAGTGTCTGCAACAACTTTTACACTTTTCTAATTGTACACTTTTACACTTTTCCAGTAAGAAGGAACATATATTGTCATGTTAATACCTTCGTACTATAAAGACAGTATTCAATTTTACAGAAAATGAATTATTGTATGGATAAATATCTAACATGTCATGATTTGGATTAACAAACTTTGCTGTCAGATTTCACCTGACATTTTATTTTTCTCAACTTATTTATGAATTGATTTAACTTACAGGAACCGAAGAAGGAAAGCTTCAGCAAGAAAGATTGGTCTTCAAAAACTTTGGGATTTCATACTTGGTGTCTGCGCCAAAACGACAACCAGTTGGAGGCTTGTGATTGGTCGATTTGGACGACTGGGACATGGTGAACTAAAAGGTGCATTATTTAATGATAAAAGCTTGAATTTCATTTTTCCTTTACCTGTATTGTTATAAATATAAATTCTATAAAAATAAGTTTTGTTTAAAAAGAGCAAAATTGAGAGTGTAGACAAAGTTTTTTTTAAAGAAGCAAAAATAAAAAAGTAAACTATCAAATGATAGGTTCTCAGTTTGTAATACTACACAGTAATATCAAAAAAGATAATTTTCACTTTCTTCTATATAAGTGCAGAGTGTTAAATATATTAGTGATTACTTTGATGTCAAGTAAGTGTGACTATATTATGAAGCCACTGGATAATGAACTTGTAAAATGTAGCGGTGAATGTGAACATTTCTAATGTGAACACTTCTCTAATGAAAACACAATTCAAGTGAACACCTCTCAATATGACAGTGAAAACAGTGAGTGCTTACTATAGACAACAGTTTTGCATATACTTATTTAATTTTTTCATTTATTTTAGGTTGGGCTGGTTTTCTAAGTAAAAAATCACTGCTAAAATCATCCATGCAACTCCGAGAAATCTGTGATATGTGTGCCGTCCTGGCAACGGGAAACACTCCCAGCATTCATAGCGCCTGTCTTGTGTCGATGGAGCTTCAGGCTTCCTTCCGGATTATGTCTGACAGTGTGAAGCCAGAAGATAAACGAAGTAGTGGATTAGATATTAATACCCCTCAAGATTCTTCTGCCACACACATACTTGTCTTCCCAACATCTGCTACTGCTCAGGTATGTTGCATTATGGGAGGCCGTCTGCTTTTTACATTGCATTTTGGGAACCCTCCTATTCAATTGAAGAAACTTGTTTAAAAGAAGTACTATTCATGTATAAATGAAATAAAATATAAGAATTGAGTTTTGAAAAAGAAACAAATGGAATTTTTCAGAATTTAACTTGTAGTGAAATGTGCATATTTTGACAGCATGTGCTTTGAAGAATCTTCTTATGTTTGAAAAATACATTTTGTGATTGTATTGATTTATTTTCATTGAATGTAACAATTTTGTTTCTCCAGAGTAACTCCAACACCAATGCACCACCTCAGAACCACTTGGACCCACTTAGTAACAACCAATTTCCTGATCTAGTTGACGATGATATTTTTGATTTGAAAGATGATCTAGACAACATGGAAATGATTGGTCAAGATTTAAATCTCAACGAACTTTTCAATATGCCACCATCTCCGATCGCAGAAGATCCGACTTCACCACGTCCTGATGGTATTCTTCCTGGATCACCAACCAATGGAAATGCTGTTAATCAGCAACCATCAAAATCAGGTGTACGAGAATCTGTAGATGGAGAAGAAGCACCAAATCTTCTTCAGCAACCTCTTGCCATGGGGTATTATGTGTCCACTGCTAAAACGGGGCCTCTTCCAAAATGGTTTTGGTCACCCTTCCCCCAGGCTGAGGGTGCCACCCCTACTTTCTTCAAGGTAAATGATTAGAGCCTTTCTATCATGTTTGAAACCAATTTATTTGATTTAAGTTTGGATGAAGGCATCATTTGAAGCAGTTTTTGAAATTTATGAAGACATATTGACATGTAAAAAAGATTCACTGTAGTAAATCTTGGCTTATTTCTGCTTGAATATTTCATGTAATTTCTGAATCTTATGCTCTTATTCAGTCACGCATAGTTGAACAATAGTTGCAAACATGTGAGATGTGATTGAATGATAAGCATGTAAACCTTTGAAAACAGCATGTAAACCTTTGAAAACAAAATACCACGAAGCCTTTCTTTAAGCTGTGCTATTGACTAGATTAATTCATATACTGTAGTACTTATTAAACTTAGTTGATTTTGTTTTTCAGTCTGCTCTTCACATTCATAGCCCCCTAGTCCATCAAAACCAAGATGAACTTCTGAACCAGGCACAGAAACATTCTCACCCCTTAGACTCAAGCTATACCACTGATGTACTCAGGTAATTACAATTTACATTTAACAGCATTATGGTGCATTATGGGAGTCCGTCTGCTTTTTACATTGCATTATGGGGGTAAAGATTAAATACATTAAATTCTCACCCAGTAGACTGTAGCTATAATTTTCTTATTCTCAGATATTTACATTTACTGATATATTTACTATATTTTTTTTTTACTGATATTCATATTTACAACATTGTACTTATGAAGAGGGGGAGAAACCCCAGGGTTCAAAGATGACATACGCTTATAATGTAAATCTGTATTGAGATGACATCGTCGCTGATTGGTTTAGCGAGTCAATCGTTGATTGGTTTAAAACTAGGTCAACTTGAAAACTTTGAAAACCAAGATGGAGTGTAAACAAATATACGTACTTCCGGGAAAGGAGGTGCGCGAAGGAGGAACTCGTATGTCATCAATTGAATCATGGGGTTTTCCCTCTTCTTGTTACATTATGCAAATCTGTCTAACTTTACTCATGCTGCATGATGGGAAACCATTTGATTTTTTACATTGCATTATGGGAAACCTCAGAGGAGTTCTAATATCACAAATACATTTTCTTTCAGGTATGTCCTCGAAGGCTACAACTCGCTATCATGGTTGACATTTGATGCGGTGGCCAATGATCGAAGTTCTTGCCTTCCTGTTCATTTCGTCGTCCTTATGCAACTCTACCATGCCATGGAGGCTTATGTGTAATTCAACAGATGGTTGGGAGAATTGTGTGTAATGCGACCAGTTTGTTGTGTAATGCAATATGTAGTCTGGGGATTCATGTGTAATGCAACCAGTTTGTTGTGTAATGCAACCAGTTTCTTGTGTAAAACAACATTTAGTCTGGAGATTCATGTGTAATGCAACTGGTCTATTTTTTGTTGTGTAATGCAACATATAGTCGAGGGATTCATGTGTGATTCAACCAACTTCTTGTGTAATGCAACAGGGTTAAGAGGTTCTGTGTAATAATGTGAGATTAAGTACTGTGTAATAATACAGTACACAACTGAAGATTTGTGTAACGCAACACATCAATCATTAGATCCCAAGAAATCGTGAAGCATTATTGCAATGAGATGAAGAAATTGTGCATGATATTTGGAGTTGTTAAACTGAAGACATTCTCATCTTGAAAGTTAATCCATTTGAGTACACTATAGAAAACAATAATATGTGTAATACAATAGAAGACATTAAGATGTGTAATACAATAAAAGACAAGATGTGTAATACAATAGAAAAAAGATGTGTAGTACAATAGAACACAAAAGGATGTGTTAGGCCTATAAAACACACCAATGGAGCACCGACTATGACAAAATGAGCCCTTGGATAATTAGCACGTGTACTTTTGAATACTTAATCGAAAATACACAACTTGAAAATTGTGTCACAATGAAAGTATTGATGGATTTCATTGTATTTTTAACACCATTGGAATATCCACTATGAAGAGAAATGATTGGGTTTTCCTATATTTTACCATGCCATGGAGGCGTATGTGTAATTCAACAGATAGTTGGGAGAACTATACATACTACACTTTATATTTCTTATTGCCAATAGTCAAACTCATGGATGATACAACCAAACTGCAATATTACGAGAACTGATATTTTGATAATCAGAAACTGATAGTTGATTCAAGAAGGTAAAGGAATGTGCTTTAAATACTAAATGATTCACTGCAGGGGTTAACAACCTTTAGTGTTTACTTCTCTCAAATGAACTTGCATTAAATCAACTCGAGAAATTATATTATTCACCTTTGGTACAGTTTGAAATTAAAGCAGTACAAGTACCAACATTTTAACAGTCAAATGTTTTAAAAATCACCATTGTAACTAAAATTGTGCTGACTTGTCAGAATAAGCTCCAAAATTAACCAATGACAACGAAATGATTAATATTGTGGTCACCTGCATTTTGAGAATTCTCATCAAATTTTAGTGAATTTTATTAATCCACTGATACTGTACGATGTGTTTAAAATAATATCCCCTATTTTTCTAAATCCATACCTTAACTTACCCTAACTATTGAAACTTAAGGATTTCTTTACTTTTGTGATAGTTTCATGTTAAAGGGTAAAAGTGATATTCATGTTTTTTTGAGTACTGATAAAAGCTTAACGATCTCATATTGTTTTCATTGTCTTTTATGCTAAGAGAAATCGCCAAATCAAACAATGCCAGTGTGATATCTCCGGGAATAGATCATATGTAATGAAAACCCAACTGCCAATTAGTCTATTATGATTTTTACCTGTTGGAACTGCTATGGGTAGGATTCGCTTCAGCTATGCAGATTCAATATCTTTCAACTTTGTCTTTTTATTTACTTTGCAAAAACATTTAATTAGATGCCAATGTTTCCAAATTGCAAGAAGTCAAGTTATTAGAGTAGCACCAAATTAATGACAAATATGCTGTAAACTAAACTGAAGTATGGTACTATTGAGTTCTATTTTATATTGAAACAATTTTAGATCTCCACTGTAATACAGTCCTTCTTCACTACGTCATTATTTCATAATTACATCCGTCAATGTCATTGAAAGAGCAAAAATATCCACAATATTTTAAACATTTTAAATTGGAATTAAGGTTTCTAGAAAATAATTTCTTGTTATTTTTAGTAATTTGATCTCCTAGCATATTGATAGGTTTTATATGAAACAAATTATCCCTGTGAGATGCATTCCTATCAGGCATGGCATGAAGGAAAACTAGCACTTTAATAATATAACGGGAATCTAGCACTTTGATGAAAATGAGACTCTGACAAGAATCAGTAACAATGACAATACATTGTAATATGACATTATTAAAGGAATCTTGACATATTATCTAAAATAACATGACAATTCAGAGATTATGACATTAATATGCCATTATGAAACCAATCTGACATTTCAGAAGTAACATGACAGAAATCAGAAATCCTGACAGGAATTTGATTCTAACAATACAAACTATGCCTTCATCTGGTTGGATATTATTATTTGTGACAGCTATTCAATATTTGCCAACGTGTTTCTATTTGTGCCAATTTCAAATCTTTATATAAAATCATTAATTTATGAATTGCAATGTGCCACTTTAATTGAATAAAACTAAGTGAATTACTGGTATTGAATATCAAGAAAATGGGATTGTTTCTTTATCAAATGCATGCTGAAAAGTAACATGCGTTATTTCAATCTTTTTGCTTCTAAAAAGAATGTGAGCGTTTTTTTGTCTTTTTTTCCAAACCTGTCTTTTGAACCTTGTGAACCTCCCATGGTTTCATTCAAATGAATTTGTCAGTTGCGGATGTCACTGGTTATTGGGAAATACAAATCGCAACACTGGGAAAATGCAAAATCAGATATTATTAATTTTAGATAAAATGCTAAGTTTGCCAAAACAGGAAAGTAGTGTTGTCGCGATTAATCGATACATCGCGATATACATCGCCAAAGCTGGTTCTGGCGATGCATCGATGTCTGAAACAAAACATCGATGTTTTTAAAAAATTTAATTTGCTAAAAATCGCCCTTTCTTATCTTATTTTGACGCAAATTGCTTACCTTTTTCATGTCGTATTTCATTTTCAAATGTTTTCTGATATTCTTTCGCTTCAAAACTGTTTTAGCTAGTCGAAATGAACCATTGTACCATGTACATCGCGATGTGCATCAATGTTTACTCCTGAAAATTGCCGATGCATCGATGTACGATTATGGCACATCGCGACAACACTACAGGAAAGTCATTTTAATAAAAAGCGTCTAGTGTTAGGGGGTGGGCGTGAAATATGGCAATTACAGTAAACATATTCGAGTTGAATCAAACACAGAACCAAGAGTATTTAAAGGTTGTATGTGAAATGTGACAGAAAAAGATTTACAGCGGTTGTTGTGTCATGCAATTTCAATCAGGCTTTAAATTGGAGAATCTCAGCTATGAATATATATTAATGGACACTTTGTGAGACACATAGTGAAAGGACACTTCACTGAAAGACACTTTGTGAATGATCACATCGTTGTTTGACATATGATGAATAAGGTAATGTTCAATCTATGTATCAGACATAATTAATAAAAAACAAGTGCTATTGTACATGTGTAAAAAACAAAATATGAAGTCATATGCTATAACAAAGAACCTAGTTTTTCTATTATATGAACTATATTGTAAAATACGAAATATATCAAATTACTGTACATAGTTCAGATAAATTACACTATATAATGTAATGTGTAATGTACAAAATGTATTATGTAATGTAGAAAATGTACAGTACATGTATTCTATTATGTAAATACACTTAGTACAATGAATGAAAATATAAGTTAATAGTACACAAATAAATGTACTTAGAATTAGTACAAATGTATATATTATAAGTATATAAGAGACAGAACCTAAAAATTGGCTCAGAAGGCAGAGAGCAACAAAAACAGTGTCAAGTTGATGCTTCTGAGCATGACATTTGATCAGGTTCATCTGCCGATAGGACATTTATAACATAGAATATTTTAATGAGAGATGTGTATGTTAAGTATATGTACCCCCAGATCTCTTTCGATTATCAAGCGAAACAATGGACAGAATATGTACTTAATTGATAATTTTATCAAAGTCAGTGTGAGTCGAATATTGTGTCACATCTTGGCTCTTTCCTTGACAAGATACGAGGCCTCAGGGCTTAGTGAAAATAAATGAAAAATAAGACAAACATGTCAACCAGATTTGAAAAGATTGTAATAATAATGTGAATGAAAATATAGCTGCCAATGATAATTAAGTGATACATCAGTGTCATTAGACACAGTTATTTATTTTACAAAATATGACCTTATTCATAATCAAGTAATTTGTGTTTTATCAAACGCAACATTTATATCTTGATTAAAGTGTCGATAAATTGGACCTGATTTGCGGTAAAATCATGTTATGTTAAATAAATTATGTACATATGGATATTTTATGTTTAAATGAGAAAATGTTTTGTCATGAAGAACTAAGGGTGATGCCAAACTACCTATGGATAAAATTTCACAGTGATCAAGTCTTAGAATGTAAATTAATGGGGATATGCATAAGAATTTTTGTGTAATTTTCACGGTTATGATTACCGATAATAAACGAATTGTGTAATATTATTCACATTTTATGCGACTATTTAGTTACGCATTATGGTAAGATGTATAATTTGAAATTGTTGTTCTGACATTTTCCTACTTTTTGTTTTGTGAAACTATGAAACTACCTTTAGACAAAAGTAGGGAAATCAGCGAAAATTCACAAAGTAAGCGTATTATTTAGACTTTAAATATGCTAGGAAATGTTATATCAGACATTTTTAAGATTGTGAAATTTTAACTATGGGAAAGTTCAGTTTAGATCCAAGGTGCATTTATATAAATAATTTATAAAAATTCATTGTTTTTCATGTATGAATCAAGGTCAATCAGTCACAGTCTCTCTTAAAATATAGCAAAATGAGAGAATTTGCTGAAAAATAAATTCAAATGTTAAATACTGGTTGATGTTGAAAATATTATTGTATAGTGTTTAAACTGTTTATACTTGATATATATAGAATATGTGACATAATATGTGACACAATGAGATATGTGACACAATGGAATATGTGACAAACAATGTGCAAATAAATGTCTATTCATGAAATTGAGATCTGCTTTTGTTTTGTTATATAGCAAATGGAAAAAATCTAAGTATCTTATGTTTATATATATTTTTTTATTTCATTTGGTATTCAAGAGCCATGCTCTTTCAAAAAAGGTACAAAATACAATAAAGGTCAAATACATATTCAAAAGATTTGGAGCACAAATCGTGGCTCAAATGCAGTCAGAGTTGAATTCTTCATCTCAATACATTTGGCAGTGATCACACAGTTGCTTTGTAATCAGGGGTTCCCAAGGGGTCTTTGACAAGGTGACACCTTTTTGGCCCAACCTGTATACTAACCAGCTATCAGATTGAATAAAGTCACTAAAGCAAGTCTACTAGCCCCTAATGGGAGCCCTTATCAGGCTGACAATGAACTTCTGTAGCAAGTTTCAGTACCAGAGGGGGAGAAACACCAGGGTTCAAAGATGACATACGCTTATAATGTAAATCTGTATTGAGATGACATCGTCGCTGATTGGTCAAAAGTCGATAAACAAATGACGTCATCAATGGCGGTTTTAAAATTTTCGAAATACGTTTCGAATAATATTATGTTCATTTCTGGCGTGTTAACCAATATCATAGCTTCTCATTTCACACCAAGATAAAGAAAGGTGTACGGAATATACCTATATCAATTAAAACATCCCATCGAAGTGTAGTATTTGATAACTAGCCGATGAAAATTCGAACGAACGAAGGTGGTAAGCAAGAGAGGTAACTATGTCTGTCATCTTTAAACTATGGGGCTTTCCCTCCTCTTTTTCAGTACAATGGCTGACAGAATCTTGTTGACCCTCCTATTCCACCTATATCCATTCAAGGCATTCTCGGCTAATCCAAAATTTTACGTCATGTTATTTCCAACTCATTTAAAGTATTCATCAACATATATCGAGAAGTTGCTATATACAGCCATCTAAACCACACTAATTGACTCCAATGAGATAACATTGCCTTTTGTGATTTTAAAAACTCTGTCCAGGTTGATAGGAAGAGAATTTTAGATGTCAAAAAACTATATGGAATGTCAAAAATTGAGATGTATTTCCTGAGTGTGTTTGTAGTCTTGAGTGTATACACAGGTATCCCCTTATAGCTGTCTTTTGTGTGAATGTTCCTGAAATTAAAAAGTTGATTTCATAAAGTGAGGCCATAATTTGAATAGAAAAGGTATGAGAGGAATTAGCAAGGAATAAAGAAAATAGGGATGTAGTCAACACTCTAAATTGTATAGAAATGCAGGAATACCAGACACTTTATTCAAATTTTAGAGAGAAATGAGTGGAATTAGCAAGGAATAAAGAAAATAGGGATGTAGTCAACACTCTAAATTGTATAGAAATGCAGGAATACCAGACACTTTATTCAAATTTTAGAGAGAAATGAGTGGAATTAGCAAGGAATAGAGTAAATAGGGATGAAGTCAACACTCTAAATTGTATAGAAATGCAAGAATCGCTGCCGTTTATTTTAATTCTCAAGAAAATACAGGATGGACATGATAATGTGATCATTTGGAATATGGAGAAAAAGATTGTCAAATCAAATTTTTTTCATTGCAGTTTAAATATACATACAGGGGTTTCATTAGCAGCAGGCAACAGGCGATTTTCACCTGTTGTTTTCAAAATATTGCCTGTTGTTTTTAAGGATTTTTCAACTTTTCCATGATTAATTTATGATTTCAATTAATATTTTGCCTGTTGTTTTCATTTATTTAGCCCGTTGTGAAATTCCAATGAAACGCCTGATATACATCAGTACTCAATGTTAAAAAGCTGTTATTTGTTAATTTGATATGCACAAAATCATTATGTATCTGCAATACAAAATAATTATGCAATACAAAATAATTATGCAATAAAAATTATTCTGAAAGAAATTTATTAAAATGGACACATTTATTTTCACCATTTTTAACTATTGCAATAAAACAAAAATAAAAAATTGGAACAAAAAATTTGGTGGACACTAGCCTCCAATGAGGATTGAACTCATAACCCCTGGTTTACAAGACCAGTGCTCTGCCACTGAGCTATAGAGGCTTGGACAAGCATGTGGAAAATATTAAATAAGATCTATTTTGCAATATTGACAATTTGTATTAACCATATGTGCACAACATGAAACTAACTGTAAACATCTAGTTGGCAGCTGGACTTTTAAATGAAGTAATAACTATTAAATCAATTTATAGCATTAGTCAGTGAAGAAAATCTATTTTTCATGCAGCTGTGAAGTATATCAACCCCCCCCCAAATAATTGGCAATTTTGGCAAATGTTTGATTTTTAGTTTTTAACAAAAATTCATAAATTCTTAAATTATTTGGCATCTTCAAAAAAGTAAAAATTGATCATTAAAATTCTAAATGGAGACATTTTTGCATAATCAATTAGTTTCAGCAAATCAAAAAATTAGAAACCTTAAAACAAATGAAATCTTTTAATGTGATATTACCTTACTGCCCAATAGATGGCCTTATGGTTTTTAAATATTGTAATAAAACAAAAATAAAATATTGTAACAAAATTTTTTGATTGACACTAGCCTCCAATGAGGATTGAACTCATGACCCCTGGTTTACAAGACCAGTGCTCTGCCACTGAGCTATAGAGGCTTGGACAAGCATGTGGAAAATATTAACTAATATCTTTTTTCCAATATTGACAATTTGTATTAACCATATGTGCACAACATGAAATTAACTGTAAACATCTAGTTGGCACCTGAACTTATAAATGAGGTAATAACTATTAAATAAATTTATAGCATTTGTCAGTGAAGAAAATCTATTTTTCATGCAGCTGTGAAGTATATCCACCCCCCCCCAAATAATTGGCAATTTTGGCAAATGTTTGATTTTTAGTTTTTAACATAAATTTTTAAATTATTTGGCATCTTCAAAAAAGTAAAAATTGATCATTAAAATTCTAAATGGAGACATTTTTGCATAATTAATTAGTTTCAGCAAATCAAAAAAATTAGAAACCTTATATGAATCTTTTAATGTTATATTACCTTACTGCCCAATAGATGGCCTTATGGTTTGGATGACCACTCACTCCGTGCTCATCAAATGTGATAATCTGAAAAAAAAACATCCAAATTCTATAATAATATGAACAAGATGAAAATTGGATAAAAAGTCAATCATTGAAAACAAAAAATTTGAAGAATGTCAGGAAGAAATTAATGTTTATATAAGGTATGATCAACCAACAATCAATTCTAAAAAACTGTATATCGAATATAAAGATCCAATCTAAACTTACTGAATTGGCTCCTAACTTATGAAGGTGTTTTTCTATGATGTTTGAAGCAGCTGTGAGATCCCAATCACCTGGGCCATCCTGTAGAGATCTGGAAAAAAGATCATACAGTAAGTCTTTAGTACCAGTAACATCTAAAGCACTCATAACACTGTTACACTTCATATTTTGGGAATCTTACCATTTCATAGATATCGATATCATTCACCTATATTAGCATATTTGAGCAAGGCATATTTAAAATATCATATACATAACAGATTTATTCAATTTTATGATCCCAAATAACACAATTGTGGGGTTCTTACATCTTGCTTTAATCTTCGAACCTATCCTCAAACGTAGCATAGAATGTAGTAGAACCAACGATGGGGTTCTTAAAGAATTAAAATGAGTTTCCAAATTAGCCCAGAGTGGGAGGTTATTGCAGATGAGTATTTTAATTATACTCTAAAATGTGATTACATTTCAGATTAAACACATTCAGTAAACATATTGATTTTTCCCTTTTCTAAATCACTTTACGCTTGCAAATTTTATTGCATGGACATTAACCTACATGTACTCCCACAACCAGAGTTTAAAGATGCTTGAGGGACGGAAGTAACTCAATATCATATTCTTGTCCTAAAATTAAATTGAATGAAAACATAACATACATGTCATCGATTATTGCACATTTGTCATGTGGGACTCCAAGAATGTTAGCACTCAGATAAAATTCTTTGATACGTTCCTTTCCTTTGCCGTAATAGTTTCCTGGAAACAAAGAGTTAGCTTATTATTCATAATAGACCAATGTTTGATAAAGTACATGTTTTCATCTTCGAAACCACCAACAAAGGCTGTACAAATTATTACGTGAAAAATACATACCAACAGAAAAGCATAGCAAGGAGACATTGCGACCAATCTTCATCACTTTTAAAATTCATTTACATATTGTAAAGTCCTTTTCCATTGGGTTGTGCACCGATAAAACGTAAAAAGACAAGCAATCAAAAGACCACAGTGCTTTATCATTTGCAAAAATACATTATTTGACACACAGACTTTAGGTCAATATAATAGTGGGGGATGATTAGCTACGTACTGCTGAACTGCACTGTGCACACAAACCAATTGAAATTGACTATATTCACAATTGAAATCACCAGCCAAGGCTGTGCGAATTACTACGTGTAAAATACATACCAACAGATAAGCAAAGCAAGGAGACTTCATGACCAATCCTTGTCAAATATTGAATTGTTGGTCCAAAAAACATGCATTCATCATCTGGATGCGCTGTGATAACCAAGATAGTTTTTGGTGCTGTTGAAAACGGATTTCTTGTATCGAGTGTACTACTAAGACTTCTGTGAATACCAAATATCACTGCTATAAGGACTAGAACAGGCCCAAGTAGCCATAAAAACATTTTGAAATCCCAGTCAAAATAAATTTTCAAAATTTCATTGCTTCCAATTTTTGTCAAGAGATGTCGTAAATTCAAAAGTAAAACATGTTTTTACACCTTATGCAATCAATGAAAAATATAAATTACATGTAATTCATATACTTTGGAACAATAAGAATATCTATAAACCCTGATATGTTTAAAAACATTGGATTTAGAAGATTTATATTTTACAACAATAACAAAGTACTGACTTCCGATGCGCAGTAAGAATGCGCAATAGCTGTCGCTAAGGTGACAAAAATAATTTTTACAAAATTTGGAGATAATTATTGAATTTAACACTGGAAATGTAAGTATTTCAATTTAGTTTCGACCTGAGATTGATAGAAATTTCGTTAGCTTCAATATGGTATGATTTTACTAAAATTTGAGCCCTTGACTTGTGAAAATTATAAATTTCAATTTTCCAAAATTGAACGTCGTCCACTTTCTTTAGTCATATAAATCCGACCGTTGTATGCTGTTCTTCGATATTCCTTGTTCTTATTTGGATATTTATTTTTTATCATTTTCTTTGCATACACCGTCGTAGGTATTATATGGAACAAATTGCGGTAAACGCTTTTCTGGCCTGTCTCGGTAACCATAGTTACCATACTAACCAAAGTCACACAAATTATCGAGTAATTATTTAGTTCCAACATTAAAGTGTTAAATCTTACCTTAGACATGTAAAACGCTTGATAATTGACGAAACATGATCAATTGAATTATATTTTCATTATCGCCCGCCATGTTGCTGAATGCTGTTTCCGGTAGTCTAAATGTAAAACATGTATCGAAACGGAATCATAATTATTTATTACACAGAGATCGATTCCAAAGCCGTTCTCTTATACTTATTACTTTTCTCATTTTGAAACAATAACTTTTCCAAATAACTTCCCTTCTTAACGACACTGCTTCCCTTTCAACTGAATCTTCGTGTAACAAGTACTTATGATTTCGTTTGATATAGTTTTACATCTAGACTTAGATTAACCCGGAAGTGACCTTGGCATGGCAAAATGAAAAAATTTTAAAATTCAAGCGGCATGCTTATATTTCTTCAATTACCAAGCGTTTTACGTGTCTAAGGTAAGATTAAATACTTTATAGTTGAAGCAAAGACATTTATTTATCATTTGTGTGAATTTGGTTGGGTAGACAGGCCAGGAAAGCATTTCCCGCAATTTAGATGCGCGGAGTGTGTATGACCCTTGTATGCAAGAAAATAAGAAAAAATAAATATCCAAATCAGAAAAAATAACAACAAATAACATCATACGAGGGTCAGATTTATATGACTAACTTTCTTCTTCCCCACTTTCTTCTGCCCCCTGGGTAATAAGAATGTGGGGCTTCTCTGCAACTAAGAAAGACAGAAAGGTGATTCAAAAATAAAAATGGCAATAGCTTGAAGATATTCCGAAAAAATAATAAAAAATAAAATATTAGATCTAAGCTTAGGCCTACTCCCAGTTGACCAGTTTTGATATCCTGTAGATTTATTCCAGGTATTCCAACTGTCAAAATGATGCAAAGAGTCTGGAGTAACTCATTCGGTTCACTGTGGACTAAGATACGCCTAAAATGAAATGAGCTCCAATTTTGATGTTAAAACAAATCAACCAAAAGCCACTGGTCAAAAATGTATCGACTTCCTTCAATTGTGAACGTATCTGAAGACTTACCGGATCAATCTTTGCCAAAATTTCCAATTGGATGTATTCTTTCCGATAGATGTCTGCGTGTGATTATATGGCTGAAAATAAATAAATTGCGTCAGATTGGTCCCCGACTTGTTTCATTTTTCTAACTGGAAGTTCACAACTGGAATTGACCCGAACAAAATTGTTGTCCATCATTTATCAATACATTGTATAAATATGACTACACATCAAATATGCTTAGAAAAATCTAGTTTGAATTCCAATCCATAAAAACAATGTAAAATGCTTCACTCAGTATCTATTTTTTTATGATGTACATTGTACAGTAATTTCGTTTGAGTTATCCTGAACTTCCGTCCGGTGAAAGAGGGCAAACAGGAACCCATCATGTATCTTGTTGACCAGTCGGTCATATTCATTTGAAAACTTCTGAAATATTTTCAATATGGAGGTGTTTAAAAGAAGAAGATTAACATCACACTCTCCACCTTCTACTGAAGATAAAAAAAAAACTATTTGATCCCCATTCCTATGACATGTATGAACAATTAACTAAACTGAACTTCTGTAAGTGGAACACTATTTTAAAATACCAATTTTGTTTCACTTATACACCTGTCCTGTACACGTTTTAAAGTAATTTATTGGGAATAGTATATCTCTTATATCAGGGCTCTTTGTCTCATGCCTCATCTGTAAAGACCCCTATCATTCCAGAACAAAATGGCTGATAATGAAGAGACACCCCCTGTTGAAGCTGAGGGAGACACTGTTGTTCGACAACCACCTGAAGGAGAATCTAATATTCCTGAACCTCCGCCAAATGTAAATGAAGAGAAAACAGATGTACAGGAAGAGAAAAATGTCAACCCCAATGCTTTGGTAAGTTTAATTTATTTTTTAAAAACAATTGGTTTGTTTGATGTTTATTTGTTCTGCTATTCTGATTATGATATCAAGATACTAATATTAAAATTTGAGCTGTATAAGCTAGGGAATCATCATCAGAATTTCCTAAATTGTACTATGATTTTAATTACTTCATCTTGAGAATTTAATCACAGCGCGCAATGATATGATATTTGTCGTAATACAGAAAATATTGGTACAGAGGGGACATTCTCAGTAGCAATACAGAGGATCACACGATAAAAACGTTATAGAATGAATTGAAGTGCAATACAAAAAAGATATATTCTGTCTCAATATTCTGTATTGGCACTCGACTTCGTCTCGTTCCAATACGGAATTTCTCGAGCAGAATATATCCTGTATTGCACTTGAAATCATTCAATAACTTATTAAAAAGATGGAATTCAAACAGGATTAAACCTTCTTCCCTTAGGACCAGAGATGTAAGAGATAATGTTTTGAGCCTAACTTATGAGCCTAAGTTGTACGAAAAAAAACAATTCTGGAAGATCAAAATTTTTGTATTTTATTTTTTCTAAATAAACTACAGAGTGAATCATTTCTCTTCTTCATTTCAGAACCAAGTCTGGTCTTTTGGACTTAACAAGCATGTCCCAGTGTTGAATCTGACAGATTCAGAGCGAGATATGATAATGTACTCATGTGCACACACAGGCATCCTCTATGACTTTAAGAACAATCTACAGCACCTGTTACAAGGACATGTAAGTTAAACAATGGCTCAGTTAGTTATCTAACAACAATTCTACAGATTGAATTGAATATTATTGGGCTTTTAGAATGAGGCCAGGTCCTCTATCAGCGCTCCCGCCTCTCTTGCCTCATTTGCTTTGACTCTCTTAAATCTAACAACATAAAATAAATCTGTAGCATTTTGTGTAATATTGATTAAAGCTGGAAACTATCCTAAATGCACATGAGTATAATCTCAAGAGTACAAAATCAAAAATATTCTCCACTCCACACCATCTAACCAATATAATCAACCAACTAGCATTTTTGAATAAAGAAGTTACATGTAACTCAAGTAATATCTTTTTCAGTTCATTAAATATTTATTCAATTCAAAAAGTTTACAGTAGTTGCAGTAGTCGCTGCCTAGCGCACTTTGCATTATAGGCTTGCATTTCAAGTTGTACATAAAACAAAAATTAGGGAAGGTGAGTGATATCTGTCTTTAGTGAACACTGTTTGAAGTTGGTTTGACTTTATATCCTTTTTCCTTTCAGTCCAATGCTATCTCTGCTACATGTACTAGTGAAGATAAACGCTGGCTGGCCACAGCAGACAAAGGAAAAAATAACATCATCATCATTTGGGACACATACACAGGGTATGTGTGTATTGCTTTTAGTCTAATTTACTTTACTGGAATCATTTAAAATAAAAGACATTACTGCGGGTCATTTTTCAGAGGAGTCAATCTGAAATGTATTCAAATATATTTTATTATTTCATTAAATCACATTTTATTGTGCATTTAATCACATTTTATTTTTTTATGTATTTTTGTCAAAACTTATAAAATAAATATTTTAGTAAAGACAAGCATCCATAACTTCAATCCTTATCTAAATAAAAAGTGAGCATATACATAACTTCTCTGCTGTCCTTGCAGGGTTCCAGTACGGACCATATTTGACCCCCATCCGGATGGTGGAGTACAAGCTATTGCTATGACCCCTAATGCTAAATATATCGCCACAATAAGTGCTGCAGAAACTCAGGTATGTCTATGTCAATAATATGCAAAAGGCTAATATGTCCATTTAAAGCAGATAGACAAATAAAGCAAGTAAATCATTGAAAATTCATTGATCTGTGTAAATACTGGAATCACTATTTTAAATTTATTAATTATTCACAGCATTACATATGTATATATTAAAATACAGCATGAATGAGGGATATGAAATGATAATTATTGGATAGGAGCATGGGCTCTCTATACAGAATAAAGTATGAATATTCTGAAGAATGTGGCTCATTTCCAGATATCACCATTATTATTATGGAATGATTTAACCCATACATATTTTATTCAAATTAGCACATTGGTACCAAATATGATTTCATAGGTTAGAGGTTCAATATATGATACACCCATCCTAAGCTATATTTGGTTTATTTCGTTCATCATAACTTGAAGAACCCTTTCCAAATAAGGAAATAAAACAATTAAACATTAAAAAGGTTTATCTTAACAAAAGAATGCTCCTTACAATGTTGTAGACTGTACATATTTGGGACTGGACCTCTGAGGAGGATACTCCAATTTGTAATAATCAATGTTTTAGACTGTAGCCATCTGGGATTGGACTTCTGAGGAGGATACTCCAGTTTGTACTGCTCAGCTTCATACAAACTATGGCGTTCAGAACTACATACATTTCAACCCTGAGGACGTCACACAGGTTGTCACAAATAGCGACTGCCAGGTCATTTTCTACTCTTGGGTAAGTGTCTTATCACCCGGGTTGTGCCAAATAGTAGCTGTTGGGTCATTAACTATTTTTGTGTCATCATTTTTATCTATGTTTGAAAATATGCCCTATTTTATTGATATGCTATAATTAACCTCTTTCATAAAATCACTGTATTATACTGGGGCCTGTAAGTTAAATAGAAAAAGAACTGCTGAAAAAAATTCAAAATAGTTCTACTCATTTCTCTGAATTCTGAACTACTGTATATTAATAAAATTTTTCCATCACTCTTATTTTTAGAAAGGAGGTGTGATCCAGTATTTTGCTCCACCCTTGACTGATGACGATTTTAACAAACCTGTTGGAAAGTTCAGCCAGTCGATATTCCAAAGTGGGAGTACACGGGCGCTAACCGCAACTGCGTATGGCAATTTAGTTGTGTGGGATGAAAACAAACCCATGGTGAAAGGTAATTGAACTCTGCATGAATTGTTATTTAAAGGGAGTGCAGATTAAAGGGAGAGACAAAGTTAAAGGGAGGGTCAAAGTTAAAGGGAGAGTCAAAGTTAGGGGAGAGTCAAAATTAAAGGGAGAGACAAAGTTAAGGGGAGAGTCAAAATTAACAGTTGCCTCATTGTGTGTCAATCACGTTTCAATCTTGGCAATGGACTGGTTACCATTTTGGCGATGAGCTGCATGCAAATATGGTTAATTGTTGCAATCATGTTTTCCGACTGGTTACCATTTTGGCGATGAGCTGCATGCAAACATGGTAAATTGTTGCAATCACATTTTCCGACTGGTTACCGTTTTGGCAATGAGCTGCATGCAAACATGGTAAATTGTTGCAATCACGTTTTCCGACTGGTTACCATTTTGGCGATGAGCTGCATGCAAACATGGTAAATTATTGCAATCACGTTTTCCGACTGGTTACCGTTTTGGCAATGAGCTGCATGCAAACATGGTAAATTGTGGCAATCACATTTTCCATCAAGATATATTAGTTAAATTCATGACGTCATGACAATGTTTCAATGTAGCAATGTTTCAAATCAAAAATACAGGGTGTCCTTAAAGTCTCTTAATTCTTTACACAGACTTTGTATTGTTCATGTAATTGTAGGAGACTTTATGGAAACCCTGTAGTTCCATGGGTGATAATGTCCTAGCCATTGTTTATTTAATTGCCTTATTTAATTCATGCCCTTGTATTTTCAGCTACGCCAGGGTCGACACCTAATAAGAGGGCACTGAAACTAGTGCGTCTTCAAGATCGAGCAATTAATGTCCTAACCACAACCAGCTCTGGTGAACAAAGGTAATTTTTTTTAAATGCAGACCCATATCCAAGGGGGAGAGATTGCGGGGTTCGAGCAATTCCATATCCCTTGCCTTATGCCATGCCTGGCTATGTGCATTTCTTTTTAATTCAGTGTCCACTACATGCTCATTTACTATATTCCTTGCTGATTTCTCTCCTTTTCTCTATAGTTTCATGACTTCTTATCTCTAATTTTACTTATTCGTTGATATTTCCAGATATTTGGTATGTGGTGACACCAAGGGAGATGTGAAGTTCTTTGACCAAAATCTAAAGCTTGCGAACTGGTATCAAGACTTCCAGCTTGGGCCAATCAGTTCACTTTCATTTGCTTACATTCAAGAGGCTCCGGAAGAGTAAGTTATTTTATTGTAAAAGCTTAAAATTGAAAATGGTACCGATTGAACACTGAGTGGCACTAATTTGTACCAAATGGCACTGAATAATACTGAGTAGCACTGAATCGTATTGTGTGGCATTAAATGTTATCAAATAGCACTGCATCAAACTGTGTAGCACTTATTGGTTCCAAATGGTACTGAATAGCACTGAATAAAACTAAGTAGCACTTAACAAATGGTACTAAATCATGATGTGTGTCTCACAACCCTTTTTCACTGACTTTTACAAATTGCATATGCATCTTCAAATTTTATTTGATACTGTTAATTTTTGCACGTTTTTCATTGAAGAAGCACTGGGCATATTTAAACATATATTTGAAATAATATTTTGAGAATTTACACATCTCACTTTCCTTGAAGGATGTAATGTTTTGAAGCCCATCTTTCAAATACTTCAGATATATATTTTTGCAAACATTATCTTATTCTGGAATTAATCCCATGAGGAATTTTTTGACAAATATTAATTCATGTTATGGTTGGAGCCCCTTTATCATTTAAGACATTTATATTTCAATTTCAACATGTCATCAATTGGATAAACTTTCTAAGGTTTTGCACTTTAACTAATATTTTTAATTTTTCTGGTTTGGCACAGTGTAATTAAGTTATTGTTTATTTTTGTTAATTATTTATTTGTCTTACAGCGATGAATTTGAAATTCTCAAAGCGAAAGCTGGAATTTCTCGGGAGACAACAAGGTTTGAGCTTCATGGGTTCTGGGATTATTATACCAAATGGGTCATGTTTATTATATGCTAATTCTCTCTCTGAGGTCAATAGTCATAATTGTTAACCCTAAAACGTGGTAGTTGAACCACTTGCAACTTTCTTCAAAATATGACATTTGAGTTTCTATAAGGACAATGTCTCTATCAAGTCGGGGATTAGGGACGCCATTAATTTCCAAAAATGTCCATTACATTTTGATGGGGACTTTTATTAATTAATAGTCAAAAGGAATAAAGTTTCAATTGCGGGAAAAATCAATGACTTCAATTATATTTTGGAATGGGGCAATCTTAAATGTTACATCTTTGCAATTTGAAACAATTTTGAAACATTGGCACTGTCACTTTATTAAGCTAAACTGCAATGGAGAGAGAGAGAATTATCATTAATAAACATGGCCTTGTGGTATCTTCTAGCCCAATCTGTCTCCCCCACTGCTTATAGAGTAGAGAAGGGTGGGTGCTGGTTAGGCCTTTAGAAGTTAATTATCTGTTGAGCGGATTTTGGAAAATAATTTTTTATTTCAAATAAAATAAAATGTATAAATTCTTTCAAAAAGTTTGACTAGTGAGGGCTGAACAGGCTAAAAAAATTCAAAAAAACTGATAATTATTAATTTGTAAAGGCCTGTTTTTGGTTGATGCTGACCATTGATATACCATCATACCATTCTTGCTTAGAGCACTGTATTATAGTACCTTCATGGGTATGTTCCAGACCCTCAATATACCATGTGTTTATTTTGTAGATGGCCTTAGTAATAGAACCTTGCTTGTAGTATTAGTAGTCATGGTAAAATACCAATGTTTGTCAAAAGTTAAAGTGGGAACATCGACTGCCGAGTCGTATCCAATGATCCTGGGCCTATCGTAAAATGAAAGCTTTGAATATGTTGTTGCCTTCAAAAATGTATCTATTTTCCATGTATGTAACTAGAATTTGTGCACATACCTTATATCGATCGATAATCCTCCAATTTTTCGTCTTCCTTTCTCCTTTCGTCTCCGCCATTTTTTATTAAACCGGAAGTTTGTTCTCTGTCGTCCGCGCAATTTTTTTTCACTTTTATTTCAGATTACGCTTCAGTTTCAACTTTTAATGCTTTCTAATAATCGTCAAGTGATTTCTATAAGAAAGTTTTCATAAAAAGACTCACACTGTCAGAGATTTTATCGATTTGAGCGGCCAAAAAAATTAGTTTCAATTTCATCGCTAGGTGTTTCGACGTCAACTTGGAAAGAATTTGAAAAAATCTATGAGTGGGACTCCTTGTATGGAATTGTAGATTCTAAACGATTTGCCAGTTCTACTGGTTGATGAATATTGCCATATGCATACATTTGTATAAAATAGGAATAAGGAAGAAGATGTTAGACCAAACTTCGCCCCGATAGCTCAGAAAAGTTAAAATTTCTCCATTTTTTTCTCCACAGACCTTAGAGCCGCTTTAAAGTACATTTTCCCAAAGAAAGCTTGTATTGACTCTCCCCCAGACAATATACACTGACAAACATTGTTGTTTTAACATAATCACTTTGAGTCTAGATGAAATGTCTAAAGCATACTAGATAATCATACAAAGATGAAAGTATTTATGTGATGTATTCCAATTACCCAAATGCGAGTAGGTAGTTACCAGTTTCACCACCAGGTGGCTGATTCGGGTCAATTAACATGGCAGGTATATAAGAAAGTTCCCTTAAACTTGAATATTATCAATTTAAGTGGCTCAATTTTCATATAACCCTTATGTGCCTGATACTTATACTAATGAAAACATGTCCAGTAAAGCAAAATATTATCTGTTCACTAAAAGAAAAGATATTTCATTTTTTGTGATTTTATAGCATGGGGTCTATGGGGAATCTCCCCGAGCTAGAAGTCACATTTTCAAAGAAAATTAATTTTTCAAATATGATAAACACTTTTTAAAACCACATTTCTAGATGTAATTTTACATGTAGATTTCAAATATGACATTACTTTGACTGAATTTTAAATGACGTAAATCAAGATTATTTCTACTCGCATCTGGGTTATTGTACTGTACTATCATAAACCATGTGTACAATGAACACCCTTGGATCCAAAAAAGATGATCAGTCTCATGAGTAAATAGTAATTTAAGAGGTCAACACAGAAGATTTTTAATACAGAAGTCATTGGAGTATGCTATGAGAAATGGTATTCACAATGTGTTTACTAGAGAGGTGTTCACTGGTCTTTAAAATTATGCAATGTAAAAAATATTTTTTTCATATTTTTTACATTGTAGAATCTTGGTCTTAGTGTATTGCAGAAGTATGTAAATTTCATCCTTACTAGTTAAGTCTACTCCTTTATATTACATTAGCATTTCTTGTAGAGTGTAATTTAGTTGTATGATACATGCATTTTTCTGATGAGATTTCAGATGACGTCTGCTTGTCTCAACTTAATACTACTGCATTATGGGATGAAAATATTTATTTTTCAACAAAGTCTCCTCATCTTTCAATTTACTGATGCATTATAGTAGTAAAATATTTCGTTTTCAATGATGTCTGCTTTTCTCTCAAATCACTTTTGCATTATGGGATTAAATTATTTCAGTGACATCTGCTTGTTTCTTTATTTACTATTGCATTATGGGATTGAGACATTTTGAATTTTATTACAGAACAAAACCTGATAGTGATTATCCGCCTGATGCCACAATAAAAGCGAAACAATTTATTGTCAAGAATTTTATTATTGGCACAACGACGGCAATTTGTGCACATGTGACTACAGATGGCAGCACCACTGAAGTGATACACAGAGAACACGATTCTGCTGTGCACGCTTTAGCAGTACATCCCGAAGAGTAAGTGATTTTAGCACATAATCAACACATAGCCATAATTACATAAACAACTAGAATAGCTCCATCAACATATTACCACATTACTTCAATCAACATGTTACCATAGTAACTCATAAACACATTACTATAGTAGCTCAATCAACATATTACCATAGTAACTCATAAACACATTACCATAGTAGCTCCATCAACATATTACCATAGCAGTTCCATCAACATGTTACCAGAGTAACTCATAAATACATTACTGTAGTTGATCCATCAACATATTACCATAGTAGCTCCATCAACATATTACCATAGTAACATAATCAACATATAGCCATAATTAAATAAACAACCAGAATAGCTCCATCAAGATATTACCACATTACTTCAATCAACATGTTACCATAGTAACTAATAAACACATTACCATAGTAGCTTCATCAACATATTACCATAGTAGTTCCATCAACATGTTACCAGATTAACTCATAAATACATTACTGTAGTTGATCCATCAACATATTACCATAGTAGCTCCATCAACATATTACCATAGTAACTCATAAACACATTGCCATAGTAGCTCCATCAACATATTATTGTAGTGGCTCCATCAACATATTACCATAGTAGCTCCATCAACATATTACCATAGTAACTCCATCAACATATAACCATAGTAGCTACATCAACATATTATCGTAGTGGCTCCAACAACATGTTGCCATAGTAACTCATAAACACATGGCCAGAGTAACTCCATAAACACATTGCCATAGTAGCTCCATCAACATATTATTGTAGTGGCTCCATCAACATATTACTATAGTAGCTCCATCAACATATTACCATAGTAACTCCATCAACATATAACCATAGTAGCTACATCAACATATTATCGTAGTGGCTCCAACAACATGTTGCCATAGTAACTCATAAACACATGGCCAGAGTAACTCCATAAACACATTAATGTAGTAGCTAGACATTTCTGTAGAGCTTTGCAGAAACTATTATTTAAGAAATATCAGATTCCATAACTACAAATTCATAATTCTGATTTATTGAGGATAAATTGTTGCACAAAAAACTCTACTGCTTCAACTAATTCTGTCACATTAACCTCAAGTTCACCGTTAAAGCAGTTCTTTTCTTTATTCATTGATGTTATACCATAGTATCTGTGACCTAGTTTTCTACTAAGGTCTAAATAACATGGGTTAATTATGTATCCCTGACAGACTACTTCAATAATAAAAGTCCCAGGGCGACTGAACAAAATATTTGATAACCCCGCTCCATGTGCTCCAATAACTAAAAAGGCATTGTTAAAATATGCGACTGTTGCAAGTATTTTCTTCTGGGGTACATCAGAAAATTCTAGGAAGTTAAGATTATTTCTTGATGCAATATTTGAGATTGTGTTTCTTATATGGCCATGTTGTTTGAATTTTCGGGTTCCAGATCGTTTGATAAGGAGAATGGAGTTTCGATGTTTGCGCTGGTGGTGTAAATCCATTTTATTTGAGAGTATGTTGAAGTTGATTTTATTTGAGAGTACATCTAAATATTTATCAGACAGAATCTGTAGCGTTAAAGGGTCAGAATTGCCGCACTTAGTTCCCCTAGGAAGGTACGCTATCTTTGCTTTTACAAAACCTGATACGATTCGATTTGAATCGAATCCAAGTAACCCTAAAACATCTCTTGTGAAGCTCATATCCATGATGTGGATTTTGATTTTTGGATGACTTTGTAGAAGATCCATAAAAAGGCTCAAACGTGGTATTAATTCCACCATTGTATGATAAAAATTATTGCCACCAAATTGAGAAATAATGAACACTTCATCCTCTGTTTTGTAAAATTGTTTGTAAGTTGATTCAAAATTGGTCTCAGGGAGACACATTTCGGGAAATATGGTCACAAATGTGTCCTCGTCGTATACTGTGACACGTCCTAATGTTTCAATATATCCCATCTGTATAACCTGAATATAAAAATGTCCAAAAGTTGTTTTTTCATCTCCTTGGTAACCAAAGCTTGTTTCTCCATCTCCTTGGTGACCAAAGCTTGTTATTCCATCTCCTTGGTGACCAAACCTTGTTTTTCCATCTCCTTGGTGACCAAACCTTCTTCTATCTCCTTGTTGATCAATTGTTTTTGGATGGACATCATAAAAATTAAAATGTCTTCGTTCAAGTTCTCTTTGACATAGCGATTTTTCAATGCCAATATGGCAGAATTTTCCTTCAAATGTCTTATTGATTCCAAATTTTTTCATAAAATTGTGGCAAAATTGTTGCGTTATTGCTGCATCGTATATTTCAGTTCTCACGTAATTCTTACTCAGCGAACTTTTGACTCGATGAAGGTGTGCTATTTTGACTCGATTAATTTCAGAAACTTTAGAAAAGTAATTCTTCTCATCAGCATAAATCATTTCACCTGGGTCTAATTTTCCTGGAAAATCGTAAAAATTGTGATATTTCACTTCCTGTAGTGTTATCTTCCTCAAGTTCTCTACTTGATTTTTCAAATCAGAAAGACGTATTGATAAACTCTGTTCACGATTTAAACTTCTGACATATCCTTCTGTATGATTCACAATCTGAGCACTTTGTTCGACATTTTTAACTTTAAGTATAATATTATCATCCTTTTTCCAGAGATAATTGATTTCTTTTTCTAATTGAAATGTAGTTCTAATGGTTGCTGGTGTCCTCATCTGAGTTTTTAACAAGAAAATCAACATAAAGCATAACAATGTAAAACAACAACATGTCCATTTTTTCAGTCTCAACATCATGTGTCATTTTAAATCATGCCTCTATTGATTTGACTGCATACTTGATATACCATATGATTTTTTTGATTTTTTTATTTGATTATTATTTCAATTAATCTTTTTAAAGATTTCCATATTCTCTTGAAATATTTTTAAGTTTGAATGTAGACCATGTATTAATATGTCTATGTGACCTTGTGATGTTTTTTCTTATCTAACTTGAACTTATCATCATACTTAATGTAAAATATGATACAAATGCCCTTAAATAAATTTCCATCATAAGTCTTGATGCAAATGCATTAACCATTTTTATTATTGGGTTATTTGTTGAAATGCAAGTCTTAAAATATATGTAGTGTAAAATTAGTGAAGGTATAATGTGGACATTTTCTACAAATGCAAGTCCAAACTCAAAATTGATAAACTTTCAGAAAGTCTGAAAATGTTTGTAAGGGTGAGAGTATAATCAGAGGACACTTGAAACATTAATAATTAACAGATAATCTATATACAGTAAAACCTGTATATCTGAACACCTGGCTAATCCGAACACCTTCCAATTACCCAAATGCGAGTAGGTAGTTACCAGTTTCACCACCAGGTGGCTGATTCGGGTCAATTAACATGGCAGGTATATAAGAAAGTTCCCTTAAACTTGAATATTATCAATTTAAGTGGCTCAATTTTCATATAACCCTTATGTGTCTGATACTTATACTAATGAAAATATGTCCAGTAAAGCAAAATATTATCTGTCCACTCAAAGAAAAGATATTTCATTTTTTGTGATTTTATAGCATGGGGTCTATGGGGAATCTCCCCGAGCTAGAAGTCACACTTTCAAAGAAAATTAATTTTTCAAAGTTGATAAACAATTTTTAAAACCACATTTCTAAAAGTAATTTTACATGTAGATTTCAAATATGATATTACTTTGACTGAATTTTTAATTTTTAATGACGTAAATCAAGATTATTTCTACTCGCATCTGGGTTATTTGAACACTTTTTTTCGGTCCCATTTTTTCCTCCCATTGACTCCCATGTTAAAAAAACCTTGAAATCTGAACACCTCCTAATCTGAACAGTGAACAACCAGATTTGAAAAACTGACCTGTCTAATCTGAACATTTCATCAGAAATCAAATGTCTGGACATTTCAATTAAAACCACATATTGGTATATGCAATGTAATCAAAGAACCAATATTGTCCTAATTAACTTATTTAAGTCTCAATGACATCCCTAATTGTGGAGAACAACAGGATGATTTGGAAAGGTGTGAATACAGGAGTTAATTGGTTTATCCTATTAGAAAAGAACTGAATGTTTTATGTTTGGATTAAGAGAAAGGTGAGAATCTGGGAGATAATTGGTTTATCCTTATTTTAAATTAACTGGATGTTTTTGATTTGGATTATGAACAAGTCTTAACTGTTTTATATCCCATGGGTCTGTTATGATAGCTAGGATTCAATCAGTAAATGTTTTATAATCACAGAGACAACACAGACACATTTGCAGACAAGATTATAATTGTTTTATCATTATTAGAAATTACCTGGATGTTTTTGATTTGGATTAAGAGAAAGGTGTGAATCAAGAAGATAATTGGTTTATCCTTATTTTAAATTAATTGGATGTTTTTTTTTGATTTGGATTATGAACAAGTCTTAACTGTTTTATATCCCATGGGTCTGTTATGATAGCTAGGAGTCAATCAGTTAGTGATTTATAATTACAGAGACAACACAGACACATTTGCAGACAAGATTATAATTGTTTTATCATTATTAGAAATTACCTGGATGTTTTTGATTTGGATTAAGAGAAAGGTGAGAATCTGGTAGATAATTGGTTTATCCTTATTTTAAATTAACTGGATGTTTTTGATTTGGATTATGAACAAGTCTTAACTGTTTTATATCCCATGGGTCTGTTATGATAGCTAGGATTCAATCAGTAAATGTTTTATAATCACAAAGACAACACAGACACATTTGCAGACAAGATTATATCACGAGAAAGAGAAAAAATTCAACTTCGTAATATCCTATCACTAAAATGCCTCCTAAAAAGGCACATCTGACATCCTGAATGCCCTTGATATTTTGAAAGATTATGCATCATCTCGAATGAGCACTCGTGAAAAATTAATTGAAGAGGGTATCTACACAAATATTGCTAATGCCAAAAGTGCCAACAAACAAACAACAATGAACGACTTTTTCAAGCTAAAGTAAAGCAGTGCTATGTAACCATAATATGAGATAAGTCATTTAATAAGCATGAGATTTCATACAAGACTATCATATACTTATTCAGTGTATTACAAAGTTTTTGCCAAAATTAAAGAGTTATTTTTCCAAAAATAATGAAATTGTTCAAAATGTAAATAAAACATAGCATATACATGCAGGCTATAGGCCTATTGTAGAATAAACTCATCAACAACATGTATTGTTTTCTGACTAAGTATTAAGTATTCAATATAGTGGACTGAACAATGAAAATCCCCCCCAACCAACAATATCCTCGAAACTTGAACACCTGCCAATTTGAACGCTTTTGGCTGGTCCCATGGGTGTTCGGATTAGACAGGTTTTACTGTACTATGATATATACTGAAGATAATTGATTTAATTAATCCGTTAATATTTGGTTTAATTAATTTGTTATTCATTAATCTTTTGTGTCAAATTGTTATTTATGATTCATTATTTATTCAAAATGGACAGATACTTTAAAGCCCATATTTAGTAAAAGCGTGGTTTTTCAAAAGAAAGTCCATGGTAAAAGCAACTGAATACTTCAAGAAGTTTTTATTCATACACTTAATTCAATTAATGCAGGTTAATAAAACAATATTTAACAGGCCCTTAGCCACCTTTTGCCAAGTTGGGTACATTTTTTAAAAAATTCCAGTGGAAATCAAATTAGACAACCCTGGCTCAAATCTCTTAAAAATGCTCAAAATGGTGAAAAATTGCAAGATTTTGAAAGAAAAATTGGTCAATATAATTTATGCAAATCTCTGGGCCAAGGCAAATTCCATCTATACCCTGCAGAAATGAAAAAGTGGAAGGAGTGTGAATAGCCTGTTTTATGTACCTAATGCCACATACAGTAAAACCTGTCTAATCCAAACACCAATGGGACTGGCCAAAAGTGTTCATATTAGCAGGTGTTCACATTTCAGGCTTTCTTGATATGTGAGTCAATGGGAGATGACAAAATTTGAAGCAAGAAAATGTATTCAAATTGAAAAGTTTTGGTATTAGAGATGTGATTCACTGTACTAAGTGTCATTTGAAAAGTTTTGGTGTTAGAGATTTGATTCACTGTACTAACTGTCATTTGAAAAGTTTTGGTATTAGAGATGTGATTCACTGTACAAAGTGTCATTTGAAAAGTTTTGGTGTTAGAGATTTGAATTGGTCACTGTACTAAGTGTAATTTAAAAAGTTTTGGTGTTAGAGATTTGATTCACTGTACTAAGTGTCATTTTTGATGTTTTCCAGGACCAAGGTTGTTATTGGGAGTTACTCTGGACTGCTGCAGATCTGGGATTATGAAACCAAGTAAGTAAAAATATTTGATATAAACGTTATAATGTTCTTATACCTCACCTATTATTTTGATCGTGTTCTCCACTTTTTGCTATTACTTTAAACAATGAAACTCGTATTAATTTAGAATAAAGTAGTTCATTTGATTACACAATAGTTTCTTTACATCACTTCAGTTTTCAAATGATTCCCTCTGGCCTTTCTAAGAAATATATTCCTTTTATTCTAGGAGAGTCATTGCATCTCGATACTTTGACAGAGGCCAGATGATTCGCTGTTGTGCATTTGACCCCAAAGCACAATATTTGGGTAAGTGTTTTTAAAGCTGCAGGTTTGTCTGCTGGAGCTCTTGCACACTGGATAATTAAGTAAATTAAAGTTTTAAATCAATTCATTGCTAATAATGCACAATTGCTCAATTGCAAGCCACCCTGTAGACACTTTAACTTAACCCTCAGTCACATTTGCTCTACGGCAGGCCCATAGCTGCCGTATCTTCACAAAATCGAAAAAGAAAATCTACATTGTACTACTTATCCCTATATTTTATGCTGCATATTTCTCTTGATCTTGTGAAGCTACAGTTGCTGTATTCTTGCTGTAGATCAAATATGATTGACGCATTAGTATTCAATCAAGAATCAGGGGATTGATATTTTTCAGGTGTTGGTTTCACAAATGGCAGTGTCAGCATCCTAGATGCCCTCACTTTGGATGATGACATTGAAGAACCATTCCGTTATGCCAGGGACACAGTCACACATATCGCCTTCAGTCATGACTGCAAATTTATGGCAACAGCGGTAAGGAATTTCTCCCTCTATTGTATGTGATGCAAAAAGATGGATAGGTGGAAGTTTTCACTTTAAAACCTTTTAATTGATTGAAGAGGTTTATTTTACAGTTCTTGAAAATGAAATAAATATAACTTAATAAAAACAAATTTTTTATGATCCTTGATAAAGATGCTTAATTTGTTGTTAACTTCATGCATGAAGTGATTCATCTTTTATCTTAAGTTATTTGAGTGTATTCAGGGCCTATTTTTGGGTCATCCTGTATGTGGGGATCATTTGGAACATTTTATTAGATTTTCTGTTATTAATTAACTAACTTATATCACTGAACAAAATTAGCTGTCAATATAAGAAAAAATCATTTCAATATTATTACAGGATGCGGAATTCACGACAACATTATTCCGTGCGGGAGAAGATCAAGAAGAGGAATCATGGGTATATGTGGGGCGTAATCGGGCTCATTATAAACTTATCCATGATATGATGTTCGGAGTGCAGCTTGATACCAACGCACCCCGTCTACTAACTCTGGGTCGAGATAGAGTTTTAGTAAGTAACCTGATTTTTGTTTTTCAACCCTTGGCAAATCAAGCCTGTCTATTATTTAGAATTAACTAAAGCTGTATTTTGCCATTTTCTAATTCACTTTGGTTTGAGCATGGGCTTTCAACCTCTTGAAAGCTCATGGTTTGAGACAGATATATGTCTGCTTATTTAGCTCTTAAATGTGACATATTATTATTACCTTTGCTAATGCATTTTTGATGGAATTTTACCTTGCTACAAAGATTACGCACTCTTCATTACTTTACGTCTGCTTTTTCTAATGCATTATGGGTATTTTAGGTGGAATATGACCTTGAAAACAGTGACAAGGACAATCTGCGCTTACTCAGCTCAGACAGAATAGAACAAAGTGCTGTGCCACTCTGTATGGCTTGGTATCCTTCAATTACAAAAGAGAGTTTTATAATCACAGGGAACAACCAGGTATAGACATATGCCAGAAGTTTGGTTTCATTAATTAATCAACTCTATAAATATACAGATAACTGTGATTCCAATAAATGACTAGCTAGTGTCATACAGTTATATTATCGACAGCTTAAATGTTTCGTAAAATAAGTTAATTTATATTTTAATTTAACTTTATTAAGGCTTCAAACAAATAAACAAACAAGCAAAGTATATATTTCTTTTCCAATTATATTTGTCAATCCTTATTTGACTTCTCACATTTTAAACAGATGTTAACCTTAAATTTAACGACTTGTATAATGTTTCAGTACAAATTCAAACTTTACAACACAACCACAAAGATGTGCCGGAAAACTCTATTAGGACCAACATATGGGTCACCCCCACAGAGGTAGGTTGTAAATTCCCATAATGCAAAAGGAAATATTTTCCCATAATGTGATTGTGCTTGTAATTTAGCATCTCCCAAAATATTTATGCAATACCTATAGCATTTAGATGTTTATGATTCCAAAGCTAAAAGAGATACTTTCCTACAATGCAGCAGTGTAAACATGCTTTCTCATGATATAAGCATGTCATATAAATTATAACAATGCCCAAAATACACAATTCTGTCAGATGTTTTCCCATAATGCACCATTTTCTCCCATAATGCAATTGGCATAGTCCATAACAAGTAAACACTTTATTTTACAGAGCAGTTGTAATTCCATCAGTTGACGAGACTGCAGACACTTTACGCTACATGGCTTATATCACCACAGACAAGATTGGTTTTGTCAAACTGCCACTAGATGGAAATCCACATAATTCAATGGCTATGATTGGTCATCCTGGAGGGGTATGTGTCTTGCGCTAATTGTCTCACATTACGGGGAAGATTAACATGAGGGGGTAGATAGGCAAAAGAAAGTATTTGTCGTCATGACAAGATCAAAATTGTTTAGTTTTTGGACATATATTGGAAGAATGCCTGAAATTGTTGATTAGACTGAGATTGCACCAAATAGTATTTTGAAATAGAATTTCAATGTTCATGCCCCTTTTATAATGCACTGTCTTTATTTTGGCGGGAAATTCCAAAAAATGAACTTCTCATATTAGAATTATGGTACTAAGGGTATGCTGTGTTATTCATTATTTTTATTCATTATAGATATCTAACATCGTATGCAGTAAGGATGGCAAGTATTTGTTCTCATCTGGTGGACCAGATGGCAGCACTCACATGTGGGAAATTAACGTCACGTAAGGGATATCCTCCAATTAATCAATCAAAATACTTTATTAATGCATTAATCTTAATAACATTTGTTTATATTTATTTCCATTGCAATTGTTTGTATGTAACTCTAATTGTTATTGCTTGTTTTATTGTAATTGTTTGTTTTATTGTAATTGTTTGTATAATTGTAATTGTTTGTATCATTGTGTAATTGTTTGTATTACAGAGCTTTGGAGGTCCAGGCTCAACTTGGGGGTAATGACCTTGTGCCATTCTACGGTCTCCTTGATGGGGGACGAGAAGGGGAGTTCTTTGCTGAACTGGAGGATTACTTCTACTATGCTCAGATAAGAAGGTGAATATATATCAAACTGTACCTTTCAAAAGTGAACCCTCATGGTAGGTGTTCCACTTACAGAGGCCCATTTATTTACATGTAGGTAATGTGGAAAATGTTCCATTTATGGGAGGTGTTCCACTTTGAAGTTATATCAGATTCCACCTTTCAAAAGTGAACCCTCTTGGTAGGCGTTCCACTTACAGAGGCCCATTTATTTGCATGTTGTTAATGTGGAAAGTGTTCCATTTATTGGAGGTGTTCCACTTTGGGAGTTATATCAGATTCCACCTTTCAAAAGTGAACCCTCTTTGTAGGTGTTCCACTTACAGAGGCCCGTTTATTTACATGTAGTTAATGTGGAAAGTGTTCCATTTATGGGAGGTGTTTCACTTTTGAGTTATATCAGATTCCACTTTTTAAACGTGAACCCTCATGGTAGGTGTTCCACTTACAGAGGCCCATTTATTTACATGTAGTTAATGTGGAAAGTGTCCCATTTATGGGAGGTGTTCCACTTTGGAGTTATATCAGATTCCACTTTTTAAACGTGAACCCTCATGGTAGGTGTTCCACTTACAGAGGCCCATTTATTTACATGTAGTTAATGTAGAAAGTGTTCCGTTTATGGGAGGTGTTCTACTTTGGGGTTATATCAGATTCCACCTTATAAAGGTGAACCCTCTTGGTAGGTCTTCCACTTACAGAGGCCCATTTATTTACATGTAGTTAATGTATGGGAGGTGGTGCATTTATATCAGATCATATCTCTTAAGAGCAAATTTCTTGTAGGTGCTCCACTTACATTACAAAGGCCCATTTAACATTTAGTTAATGTCATAGGAGACTCTGAAAATATTTTTTGGAGGATGTTCTTTTGTCAACATTTTTGAAAAGATTAAATAAATTATGCATTCATTATTTTTCAGTCAAGGGGTAGACACAACAGATGGTCGATCAATCACAACAAGGATACCTCTCACTGAAGTTCCATTTGTGATGCGAGCACTTGGATTTTATCCATCTGAACAAGAGGTAAGATTTTGCATTTAATTGCATTTAATTTTATTTATTTAATTTAATTTTTGTCAGTCATTCTAATTAACCTCTTGAATCCCAGGCTCTAAAATTGGCATGAAACCAGAGAATTTTTCATTTTTTGCCACCTTTTGACATTTTATTACATACCTATACAACTTTAGATGCTCAGCTTAGTAAAATTGGACGGCAGAGATCATTTCTACACGTTTTAAAACAATTTTTGTGTAAATTGGATGAAAATTGTTCAAATGAGAGCAATTTTTGTGAAAAATTTTGTGACGGATTTTCTCGTCCCTCTGGGCACCAGTCTTATTTCATTTGTGACGGATATATCCGTCACTCTGGGTATTCAAGAGGTTAAAAGAAAGCAATATTGCGTTGAACATGGTAAGGTCTTTTCAATTCAGTTATATGTTTAGCAGTTGGTTGGTCTTCCCAAAAACCTCAATTTTTCTTAAATTTTACAGTTAATTTTAAGTAAGACATTCTTGTCTCATCACTTTTTCAAGGAACTTTACATTTCTTCAATTACTTTCATATATGAGCATGCATGTATCTTAATTGTAAGGAACAGATTGATACATCCTTTGATTTCACACTGTTTTGTTTTTCAGAAGTTAATCAGAATGATTTTTTTCATCTGCTATGTAACTGTTGCGTTATGGGAAATGTATTTTCAGATTCAAGACATGCTGAATGAAGTGAAATTCAGTTCATATGTGGAGACAGGGAAATACCAAGAAGATATAGATCTTGGAGGTTTTATAAAACGTATGTCTAATTTTATTAATTTTGAGATGTAATCATTCATTTTGTGTTAATATTACCATGTCCTCTCCGACTTGTTTTCTAAATATGATGTACAATTAGAATAGAGAATTCCAAAAGCATTAAATCATTATTACAACTTATGTTTTACTTCTTATCTGTTTCAAAAGAAACCAATGTCTGCACAAAGAAAGTTCTTCTAAATTATTGCATTATGGGTATTTAAGTTGTATGTCCGTCTGCTGGAGCTATTGCATTATGGGTATATATGTTTCAGTATATATCAACCACAGGCCAGCTTTTGGATTACAACCTGAGAAAATTAAATGGGCTTTCGAAACTCTTGGGTTCAACTCTGAAAATGGTCCAACCATAGATAGAGGTGAACTACTAGACATGTTACAAAGAAAGGGTAAGATAATTTCATATTTCTCTCATAGAGATTTCATGATTGTATAGATACATCAAGCCAAGGTCATCCTTGATGAAACTATCATTAGAATAATCATGGGCTTTCAATCTGTTAAAAGCACATGGAATAATTAATGCAAAACATAGAATGGTAAACAATATCATTACCATTTCACACTGAGCTTCCACATAAACATTTGTAAAACCAAAATTATAAAAATTAATTTTGGCTTCTTGAAACTTGTAATTTTGCCCTGAGTATGGGATGTAATAAAGGATTTGTACCCTATTACCCTCCATGAATCTCTCTTTTAAGGGTAGTCTACAGTGGGAGAGCAGGAATCTATTTTTAGAAATAGAAGAAAACCACATGATTACTTTCAAGATATTTCATTTTATACATACATGTAATACATAATGTGTAATCAATTTACTTCTAGGTGAGCACATGACTGAATACGAACTTGCGGAATATCTCGTTTGTCTGTTGGGATTCAGTGCGGAAGGTGGGACCAGTGAAATGAATGACTTTGACCCTACTGTGGCAGGGGATATTATTGATGAAAATCTCCCACAAGATATTACTGTGGATATGTTCTCAGATGAAGTACTTGGATTTTCTATGTATAAGGACAGTGATGTATCACAAGCGAACTTAACTAATGGAATTACAGAAAAGGCACAAGTCCTGACTATAGACAGCTAAAATATACAGCTAAACTGCACAGCTAAAAGCATACAGCCATCCTTAAAATCAATCTTAAAAATTCCGCGGAGGTTTACATTTGACAACATTGTGCATAGAAGAGTGAAAACTGCATGTTTTTGAAAGAATTTTTGATCAGGGGCTGGTTCGCTCGAACACACAGAAGCCCCCCCCCCTGGCTATGGGCCTGTACAGTCCATAGAATTGTTCCTCATAGCAGTTAGTTTTTCATTTAAAGTGGCAGTTCCTTTAAAAAGGCATGTCTTTATTTCCCTTGCTTCCTTAGCTTAACAATCTTGATTTTACTTTGAAAAAAAACAACAACTGAGATATCTGATAAAATATAGTAGTTATTTAAGATTTAAAATGCGTACATGTCAACTTTTGAAATGTTCATACGATCTCGAATTTCCACATTTTAAGTATTGCCTGAAAGATTAAAAATCAAAGAATTGCATAATGTGTGAAATAAATTGGGAAGAACTGTTGGAAATTGCAAAAACATTGTGAAACTTTCTGTTTTTATAAAGCTACTCTAAAGTCTTTTCTTTATGGCCCCTTTAAATAGAAATAGATTCTGGTTGTTTCATAGTTGATTTTGTCAACAATCTAGGGTTCTTTTTGTCAACAAAATACATTAATCTCCTTTGAAATAAAAGACTGAGCATTCATTTAGAAATTACATGCACTCCCAAGAAAGTGGCCTACAATCTTCTAACAAGTAAGAAATTCTGGTAACCATTTCTCATGAACTGAATATGTTTACAACTGATCTCATAAATATTCCGTCCACATACATATAACTATATAAGTGATAAGATAATTATTCAGCTATTAGCCCTGTATTAATAGAAAGTCCATTTTTGAATTGTTGCTTGAATTTTATAAAAATAGATACACGATTTAAAGTTTAAAATGTAAATTATTTTGTTGTATGTATATAATACTTTTTAAATAAAAGTTGTACATAATATCTATTAAAATCATAAGTTTTGTTTTGATAATTGATGTCCCAGGAATATTGGTCCCCTTGGAATATTATTCTCTGGTAATATTGGCCAACGGGAAGTCCCATGCTAATAATGGTCCGTGGGTAGTATTGTTCTGTCTGAAATAATACCTTGTTGGGCCTGAATTTCCATTGGTTCGCCACACTTTAGCAAACCATTGACTTTCACTTCATTGGTTTGAAAGAGGTCTTATCAATTACTTGCTGGCCTTTACATAAATACTGATCAACAAAGTACATATTTAAGAAACAAATGGCAGGCCATCTTGAAAATGGCATCCCTTACACGCTATTTTACGATTTTTCCTGTAACTTGAAAAGTAGTTCATATTTAATATGTCAATACTCATAAGCATTGCACAATCCCTGTACTTCGGAAATCATTTCGACCTCACAGTATTTGTATTTGAAGACAAAAGCGAACCGAAAACATTGGAGACGATTTAGAGGTCACAACTATCTTTTGATAAGCGATAATTCATACCAATCCATGATAGTATTCATCATCACATGTATTTCGTCGAAAACATTAAGGAAATTGCAAGTGGTTCATAGATAAGCGAGAAATGTAAGTCATCAATGAATGAAAATGGTTCAGAGAAAAATGCATTTCAAAATTTTAGTTCTCATAGAAACCAATTATTTCTAAAACATATTATAATCTTCCTTTTACCTGGTTAGACAATCAACATTGCTTTATTTTTGAAGTTTGAAGCATATTTAGAAAAGATTGACATATTTAAATAATTCAACTATTTTTGAAAAAATGGCGGGAAATTTGAATATTTGAGAAATGAAATGCTGACAACTTTAAAAAATATATTTTCAAAAATCTCTAAAATAACTTTAAAGTCAGGAAAAATAGTGAGTGAATGATCATTTTCAAACTTTACATGAGAACTTTAAAAGAGACATTTATCCTCCTATTCCACTGAACTGTGACACTCAGTGTACAATCAAATGTAGAGCAAAACCACTGATGCGGTCAACCCAGTTTGTGTGTCAATGATTCACAGCTGAGTGCGCTTGGCCCATGCCCCATACAGTAGGTTATATAGTCCAGAGTGTTTACTTAATGTTTAACATACTTAATACGGACATAGCATGTAGACAGAAAAACAGAGTAATGAATGATTTATCAAAAGTTGAAATGATAAAACTGATATTAAAAATGATGAAACGCTGTATGTACTACCTATTTTTTATTGCAACAGGATTAATCATCGGCAATTTGATAATAATGACCTTATTTCCAGATAAGGTGCAATATGGGAATTTTCAGAGTGCTTTCTTCAAATATGCGAGGAATTATCCAATGAACAATAAATCGATTGAAAGCCAATGGAAATATCTCGAAAAGAGAGACGGCATCAGCGACGAATCAGTTGTAGATCATGATACTATAGATGTGAATCTTAACCCTGCAGCTGTGATTAATGATACAGATGAGCTGAATGAAACAGATGTAAAGAGGGATGGAAAATCAAAGAAAACAAAAAAGAAAACAGATGTGATCAAAATATTAGAATGGACAAAGTGCTTTGGTCATAGTTGCTTTCCTAATGAGGCTTTCAAAAACTGCGGTGTCCACCAGTGTGAGGCGATCACTGATCGCTCCAAATTAAAACAAGCTCAAGTAGTATTGTTTCACACGTGCAAATTGAGCGACCTGGTCGAAGCGGGAGACCCCCCAAAGTACAGGTCTCCCAGCCAAAGATGGATTTTCAGATGTATGGAGGCGCCTTCTTTAAAATGGTTTAAACACCAGACACTGAAGGACGCGTTTAATTTCACCATGACAACGAGATTGGACTCTGATTTCCATGTCTATCATGGTATTTACACGGTGAGTAAAATGACAAATTCAGTTTGTCATCCCTATCTCATAAATAAAAATCATTCAAACGCCTTTTCTGTTTGAGATGCTAGGGGTTTATTCTTCTATGTCCTGCTGAACCTTAAAATATACTTTGAATTCTGATTTGTCAGAGCCCCTCTTTATCTAGCGCTTGTTAGGAATCCCAAGGGATAGTTTAGGCTGTGGATACAACATATGAATACTTTAGGTTTTTTACCTGAGTTCGACACCCGTGATTACATTGATAGTTGAGATACTGGCTTTATGATTTGCCTCAACTGCTCAAACGAAACGAACATTGTTGGCTTATATCCTATAAAACCAATTGCAACAGCTAACAGTTGTGCGTTTCAGCCGGGTGAACATCACAACTAAATATACTGCTTATTTATTTATAACTAGTACTGGTATCATAAAATATATGATAACGGCTCATACACATCTAACTGTAGATGATACCCTCATAAATGTGGGGTTTATTTTTCAAATTACTCCCACAACTACTTGTAAATTGAAATACTGCGGTATACTGCGGAGATTTGTGGCAAATCACTGCCAACGTTTTTCAACCCTAAGATTTCAAATGTGGAGGGGGGCGGTGGTTTGAATAATACAAAGTTTATTTTACATATGATTTCGATTATTTTCGGAATTTTCGATTATCTACACATACAGGTTATTTATACAAGCAAGCATTTTGGATCATCGATTATTTCGATAGACTCGATAGAATAATGTACATTATTATGATACATAATCATTACTTTATTACCTTGAAGTACACATCATACTAATGTTCGATCAAAAGTTCGAATAATAGTTGTGTTTCAAATATCAATTGTATGACATATACGAGACCAATATATAGGGGTTATGCACTGGGAGGTTTTGGATACAGGGAATATCCCGAGGGATATACAATATATCTTCCCGAGGGACCGAGGGAAGATGTATTGTATATCCCAAGGGATATTCTATGTATCCAAACCGACCGTGCATAACTGGTGTATCTCATACTTGAGTGGGTTTAGGGTAGATATAACCTTTTCCACCTTTTTCAAATGACAAGATATTTATATTTAACATTTTCGTAATATTCTTTTTGTTCAATACAATGAAATTGTAACATTTAAACTTGAAAAATGTAAATTTTAAAATTAAAATATTAAAACTTTTGATATTTAAACTTTTTTAAACTTTTGAAAAATTCCCGGGAGCGGTATGGATATATTATATCTGCCCGCATTTGGCCTGGAGCGGGACATATACAATATATCCTGCCCGCTCCTCAGATATGATATATATTCCCGAGTGATATCTACCCCAAACCCACTTAAGTATGAGATACTTATAGGATATCCTATGATTTTGAGGAATATCATTTTTATCTGCGAGGTGATATTGAAATCTGCACGAGAGAGCAAAGCGAACGAGTGCATATATCAATATCACCGAGTAGATTAAAATGATATTCTGAAAAAATCATAGGATGTTCTTATTATCCTACACTTACAAGGAGTGTACTAAATGTTTGATATCATTGCAAAATGAATTTCATGCCAAAAGAGTCAATTTGGCGGGAAATCAACAAGCGGAGTATATCGTCACAATATCCTCAGCATACAGTATTTGGTTTTCCGGAGTATATCGTCACGATATCCTCCGCCCGGAGTATATCATCACGATATCCTCCGGTTATTCATTTTGCCAATAAATATCAAATATATTTTTAATGTTATTATACATTTAGTACACTAAGTGTAGGATAAATAAGGGTTATGTACTGGGAGGTTTTGGATATGGGGTTTATCAAGAGTGAGATATGCATATCTACCTGAGGGACCGTAGGGACCGAAGGTAGATGTGCATATCTCACGAGGGATGAACCCCATATCCAAACCGACCGTACATAACTGCTTTATCCTATACCAAGTAGAGTTTTCTAAGTTTCTTTCAATTTTTTTTATTTTTTCAATTTTTCAATTTTTTCAATTTTCTTTTCTATTTTTTTTCTTTTTTTTGACTTTTTATTTTTTTCATTTTTTCACATTTTTTCTTTTTTTTCAATTTTTCTTATTTTTCAATTTTTTTCGAAGCGGGAAGATATGCCCTGGAGCGGGAGATATGGCGGGAGATATGGAGGTTCAGGATATGGAAACCTCAAAATCAAGATACGGGATATATCTTACCAACTTATCTCCCTAAAACTCTACTTGGCATAGGATAATAATGTTAACTTTATGCTACCAGGGGGAATTGGATCTGCGGGTAATACTATCTATACATGTTTTTCTGTTTTGAAAAATTCGATAAGCGATGTGTATTTCTTAGTTGTGTTTTTTCTTAGTTTTTCAAAGAAATCTACAAATATTTCGTTGCGGTTTTATCTCTACATCGTAATTTCAATCACGGCCATCACTATATCACCTCATGCAGACAGATCGCCTTAAATTACATTCGTATGATGTGAGACTCGACATTCACCAGGAAACTTGAAATAATTTGTTACCCATGGAGCAACGAAATATTTGTAGATTTCTTTGAAGAACTGAGAAATATACATCACATATCGAATTATCCGAAACACAAAAACATGTATAAATTGTAAGGCTTGCAGGTCCGATTCCCCCTGGTAGCATTAACTTTGGTCTCGACTCGTATATTAGTATTTGCCACCCAATTAATATTTGAAACGCAACTATTATTCGAGCTTATGATCGGACATTAGTATGATACTAGTATTACTTTATAACCTTGAAGTACACATCATACTTATGTCCGATCATAAGTTTGAATAAAAGCTGTGTTTCAAATATTAATTGTATGACATACACGAGACAAATGTTAATGCTACCAGAGGGAATCAGACCTGCAGGCTTTACTATTTATACATGTTTATTTCTGTTTTGAAAAATTCAATATGTGATGTATTTTCCTTATTTTTTCAAAGAAATCTACAAATATTTCGTTGCGGTTTTATCTTTACATCGTAATTCCAATCACCACCGTCTCTAATCAAACGAGTTACCTTGATATATCAAGATGTTGTGCTATTCTCATTTGCTTCATGGGTAGCAACATTTTTCTAATTTCGCGGTGAATGTCGAGTCACGCATCATACGAATGTAATTATTTTTTAATAATGTCTGTCTGCATGGGGTGGTGATATAGCATACATTTGCTCGCTTTAAACCAACTGAAGGTTGAGGTTTAAGGCTAGCTAACGAGTATTTTTGAAAAAAAACTATTTTTCCATTTCAGAGAAATCCTGATCCCCCTAAAGTTCTGCCAGATTATGCAAAGGGAAAAAGCAAGTTGGCTGCTTGGATTGTATCGCATTGTAGGACACATAGCAGACGAGAGGTCTATGTTAAGAGATTGCAAGAACATGTTCCAATAGACATATATGGTAAATGCGGAACAAAGAAGTGTCCTAATCCTGAAAATCAGTATGCATGTCTGAATTATGTAGGTATGTATAGTTTTTTATTTACAGTTTATTTCACTTCGCAAATCAACAATGATTAAAATGACAATTTGGCTAGGCTCAAATAGCATTGTCAAATAATATGTTTGTGCAACTACCATACACGCAGCACTGGCTGATACAGAAGCAAAAGGGGGGGGGGGGGCGCATTCAATTAAGGAAAAAATATTCCCCTACGCCTCAAATTTGTACACAAATTTTCAAAATTTAAAGCCCATTTAGATATCTTGGCCAAAAAGACTAAAAAGGCCACGTTCTGCCCAAAAAGGCCCATTATTGAGGCCCTACAAAATTTTGTTTTGGTTTGACCCCCTCCCCTAACGATTTGTCTTTGACTTCAATCTTTAAAATAACCAACACAAATCGTAAACGAAATCGTTATTTACCCCCTCGCCTAACATCGTTATTGTACAACTATTCTAAAACTGTTGATAATTGGACACCATCCTTATTACACAGGTTTTACTCCAAACAATCAATATACTTTTGTATTTATTGTTTACCCCTCGTATTCCGTACTTGCAATGCCGCACCACTAACCCAAATGGTAAAAAGAAATAAATCAACCTCAATACTTTCGATAAAACGTAACACATCGTTAATTACCACATATCTGTTTTCAGGTGCAACCTACAAGTTCTACATAGCGTTTGAGAACTCTGACTGTAGAGATTACGTCACAGAGAAGGTTTGGAGGAATGCTATTTTGAAAAACGCAGTCCCAATAGTACGTGGAGTCTATAACAACTTTAAGGCAATACTTCCACCAGGCTCCTACATTCACACTAACGATTTTAAAAATCCCAAAGCACTGGCCAAATACCTCAAATACTTGGACAAGAACAATACTGCGTATAATGAATATTTCTCGTGGAAGTTGACATACATGCACGACAGGACACGGAACAAGGAGTGCGAATTATGTAAAACGTTACATGAAACTAAAGGACAGGTTAAAACGTATAAAAATATTTGGAATGATTTTTATTCATTTAAAAATAATTGTTATAATTATAGTAACATTGCAGTAAAAGACTTTGACAAATAGGAGTAAATAGGAGAAATGGGTTAAAATGCGATAAAAGTTTAAATCAATGATTACAGTACATCATGTTATTTTTCCAAGAGCAAAAATCATGCTTTACATTTTTGCGCAATAAGAACTGAAGAATGGAAGTTCTAATCTGAATTGGTCCCGGGTAATTTACTCGAAGGAATACATATTTGTTATGACAAATGGCTTAGTTATGACATGGACTTTCAACTAGAAGCCCATGGTTATGATCAGAAACTACTTATATCATAAATATGACTGTTTTATTTAAATCATTTGCCACACCACGCGTGGTACTTGAGACCGGTGTGAAAGAAATTATGGTCCCCCAGGGATTATGGTCCCCTTTCTAAACGGCCCTTATTGGCCCTGATTGCGTATAAGATAATGAGGGAAAGAGTTGTATTTAGGTCACCATATAAATCAATGGAGAGTAGGACCATAATTTGAGAGGACCTCCCTTTACACCGGGACTTGAGACAAGCTTGGCACCCGGGCTTGGCAATGGAAGAGCATCGATGCACCGATGTAACGCAATCAAATATGTTAATTATTTCACGAAGATTGCCGAAGATGCTTCAAGTAACCAATCAAATCCCTTGAAGGATTAGGTTTTGATCTTCGGCTATCTTCGGTTATGGTCCAAAAATCATACCTGCTTAGCAATATACCAATCAAACAAATCACGCCGTCTTTTATACGTTGTGTCGACGTCATTCTTCCAGTTTCTTGGCAGAAATAAGATTGATCGATGCCTCAGTCACATTTGATCTACGGCGAGCGCACGGCAGCCGTAAGATGCTTCCCAAAATTGAGAGAAAAGTATAGCATGAAATAAAGGGATAAGCAGTACGATAAAGATTTTCGCATCGATTTTTCTGAAGCTACGGTCGCCATACGCCCGCCGTAGAACAAATGTTAATGAGGCTCACATTCTGCAAATTTGCTAAACTTCTTATAATATTGTTTACAGTATGAGTATGATATCATATTTTGTTTACAGTATGAGTATCATACCATAAGTCTAAACTATATAGCCTATTCTGGTTTCATTGAGTTCCCAAAAGGCACTGTACCATCCTTCAAAATCGGTCCTTCACTGCTTTCTAAGCAGATCATGAATTTTCTTCATCCAGGCCAGGGATTTTTATATAATTCTTAGAAAAATCTAGAAAAAGAAGTTTTTGCTGTAGGGTTTGGGAGGGGAAGTGAGGGGTGCTGTAGTTTTTGACACCCTGCACTCACTGTTGATATCTAATGGGAGGGGAGGGGTCTAATGTAATGCAATGAATTACTGTTTGGGCCATGGATGACACTGTACGTTAAGGCAATTTATATACAATGGATATGTGTACTAATTATAAATATTGTGTTCTGTTGTACTGTTCCCGTTATCGTATTCACAGCCTGTATTGTGAAAATTCAAAACAAGCTTTATCTGCAGATCTATATATTAACAGAATGCATTAGACAATGACATTGAGTTTGTATAACTTACAGTATATCATTTTTATGATACGTCGATGTTAATCTATGGATTATCAATTACGCTTTGTGCTTCTTGGAATTTTCACAAAACATGCCATGACTTTATCGTGCTGATACCACCGTGGCTACGCAGGGGCGGATCTGGGAACCAATAAGGGGGGGGGGGAGTTTTAGGTCAGAGAAAAAAACCTCCGCGCTTGTGAGGAAAAAAATGTTGGGCCTCTCTAACCCAAAAGTGGGCCCAAATTTTGAAATTTAGAGACCAATTTTCTACGAATTTTGGCCTGAAATTAAAAAATAAAGCCTTAAAAGGTCCAGTAATGACCAAAAAGGCCCATTTTTCTCCTGCGTTTATTAAATTTGTTAAAATCAGACCCTTTATGGTGAGTGGCTAGGTGAAAATCAACTACATGTAGGGGCGGTAAATGGGCGGTAAATTACCCCGGGTAAATTACACAATCTTACCATGGCGTAGAATAAGAGGGGGAGAAACCCCAGGGTTCAAAGATGACATAGGCCTACGCTTATAATGTAAACCTGTATTGAGATGACATCGTCGCTGATTGGTTTAGCGAGTCGATCGTTGATTGGTTTAAAACTAGGTCAATTTGAAAACTTTGCCGAAAACCAAGGAGGATTGGCTCCCAGAGTGCACCACCGATATTCTGTCCCATATATGGTAGCGTGACCTTTGACCTTGTTGACACGTGACAGGTTTGAAACCATTTTGAAACCTGTGAGGTCAAAGGTCACCGCTACCATATATGGGACAGAATATCGGTGGTGCATTCTGGGAGCCAATCCTCCTTGGCCGAAAACCAAGATGGAGGGTACGTTTTCGACAAAAGGAGGTGCGCGAAGGAGGAAATCATATGTCATCAATTGAATCATGGGGTTTCCCTCCTCTTGCGTAGAATAATGGAAATAACGTCACAACGCATGCGCGTAAATCGACATTTCACGGTCCAAAGATTTCAATGGGGAGCAGTCTCCATCAAAATTTAGAATGTTAATAACTTTTTAGCAAATCATTTATTTTCTTAGGATTCAACGGATCCTTGTTACACCCAACGAAGTGTTCGTTTTGATATATAAATGAGCAAAATCCATCCATAGATCTTTTCGGGCCTTTTAATGATTTAATTTTCGGGATATTTTGCTAAACTTCTCCCATTGGCCGCCATTATAAACTTTGAAAAAACTCAAATCCTCGTCATTCCATATCATTCGTTAAGTGATCTAAACAACTCCAATCGCTTAGGATTCAACGGTTTCTAAGAAATCAAAGCTAATACAATATGTTGACAACCTCCGTTTCAATATTTGCCGCATAATCTTTCGGCCTTTAGGTTATAAATTTGTCAATATTTTGATTCTCGACCAGGAACGTACTTGGATCCGAGATTCATTGTCCCATGATTCATGACGCTATTTCCATTATTCTACGCCATGCTAAGGGGAGGCATCAAAAGTTCAATGTCTGATAGGAAACTAAATAATTCTAGTTTTGAGTTGGACCCCCTCCCTCCCCCTCAAAACTAAATACAATGAAAGTTGATAGCGGACTTTTCACATGTTTTAGCTACTCAATTTGGACTTTCATGGCATATGGGGGCAGTACTATAACTTACATGTATTTATGATTCTTAAAGGGGTGGTAGAGCCCATGGTGCCAACAACAATAGGCATAATATTTCATGTTGCATGCATCTTGGTGAAGAAGGCATCTGGTAAAGTCTTTATTTTTAAACCATTCCAAGGCATTTCGAGTCGAAATTGCGAAAAATTTAAATGTTGAAATTTGTCGGATAGCAAACTGAAATAGCTTTGACCCCCTCCCCCAAACTAGATTTAGCCTATTTAGTTTTCTATCAGACATTGATCTTTTGATGCCTCCCCTAAGAAGGTCCAAAGCCTAGCTAGAGACTCGAGTAGCCTAGGCCCTAAACGCGATCACTGAAGATAGCCCATTTTCACTTTTTTGAATACCTAATTAACATGCAGTTTAATGGGGAAAAAGACCAGTCCTAAATTATGGAAGGGATTGATTTAACACCAGGAGTGAGGTGTACATCCACTGAATCTGCTACTACTGTGCCTTTGTTGATGTTTTTCCCGGGATATGCTCATTGCACTAGACGAAGCACTTCCTCGTTGCTATGGCGAGTAACCGGATGTAAACTACAGTGGAAATATTGCCATTTTTTATTGGGACTTTTACAGTTTTATGGGTTGTTTTCTTACATAAATAAAGATTCATACACTTAATCAGCATGTTCAATTTAAGATAACAACACAATAAACACATCATTTGATTTGCAACAGTTTTTCTTTATGGAATAACTTCAAAATTAGGTTTGACAGAACTCGATTTTTGACAAAAATAAAAAATGCCCCATCTCAAAGATCATAAACAAAAACAGCCTCTTTGGAAGGATTGGGACTATAAAGCACAGAAGAAAGGAATAAGGAGCACTGTTTATTCTGTGAATAAGGATGAGTACACCGGAGAGTGGCTAGATAATAAAAAACACGGTGAGTTAATTTCTATTCCCCTATTATCGCCCACTTTTAACAATAATTTCTAATATAATGTTAGACCTTAGACTATTTCTATGGTTCTTATTAATATAATTGTTCAAATTAGACAAACCTCCAAAGTCGGTGAACTTACAGACACCTGATAGCATCAGGTTACCACATTGACGGCTAATTTCCAAATACTACGCTTCGATGTGATGTTTTAATTGGTCTAGGCATATTCAGTACACCTTTCTTTATCTTGATATGAAATAAGAAGTTGTTATATTGGTTAACATGACAGAAATGAACATAATATTATTCGAAGCATATTTCAAAAATTGTGAGGCTGCCATTTTTGTTTGTCGATTTCTCTTGAAAGCCCATAATTTTGACCATTCAGAGACGTAGGTCATCTCATTTGGAAACAATAATATTGATTCTAGGCAAAGGTACATATCGCTGGAAAGACACTGGTGCAATATATGATGGCGATTGGGCTGAAGGTAAAAGATGCGGATTTGGCACTTATAGTCTCCCTGACAAACAGCATGGAGGCTTTCAGAAACAATACTCGGGAGGCTGGAAGAATGACAAAAGACATGTAAGCTGGATTTATCTCAACATTCATTCAAATTTATAACATCTCAAACTAAAATGATGGACTGTGATTGGTCAGATCACGTCACATGATCCGTTGATAATTCTATCCAGCAGCTTGATTAATCTCAACTCAAAAAAAAGAAGTTTATGTAACTGTTCGTTTTGGAAGTGACACTTCTAGATGGTCAATTAAGATAAATCATTAAAGATAAAATTCTATCACATGAATCTTATTTGTTAATATTTTTATGTTTGTCTAATATTTGTTCCTATTTTGATATTAATATTTTGATATTTGTTCCTATTTTGAAATTAATATTTTGATATTTGTTCCTATTTTGAAATTAATATTTTAATATTTGTTCCTATTTTGATATTAATATTTGTTCCTATTTTGATATTCCCAATAATATTTTTTGTATCAATCTCAACAGGGTTACGGGACTCACTTCTATTCGGAGGATGAATATTATGAGGGAGAATTTTACGCAGATAAACGCAGTGGTTGGGGAAGGATGTATTACGCAGATGGTACAATATATGAAGGAGAGTGGTATGATGATCAACGCAATGGCCAGGGAATGTTAAGATTAGGTATGTATAATTCATAAATCCTCAACTTACGTTTGAGCAGCATCAGAACCATTTTTGGTATAAAATTGAGGCTTTAAACTAATAACTGTTATATTATCAAACGAAATGACATGAATTTAGTCAATATAGGCCAACTATGGAAGGCCCCATATTTTGACAAGAATTGGAAGATTTTCTAAACTTGGATTGTATTGTTTGAAGTTTCACACATGAATTAAATATGTTTGGTACTCTGCTTAAAGTGGCAGTATTAAGCATACAGAGAGTACAGTAAAACCTGTCGAAATGGAACACCTTTTGTTCATCTAAAGAGTGTTCCTCTTGAGAGGTGTTCCACTTAAAGAGGTTCATTTAACATTGATCAGTTGGTGTTGGGACTCTGAACAGTGTTCCACTTACAGAAATGTTCCACATTACAGGTTTCACTTTAAAATGATTTTTTTTTATTTGCCTTGACAGTGTAACAGAAATGAAGGTTAATATCAAAGTTTTTAGATGGGGCAAGTAAATCATTTTGAAAAATATTTTAGGATAATTCAGGATGAAAACTACAAATACATGTAAAGACCCTTTAAAATAGAAATATTATCATAACTGTATATTTGTATAGTAAATTAAATTCTAACTTCAGCAACTGAAAACCGATATGAAGGGAGTTGGAAAAATGACAAGAAAAATGGACCTGGAAAGTTCTTTTACTTAGACAAAGGACAGATTTATGAAGGTGTATGGGTGGATGATATACCAAAATGTGGAGAAATGAAAGATTTTGGACGTGAAGGTGCACCAGAGCCAACGCAGTACCCAATACCAGAGGTAAGTTAACCATCTTTTTGTGTCTTAAAAAAGGTGCACTTTTTGAGTTTATTGGGTTTGTGGTTAAAGGCATTTTGCAAACTAAAAAACATTTCATATCACACCATTTCTGATATACCGTGCATCTTCAACAATAGTGATCTATTTAGTTTGAAACATGGGGCTTGCATCTTCATCAACGATGGGTCTGGTAGTTGTCATTATGTGTAGCATTTAGGTTGAAACATGAGGTCTTAAAACAATAGCAAGTCACTGAACAAAACAGTGTCAAACAATCAAAATGCCAAAACCCTTCTAATCAAATAATGTTCAAGTTAGGGATGGTGTTCAGTGGTCTGTGTTTGGCATCTAAAACAAATGGCAGGTGGTGACATTTTGCATGTAAATGCCTTGTTAAAGCATTGTAATGGTTTGTGGTCTTTCGTCTTTCATCACTTGTAGCTACATAATTATCTGGTAGGTCGATGATTTATTGACTTATTTATTTAGTTATTTATATTCATAAAATGAATGATTTATTTTTCAGGTAAAGTTGTTAAACCCTGAGAGCGTAGTTGCTAGTGCTGAGAATCAGTTTCTTCAGGAACAGGATTAATAACTTGGATTATGAGAGAGCAAAAGTATTAATGCCTTGGTCACATTTGCTCAGATTTTCATTACGGCGCCCGGCCGATTGAGTATTTTGTTCAAAATTGAATACAATATTGAACAAAACACTCAATCGGCCGGGCGTCGGCCGATGGATCGGAGCAAATGTGACCCAGGCATTAGAGAGAGGAAACAATATTTGATCATGAAGGAGCAAGACATTGATTATGAGGGAGCAAAATTCCAGCACACTTGATAATGAGAGCAATGATCTACAAAACTTGTTTATACTGCATTATGATAGAACAAACAATATTATGGTGGAGAATTGAGTTATTTTGATTACATAAAAACTCATTGAAGAAAAAATCAATATCAAAAAACAAGATAAAAATTTATAAAGGAACAAATTGAACCAAAGACCTTATTATTAGTGTGATAGGCAAGATACAAATATTTTACTGATAACATTGAATTTGAAAACTTCTGCAAATTAATTTAATAATTTAATCCTTCAATTAAGGAAAAGTTCATGTTTTTGCATGCAAACTTTTTTAATTCTAGTACACTAACAAAAAAAATTGTGATAAAAGCACAATGCCTGTAGCTTCAAAATAATTTTATTGTGTATTTAGGATGGAATCATGACACCCATATGTACATATATCATTTGTAAATATTGTAAATAAATAAACTAACATGTATATGAGAATGTACATTAATGTATTTTCTGTTCACTATTTTGAGATTAGACTGAAGTCATTCATTATCGTTGTAATTGACTTACAGGGGGAGACAAAATATTTCCAATGGCACAATTTGTTAATACATTTTTTAGTAAATGGTCACTAATTTAATATTTTTGAAAAAACTGTATCAGATATTATTTAAGAAATTAATTTGAATCAGCCTGACGTGGGGAGGATATCAACTTATTGATCTCTGGATTCAGGCATTGAAGTGTTGCACATTTGAACAGTAGTTATTTACCAAAAATTGTTCATTGTTTTCTGATAATGAACAGTAAAAAATAATATAATTGGTTCCATTAATCTAGAACAACATTTAGATGCAGAGATGTCCAATTTAACTTTAATTGACATGCACTTTTTCATTTTTGCCAGATCTTGCCACTTATTTTCAATTCAGCTCTATCCCTTTTACATCCTTGAATGAATTACTTTGAATTTTACTCAAAGGTAAGCTCATTTAGAGTGAGATTTGATTTTAAAGACAAGGCATTAACATGTAAAATGTCACCACCTACCATTTTTTACAGATGGTGACTGCCAAACACCATACACAAAAAGTTGGAGACTTAAACAATATGTCACCACTTCTGGTGGTGGCATAATTATTCTCAGACCCATCTATGGAGCACCTGTTACCAAGGTTACCAAATAATCAACAAAACATAACGATTGTGTTTTATAAAAAGTTTTGTATTCTGATAAAAATAGCAATGTTATCGTATATAAAATGACTACATGGAATGTAATATGAAAATACACCCCTGTACGGAGGGTTTATTACAAGTACAATGTATCTTAAATCAAGAAGTGTAACCCTGTGAGGGGAGAGGATATACTCAGTGAAAAAAATCAAAATCAGATCTTAAATGACAAATGAAATTCTAAACTAAATACACTAAAACCTCAGATCATTTCTTCCTCAAATATAAATTGAAATAGAAGTATGAAATACCATTATCATGTATGTGTTTTTCAGATCTGAATTCCAAAATAAAGTACAATATATAAGTAGTAAAGTACATTAAAGTCTAAGGACAAAGTCTTATGATATACAGTTTACTAAAAGCCTATGTACATGTAATTATAAAATACTACAAATATCATCCCATAGTAATGCATATCATTTGAATCTCTCTTTTGAATCTCCAATGAAGTGTGAATTAAAATAAATTAAATTTTTATGCATTTGAACCATATTTTACTTGATTAACCAAAATATTGTATCATCCCTGGGATATAAATTAAACCTCTACAAGTTGCACATTTAAACACAAAGTTATAAGATGTATACATTCAGAATTACAAACTAAAAATAAAAATCATTGTTTTGTTATTTGTTAATTACCAACACAGGCAGATTAATTGTGGATACATATTCAAGCCAAAAATGAACAATTACAACATTTTTACAAAACAGTTTTTGAGAACTGAATTTGAGTTCATGATTTGTATATCTGCATTATTTTAATAATAATAATGATAATTTAAATTGTAACTCCTTAAGAATTGTACTGGTTTGTTCCTTTATACAATATTATGAATAATCTGAATTCGCCTTCTATAAACTGTGAACAAAGTCAATATTTCGCCCAGTATGTATTCGTTCACACTGCACCAGGTAATACGAGTTATGTGTGACGTCATAGCAATGACAGGCCATAATGAATATTCCCAAAATTTGGTGAGTTTTCATGTTCAAATCGTAATATAGCCCTCAGGGCAGGTGTTATATCGAGAAATACATACCTTAGGGCTAGGAACAAAAGCTTTGTTTGTGCCTAGCCCTGCGGTATGTATTTGTCAATATAACACCTTCTCTTCAGTCTACATTTCTTAAATACATGTACATGTATATATATTCTAAAGTATACCTTTATACAGATTTCACTAAAATGCTACAGGCCCTCATTCTCACATCATAGATATTAAAGTAATAATGTGTAGAATTTAGTGAGAAATTGTGTCATGACTCACAATATTGTTAAATATTGGACACTTATTAACCAATGAGAATGTATCACTAAGGTGAGCTGCATAATAATTTACATTATTTTTCACATAATTATGTCCATCCGATCCACATTTGGAATGTTATTGGGAAACTAAAATGCCATTAACAGGTGTTCTCATGTTTGATATATCATCTAGGTTTGCACATTCAAAGATGTTCACATTATGAACATACCACACATCTGTTCTCATTATGAATATACAAAGTGTTCACATTAATAGGTGTTCCCATATTTGATATATCATGAAGGTGTGCATATTCAAAGATGTTCACATTATGAACATACCACACAACTGTCCTCATTATGAATATACAAAGTGTTCACATTAACAGGTGTTCCCATTATTGTAAACACAACCCTATGAGTGTTCATATACAGGTGTTCCCATAATGAACATAACTGTATGAGTGTTCCTATTCAGATGCTCATATTTACAGGTGTTCCAACAGCAAGTATTCTTACAAAGTTCAAATACAAGTCCTAATCCACCAACTTAGGCCTACATAACATTTGGTATGACATCTCCTGTGTTACGAATCTCAATCAGAGAGAAGACGGCCCCGCAAACAGATGCACCTACACTGATGCATGCCAAGAAGAAAGAATAGTGAAGGCTGTATGCGAACATGACGTCATTGCTGAAATGGGTCACGAATATAACTATGGCTAATGCCCATGCCCCACCTGGAAAAATGAATCACATTGTTTTCATGTATGCAGGAACTGAAATTTCCATACCATATATCTGCACTCTGTATACAGCACTTATTAAGAACTTCTTATGTGGTCTCTAGAACAATACTCATTATGTAAACTTTGGATGGAAATAGAAAATTGGATTTTCTGAAAATTCACTGCACTTTCAAAGTGACATTTACCAAATATAGCAAAACATAAGACATTTCACTGAAGACATTCACCTCCAAATATGACAAAATAACTGCAATTAGCCACTTGCCCCCAAATATGGTAAAACTTAGACACTCACCTCCAAATATGGAAAATATTGCTGTGGCAACAACTGGACCTTTCCTCTTTGTCGTCTTCACAAGACACATGTAGACCAGACATATGAGGAATGATACAATTAAACACAGAAGGCCAATAACAGCAAATCCTTGCACGGTTCTGAACCACATTGGGGGCTCTGAAAATACATATATTTGAGATTACATAGGGTATCAGCCTTGCTACTCTAAACCACATTGGGGTTTCTGATATGTATATACATACAAAGGCCTTTCCTACATGTAAAGTAAAACCTGTCTTCCTGAACACTTCTCTAGCGAACACCTGTCCCTAATAGACACCCTTCCTCCACAAATACTGACTCATATATACAGGGTGAGCCAAAAAGTTAACCCAAAACAAATATCTTAACTCTGTCATTCAGCATAGATCTAAAATCATATTTGACACAATTGAACCTTGTTCAATTTTCTTTCATTTCATTTAACTTTTATTGGTCTATTTTTAATGGTCACAATTTCATGGCCATTTTACAAAACATGCTCAAAATGCGTAAACACGCCAAAATCACCCATTATGAATCCCGAAACTTTTATCTTTGGAGCTATTTCAAAGATATTGCCCACACTTACAACTCTAGAAGCATGCCTAGCACTAAAACCCCCCTTTTGTGATAAAATGGACCCCCAGCTGGGAACAACCCTGTTTTCTAGGCTGGGAATAAACCTCACTCTCAAAAAGATGACTATTTTACATGAACAATGAATTGCAAGTTTATACAACTTGCTATTTAACGATGCATGTACTATATTCTGTGATTTAATTGGTTCATTGAAACCAATCTTGAAACCTTTTCTGTCTTGTAGTTACAACCCTCCCTTTTGCCCTTTCATTAAACAAACCCAAGGGTAGGTAAAAAATAGAACACCTCCTTGGTAAATCCTGGCTATGTCTCTGTAGAAGCATCAGAGAGTTAAACAATAGATAAGAAGGATGATTATTACCATTACACAAGATAGCTGTGAGCGTGTAGTCAGAACAATTTCACCAGTGCATTCAAATTAGCCTCCAGAGATGAGACCAGCATTATGAGGATGTTTTGTAAAATAGCCATAAAATCGTAGTCACTTCTAGCCATGAATTCTAGAGACTCGAGTAAGGATGTTGCTTCTTTCAGGTTTGAATGGGGTATACAGGTAACGTCTGTATTGCCATTTAAATGTTAGTAACTACTTTGAATTTAAAAAATAAGCAATCAAAGGACCATATTGAAGCAGTATACAATAAATAGAAACATTTATACATGTCCCAACTTTTGTATATTTTAGTTTGTTTTGTAGTTTAGCTATCATGTCTGTGCCCTCTTATATTTCAATGCTTCTCCGCCATGATATTTTCGGAAAAATTAACATGGCTGAAACTCCCTAAATTACAAAAGGCCACAGCTTTACTGCACATTATACATAACTATCTCAAATATACAAAAGTTAGGACAAGTACATACAGTTGGGGATATAAATAAATGACAGGTGGATTTGCTGAAGTGAGGATTTCCCATGTTAAAAATTAGAGAATTTACAAGAGGCCATACATCAGTGGATGAGATTATACAAAATGTAAAATATACAAATTTTAAGGGATATATATCTAGACAATATTGGAAATTATGGGCTTTCAGACCACCATAATTAGAAAATGGTGATCGAAAATCAACCTGTCATTTATTTTTGTCCCCAACTGTATGTTTCTATTTTTTATATACCTGTTGCAATATAGTCATTTTGATTGCTTATTTTTTAAATTCAAAGTAGTTACTAACATTTTAATTTTACTGTAATAATTAAACATGAAAATCACAGTCAGAGAGAATGTTCTGGCGAAAAGAGATTGTCACATAAATCTTGAAAATTAAGGTTCAGCTGGAAAGTAACATTTTGGTAAAAAATTGCTATACCTGCACATGTTATTTTCTGGTACAAAATTAAGTATGAAGTTGTGTGTGTATTTCCTTGCTTTTTTCAGGAAAGTATCATTACACTGTTTACTTATAGAATATCTAGAAACAGGTCAATGGTAGCTCCTATGTTGTCTGGAAACTTTGAAAGAAAATTTGGAAAAATAGAAAGTGTGAAATATTAGAATTTCCTGGAGTTTCCATTGAACCCCTACCAGATATTCTAAAAGAAGACAATGTAATGATACTTTCCTGAAAAAAGCAAGGAAATTGACACATGCCTTCATACTTTATTTTGTACCAGAAAATAACATGTGCAGGTATACAGTAGCAATTTTTTACCAAAATGTTACTTTCCAGCTGTACCTTAAAGTAGGTCAGAAAGGTAGGGCCTGATTCTTTATGAACTTACGCCTATTTGTTGGAGTATATTTCTCCCTCACAGTCAGTCCAGTTCCAACTATTTTGTCTTGGTAGATACACGAGGATGGAAGGTCCGAATCATGTGTCCGACATACCTGCCACAAGCCTTCCCAGAGTTGGACATTTTCACCTGTATCGGGAGAAAATTCCATACTTGTGACTCGCCATCCCGTCGTTGTAAAACTTACGATACTGAGTATATTGGCCGATACTAGACATACCATGGCCACGATAATCACCCATGATGTTTCTAGCTTCTTGTAAACCACACTTGCTGAATACATGTTTCTTATCCTGAGAGAAAAGTCATTTGTAATTCCGGAAATAATGTCGTTTGTTTTTCAAAATGGTGATTACAGGTAGGTCAAAATGCCGTGCTGCCATCTATTAGCAAACAACTTTCCAAAGTAAAAACAAATGCACGCTATAATAAAAGTCGATATAGCGAATGACGGGGTCCCTCCTCGACTCACACCCTTTCAAAGGAATATCATGTCTATGTCAATAATCTGCAAAAGGCTAATAAGCCCATTTTAAAGCAGATGTATTATTTAACAGTGATTGAATTTCAATAGAATGTAATTTAAAAACCTAGATCTAAAAACAATTGGACGGATAAGAAAAGATAAACTGGCGACTGTCAGGTTGATTTCGTATTGGGGCATTTATGAATGATTTCTTTGAAGATAAGATATACAAGATACATACATACTAGATACATACATATATATCTATAAGGATACGGGGATAGGTCCGAGGCTTGATGAAGCAAGATGTATGTACATTGCATTGTAATAAGTTGCATTTAACTGAATTTTTGTACTTTGACAGGGTTATGTTTTCAATTCATTATATCGGGAACCCACCTCGTCGATAACTTACTTTATTGTGGATGTCAAAGCCTACTGACATTTATAGCTAGGCCTATTTCATGTATTTAGCTAATTGGGACCTGGAGTTTTAATTCGGATTGCAATTTGTATATAGCCTACGTAATACAGTCGAACACATATGCGTTCATCTACATATTACCTATAAATTACATGTTTCATAACTAGTTTTTTTGGGAGCCATACATAAGACATAATTCTATCATCTCGTTCCAACAAACAAAGATGCCAATTCATAAATGATATCCGAGCGTAACATGATACTAACTAATAATTGGTATCGATTTTTGCGCTTTCATTGCAATTTTTCACCTTTTTGAGATTACAATTTAATCGGACGCTGATACCTTTAATTGACACCATGCTGAGACAATAAGTCAGTGTTTCCAACTGTATGACAGTTGAATGTCTAATAATTCATATATGACTAATCCATTCCCAGTAATTATAAGTAACATTGGCGATGAGAACCTATGGTTTACATTCGCAAATGCGACGTAATTAATTGATTACTTCCAGTTGACAAAGGTAACTTTACGAGAACGTATCCTATTTATCTACATTCCAAAATACGGGATCTCGCAAATCTATTTGGTTAGTCTTTTCATTCATAGAAGAAAAGCGCGCCAAGTTTAGAGACACATCAACAGAATTAATTATCATTTTCATAACGTGGCCCTGAGGAAAATGGGTTCTCAAAATGAATTTAAAAATCCTCGTATGACGTCAAAAATACCTTTTCCTCAATTGTTGACTCATTGTGGCTCAAGTAGAAGGATTCAAAGGGAAATTCTTAATTGTGCTCGAGCGAGTGTGCCAAAGAAAACCCAATTTCAATATGTCAAGAAGGTAGAAAAGTTTTCAAATGTGCTGAATTAATTGTGCCTGAAGAAAGAACAGTTCTTCTCGATTTTTTCTTGACTTGTGGCTCAAGGAAGAAAATAGTTCTTAAATGTGCTCGAGCGAGTGTGTCAAAGAAATATCTATTGCTCTCGGTTATTCGTGATTGTGTGTTTTTCGATCAACAACGACATCCTCCTAAGCAGGTGTCCAGAATCCGTACCTCCTTCTCCCCAGGGGGTAAAAAGAAAGAAAATATTCTGGATTTTGAAGCCCTGTGATCGGAGGATGCAACAACGAGCATTTTGAATTTGTCAAGAAGAGTTTCTGTATTTGCTTGATTGATTGTACCTGGAAAAAGAACAATTGTTCTCGATTGCTTGACTCATTGTGACCCAAGGAAGACTATAGTTCTCGATTGGCCTTGCATTCATCAAATATGCTCAAGGAGGACCGATAGCCTCAATAGTGTTTCACTGACTGTGTCTGAAGAAGTAAAGATTGTCCGATTGTTCTTGAGATGTGAAAAAACAGTAGTTTTCGTTTATTCTTGACCCATTATTGCTTGATATCAAATGGCAGTTCCCAATTGTGCTTGACTTTGTTGTGCCTCAAGAAGGAAAGGTAGTCTTTGATTTTTCTTAAGATTTGAAAGAACGGTAGTTTTCGATTATTCTTCACCCATTATTGCTTGATATAGAATGGCAGTTCCAAATTGCGCTTGACTTTGTTGTGCATCAAGAAGGAAAGGTAGTCTTTGATTTTTCTTAAGATTTAAAGAACGGTAGTCTACGATTATTCTTGACCCATTGTTGTTTGATATCGAATGGCAGTTCCCAATTGTACTTGACTTTGTTGTGCATCAAGAAGGAAAGGTAGTCTTTGATTTTTCTTAAGATTTAAAGAGCGGTAGTCTACGATTATTCTTGACCCATTGTTGTTTGATATCGAATGGCAGTTCCCAATTGTACTTGACTTTGTTGTGCATCAAGAAGGAAAGGTAGTCTTTGATTTTTCTTAAGATTTGAAAGAACGGTAGTCTTGGTTATTCTTGACCCATTATTGCTTGATATAGAATGGCAGTTCCCAATTGTGCTTGACTTTGTTGTGCATCAAGAAGGAAAGGTAGTCTTTGATTTTTCTTAAGATTTGAAAGAACGGTAGTTTTCGATTATTCTTGACCCATTATTGCTTGATATAGAATGGCAGTTCCAAATTGCGCTTGACTTTGTTGTGCATCAAGAAGGAAAGGTAGTCTTTGATTTTTCTTAAGATTTAAAGAACAGTAGTCTACGATTATTCTTGACCCATTGTTGTTTGATATCGAATGGCAGTTCCCAATTGTACTTGACTTTGTTGTGCATCAAGAAGGAAAGGTAGTCTTTGATTTTTCTTAAGATTTGAAAGAACGGTAGTCTTGGTTATTCTTGACCCATTATTGCTTGATATAGAATGGCAGTTTCCAATTGTACTTGACTTTGTTGTGCATCAAGAAGGAAAGGTAGTCTTTGATTTTTCTTAAGATTTAAAGAGCGGTAGTCTACGATTATTCTTGACTGATTGTTGCTTGATATCGAATGGCAGTCCTTAATTGTACTTGACTGGTTGTGCATCAAGAAGGAAACATAGTCTTTGATTTTTCTTAAGATTTGAAAGAACGGGTAGTCTTGGTCATTCTTGACTCATTGTTCCTCATAATCGAATAATAGTTCTCAATTGTGCTTGACTGGTTGTGCCTCAAGAAGGAAAGATAGTCTTTGATTTTTCATAAGATGTGAAATAACGGTTGTCTTCGATTATTCTTGACTTATTGTTGCTTGAATATCGAAGGGTAGTTTTCAATTGTACTTGCCTGATTATATATTAAAATTTGAATTAACAGTAGTCTTGATACTTGACTCATTGTTGCTTCATATCGAATGATACATGTAGTTCTCAATTGTGCCTGTCTGATTGAGCTTTAGAAATGATAGTGTAAAATGTGTGAATAATTCTTCTTCATATGTTTGTAATTAAAATTAATGAATCTCTAGTAACATAGTGTTTCCTGAACCCCATTTTGGCATTTTCACATGACTTAATTTTGAATTTAATTCCATTTTGTATTCCGAGTGGTCCATGATTTTGGGTAATTTGTGTTGGTTGCACATACTGCCAATTCACTGATTAAAAATCTAAGTATGCTGATCATAAAACCAGTTTTACTCATGCAAAATAATGATTAGAAGTGCAGTTTTAGATGCAATGATATATAATTAAATGCATTACCAGGATTAGTTCTAGCTGCAGTCGTAAATAGGCAGGATACTGTCCTAAGTCACAGATATATAAAAGTTCATATAGTACATATTACAAATACATATATATATGCGCAGGAGATTAAACAATTTAAATTTCTAGTCAAGCAGCGGAATCTTTTTCAAGACTCCATTAACTTTTAACAATGCGAAAAAGGCTGATAATGTCACTGTCAAATATTAATTATCAAAGGTTTCTTTTCTTTTGGCGATGTTGGTACTATTCGTTTGAGATCTTGGACTAAGCTTATTTTGAATATATGAGAATGGCATTTTTACCATCGGAGAGAACATATTCGATAGCCAAGACTACGAGATCTGGTGAGTACATTTTCGAAAAGTCAAGCAATAAAATAAACAATTCGGTAAAGGACTGGTTGCAGTTTGGTGAACTTAATTCAACATTGTTTTCTTTTTATTCCGATTATCGAAAAAATCTAAAAAATTCACATTCTCAACGTTTAGAAAAAAATGTTGTATTTAGTTCATCAAACAGTGTTTTAATATAAAAAACAAAATTTAACTCAGTTCAACTTGTTTAACTTCACTTGTCTATCTAACCCCTACCCATAGATCTTGTCAATTAGCATAAAGATCGATGGAGCCATGGGCGTAGCGCTCTTTTTCTAAGTAGTACGCCACCACGAGAGCCCGCACGGGAGCAAGAGTAGAGAGAAATAAAAAACAAGTGTTCATGGGAGTCTGGGAGGAAGTTTTTGATATTTAGTTGTATTTGGAGCGAATTTGCAACCATCTGGTACGCCTACGGTGCGTACCCAGCGTACCAGGCGCTACGTAGAAATCAATATATTCTAACAGATCCTAGCATTTATTTATATACAAAGATTGTAGACTACTAATAAAATATATAGAGGATATCCTATGATTTATGAGTGATATGATTTTTATCCACGAATGGATATGATATCTGCGACTCGATAAAGAAGAATTATCAAAGCTCATCAAGAATGGACGATCTTGCACAAGTACTCATATAAGAACCTCTATATCTTAAAATTCTTAAATCTTTTAGGAAATAAAATATAAAAACAGTATCGTGTATGATTACTGTCAACCTCTGAAGATATGATATACAGGGTGTTCAATAAGAACTGATAAAAATGCCGTAACTTTTTTGTTTTTCATATATCTTTATAATTTTTCTAGTGTGCATTGTCAAGTATTATACTGATGTACTGTGAAAGTTACAGGACTGTACCCCCAACAGGGTGGTGGTGCTGGGTTCAGCCAAAGGTGGTTAGTGGTGGATCAAGTCTGCACGAAAAAAGTCTCAAAATGACCAACTTAAAATGTTAATATTGCTCCTCAGCTAGCGCATCCTCTTGTCACACATCAATGTCACCTCTAAATCATTTTGAGTATTATGGTGCGTGCAACCAACAGTTTAATCAGTCAGTCTGTAATTTTTCTGATAGGAATTCATCCAATATTTCTTTTATTGTATTAATCTGACTAGGTGAAGTTACAACTTTTGGCCACCCCTGTCTGGGTTTATCTGCAACTGACTTTCTCCCTCTTTGAAAGAGCGGTACCAACAATATATGCCAGGGATAGATATAGTGTCCTTTCCATAAGCTTCATGAATGTATTTGATTGTATCCTGTTTTAATTTATCTAGGAGTATATGGAACTTGGTGCTGCTTCTAATTTGACGCTGAATATTATTGATATTCTGTTCAGCAGTCATGTTTTTGATGACATTATTTCTGCTGAGTCTGTGTAATGTAATTTCTTCATGAAGTCATCCGATCTTAAATTACATTGACGTCAGAAATATAATTATGTATGAAAATGTTCACATTTTAAGGCGGTTATTTTGAAAAGAATTTCATGCAGACCTGAACCACGGCGAACCACTTTTGGCTCCACCCAGTAGCACCTTCCTATTAGAGGACATTCTTGTAATTTTCACAGTACATCAGTACAATACTCAACAATGTACAGTAGAAAAGCTAGTCAGAAATTTCAGATACACAAGCAATTTCAACTGACAGATGTTACAAATATTATTTCAGATTCATGTCAAAAATGCAGTTTCAACTGACAGATGTTATAAATGCTATTTAAGATACTTAAACAAAATGCAGTTTCAACTGACAGATGTTACAAATGTTATTTCAGATACATTACTGTCTAAAATACGATTTCAACTGACAGAGGTTACAAATGTTATTTCAGATACATGTCCAAAATGCAGTTTCATCTGACATATCTTACAAATGTTATTTCAGGTACATGTTCAAAATACAGTTTCAACTGACTGATGTTACAAATGTTATTTCGTACATGTCCAAAATGCAGCTTTAACCGACAAATGCTTTACATGTTTTTTCAGATACATGTCCAAATGGCTGGTACGGGTGTGATGATGCATGTTACAGTTTGTTTACTACGAAAACACACAAGCTGACATGGGTGGAAGCTAGGGAAAGCTGTTGGTCCAAGGATGCCTTCTTGGCTGCAATTACGTCTATTTATTCTTATGGGCGTAGGGAGGCTGCATGCATAAAGGAAACACTGATTAACTGGAATAATAAAGATTCACCTCCGTATATTAACCATGAACGGCAGCAATACATATACGCAGGTACCAATTTAAAAGTCGTTAAAATATGTACTTGAATAAAGGAGTTTCTAAATAGCTAAATAGCAATTCTCGTTTTTTCATGAGATTTAAAAAGATTTGCACTTTTTAACTCTTGTGACTTACTTTTCTTTATTTTTAGCATATTTGAATTCAGTCACAAGTCTTCTCTAGTAATAGCTTTGATCTACACAGTTATGTCATTTATATCATCTTCCATGATATTGTGAAAAAACTTGGGCCAAATCTCCATTGGTGCAATGCTAATATTCATCAAAACCTTGGTTTATTCGTATGACAACCAACAATTTCAATTTTAATCACAATATGTACATTGATATGGTATGCCGTTCGAGTTCTAGACAGATTCAACCAACACTTTTTGATAAATCATGAAATTAAGTGACTATTGCAAGTTTCTAGCGTTGAAGTGACTAGAGGTGTGTTCCAAAAGGAATCAAAGACAAACAAGGGTGACATCTATTAGCGATATTCATCTATCTAGAAACTATACAACTGAACATGGTTAATATTTGTAAAGTGTGGGCTGCAGTTATACGATGCTATGAATGCCCATATTTAAAGCAGTGTACCAATTAGATAACGTTATTCTACGTACTCTATCTATAATATTTGAAGTTTATTGTATCTTCGATAAAATTCTTTTCAATTACGATGAAATTACCGGGACCCCTGTGCTAACACAATGAACTGCTATCATTTTTATTGAGTAACTATGTCACAACGTAATTATGTCTGGAACAAGATGGCATGTGTTTCGCTAGCAGCAACTAATTTCTCAATCAACGTATGCATGCAGTGAGCGCATGGTTTCTTGATTCAAAAATTTAATTAGTATTCACTTGGCATCATTACAGAGCGCCGTGTTAGCGGTTTCAGTTCCTCACTTTTTTTTTTATCAGCGACGCCACTCTCTTAGTTTTTTAAAAGCACTATTTGGAAGTGTTTTTGTGCCTATTATTAGATTGGGGCTAGATGGGCAAAGTTTCAAGCTCAATTTTCCCAAGTCTAATTGGTGATATACAGGGTGGTCAAAAAAACTGGAAACCCTCACACCGTTTTCCTAATATCTTTGTCATATTAAGAAAAACAGGATCTTAAGAGGTTCTGGACAAATCATTTGATTCTGGACTTGTCATATTTTTTTTTCAACGAAATCACATCCAAGGGTTGAATTTTTATTAGCTATTTAGAGAGTGAGTCCTGCCTAGTATTAATTTCAATAAAAAAGTTAAAATAGAACCCTATTTGAGAGTCAATCTAATACTTACATTACATTGATAAATTAAGGCAAATCCTGAAATATTTTTAAAGTGCATTTTTTTATGAAATATTATCCAGCAAGTATTTAAATGAAACGGTCTTATTTAAATACAAATCATAACATGATGATATTTTTCATGAAACATTTTTCAATGAAATTCAATTGAAGGGTCAAGATAAAACGAGCTAATTTAGGTGAAAACCCTTACATGATGATGTGTTTTCATAACTTCTTTCATAAAATTCCATCAAGGGGTGGAGATAAAATGATCGAATTTAAGTGATTTAAGGATCACGAGAATATGTTTTCTTTGATATTTTCTATGAAATCCCATCCAATGGTCAAGGTAAAATTTTGATTTTGATTTTGATTTGGTCACGTGTTCGAAAGATCCATATAAGGCCCATAGAACCATATAGGAACGTCATTTTGAATGTCATGTGATAGATCCATATAAGGCTTTTAGAACCATTTATGGAAAGATGAGGGGAAGCCCCTGACACCTGTTTCACGATTTTTATGCACTTCATTATTGTACCGAAGTTTGCCGATTCGATTCGTCGTATTTCGGAATCCTGGTGACAATTTTATACTCCATTGGAGTATTTTTGACCTTCTTCTTATGACGGAAATTCCCGAACCTTGTTCGGATTAATCCGGATTTTCTGACCTACTTTATCTACCGAGATTTCACGAGTTAACATTCGTCTCATTCCGGAATCCTGGTGACAATTTTATACTCCATTGGAGTATTTTTGATCTACTTTTTCTGGATTTTGCCCTACTTATTATATCTTGACAACAAGCAAATCAAAAAGTTCGACATGAACGGGTCTCGATCAACTAACCTAGACAATGGAAGCCAGGCACGCTAACCATGAGGCCAACGAGCTATCGATATGAAAGAACAAAAGTATTATATATTTATACCGAGCGCCAATTCAAAATGATCCTCACTTTTGTCTCCACTTAAATACGACTCGTCAGTTGTATCCAGAATAGTAGAACGCCTATGGCGCTAGTGAATAACCCAAGTCCCAGGTGAGTGGTTCGTATCCCTCCGTGATATACTATTTTTGTTTTATTAAATACGACAGAAAGGAGCAAGGTGTAGGTTGAAAACAAGACGTTAGTTTGTTTCAAAACAGTTTGGAAACATTAATCTCTGGAACATTATTTTTTCAACACTGATACAAATTTCCCTGACATTTCCCTGACATGTCTACCGTTTCAAAATTCCCGGTCATCTTTGGCCCTTTTGACCTAATTTTAAAATTACCTGACATTTCCAGCACTTGGAAAATCAAGTCAATTCCCCTGACATTTCCAGGTGTGTACGAACCTTGGAAATATCCCACTGGCTCGCCCTATGAATCGCTAGCACAGATTGGATTGATTAGTGTTTCAAAATGGTGGACGAAGTGTTTGATTAGATAATTTACATATTAAGCTTCTTAAAGGGGCAACAAGGCCTGTACATAGAAAATTCGAAATTTTTTACATTTTCTGAATTTTTAGGGCAACATTTGGCTTTAACATCTTTTTTTATACATTTTTTCTTAAAATGTATGGATAAACAATAAAATTTCAGCATTAAGCAGTGCAAATTCAGTTCAAAGCTTCTATAAAGGGAGTCCAACTTATAGATTTTGAAAATCCGACTCGTTTAAAGAAGAATATCAGCAGCTTAAATCACGCCTTGTGATCATACAAAATGGATGGAGGGGGGGGGGGGTAGGCGATTTCTGCAAGAAAATTCAACAAATTTGGAAGATTTATTTTTTTCAAGATAAAATTTACAACTGAATTGCCAAATGAATAGGCGCAGTGCATGGCAAAATATGTAAGGTCTTCTAGTATTTTTTGAACTGATACGCTTCTAAGATATGAGATCTATTATAAAAGGCGCATCATCATCATCATCACCAACGTGCAAAAGTCAATGTTTTTGCTATAAATCAGGCAACAATGGTCTACACGACCTGTAATAAATAGGTATGAGGGGCGTTATTAGAGAATTTTCGTTATAAGTTTTTTACTTATACGTATACTTATACTTATAAACCCAATAAACAAGGTGTTTCATAATTTCCTAATTCGTCGGGAAATATCTCCTAGGACGGTAATAAAAAGGGCCAATGGCATACCATCCGTACCCCCTTGATGTAAAGCATGTTTAGTTGTGTCATATGTGTTTTCTAGAATCAAATAGGCTGATATAGCACACGGGTTTTACAGATTTATCTACTCTCAAATATATTTTTTGTAGATGATCGTTTTGAATCACCTTGTAGAAATAACGAAGTGAGAATTAGTTCAGCTAATGAATGAGTCGAGCTATTTGATTGGATACTATGCCTATTCAGCCGATTAATTTTAATAAGCCATTCTGGTCAGTAGGTCCACACATATACTATGCGGAGATCCAACTCTGTAAGTTTATAATCTGCGTATAAAGGCCCTTTTATACGTAAAAACTTAAAAATTGACCTTATAATTTCATGAGAACTTTGAAATGATCGACTCGTTCGTGTAGTGATTCACTTTAAAGGGTCTTGTTTATCGTACACTACAAGGACCCGTCAACTAGCATTTAGTTTATCGTGTTCATAATTGACACTAGCAAAGGACATTGTATTCACAGTCCCTAGTTGATGATGGAGCTTGACTATATCGGAAATAGTTATGCCCCACTTGGTACAGATTATGAAAATCAATTTGAATTGATTTTAGTTCGACAAGACCCTTTAAACTATAAGTATACGTATAAGTTTTTGAAACAACTTATAACGAAAATTCTCTATTATCACAACACTGACATTGCTCACTTTTTAAAGTTGTTTCAAAGCGTTATATGTAAATGGGCGTGTGGAAGGCCCGTGGGTGGCAATAAAATAACTCGAACTTCAAATTAAAATATATATAAAATAGTATATTTCAAACTTCAATGTTTAAAATACAATGCTCTGTAATGTACAACATGAACTCTTACAACAACTACTGACAAGCCAACACCCAATGCAAACTCAGCTACATGTGAGTGAGAAAGACCATATAGGGGAACAATAGATATATAAAACTGACACAGTTTGCATAGTTGAATAACTGGTTTCAATAAAAGGTGAAAAGTGAACATGGTATTAAAAGAGTAAAACTGCAAACAACCTACTCAGAGACCTGTTATATTGAGATGAATAGGGATTGATTAATATGAACAGTAATAATATAAAATGTGAAAATGACCATGTTACAAAAAAATAACCCCATTGTTACAAAATCACAAAAAGTGAAATATCTATTCTTGTATTGCATTTTCGTTCACTGGACATATTTTAATTTGCATTGCTATTAGATACATTTTAAGGGTGATATGAAAATTGAACCACGAAAACAGATGTACTTTAAGTTAAAGGGAACTTTCTACCATACCCGCCATGCTATCTGACCCGAACGAGCACCTTCTGGTGAGATTGGTAACTACCTGCTCGCATCTGCGTTATTACGCAGAGACATAAACGTATACACAAGGAAACGATAGGAGATAACCTATTTTATCTCTGTATACATTTTAACTTTAATACATCGTTGAATCGAATTTGTCCAAATGTCTTGAAACGTAAAATACCTAAATATTTATCTTTGACCTTGGGATGACCTTGTACAAGAAACATTAATGTTGACCTCGGTTCATCTAATCATAATTCGCCAAGGGCCATAGTATCTTCAAACGCCAAATACCTAGACATTGATCGTTTACTTGGATTTAAATAAGGAGTATGCTTTTAAAATTGGCTAGGTCGTGGTTAAGCAACAATAGTATGTTCGAAATACCGCTGCGTAATGCCTGGATCACATTTGCTGCGAGTATTTTGTTCAAAATTGAATACATTTCTGAACACAATACTCAATCGGCCGGGCGCCGTAGTGAAAATCGGAGCAAATGTGACCAAGACATAAAACAATTGAATAATACTGTATCAGTTTCACATTTACAGCGGTCAAAAGCATTTACAAAAAAACGCCAGAGTTGGCAATCATATAAAATGAAACCAATCCCGCTGTGATTCATAGAAATAACTAATTTACTGCATTGAGTTCAATGTTATAACCATGTCGATTTACATGAGTGTCCGATTCATTGTACCAAATTTAAACCCTGATTGTTCTCCAGAAAGCAATAAGCTGACATATATAATATTTTACATTTTAATACAACTGAAAAGATAATAAATGTTTTAATATAAAGTTGACGTAGTTATAAATGTTTTCAGCGTAAAATCAAAGCACAACCATATAATTAAAAACATTACGCTGGGATTCCAACTGGATACAACTGACGAGTTGTATTTAGGTGGCCTAAAGTGCTGCTTATTTTTTCGTGAAGCCACTCAGTAAAATTACGATTTCTCTGCACCCTGATGTTCAATCAACATCATTCGAGTATCTATATGTTCCTGACACGTTCGCGGGCATCCGGTTATGACAACGTCTACCCAATGTTTGCACGAGAAATTGACGTAATTCATGACTGAAATTGGGAAGACAAAAATATGTGATATTGTTTCATAATTGTTTATAATAACTATTTACAAAAACGTTCCCGAGACACAATCCATTTAGGTAGGGTTTGTTTTAAAGTCGAAAAGCCCCAATAAGACAATACAAACCCAGATTAAGGTTCAACTGGAAAGTAACATTTTGGTAAAAAATTGCTATATGTGCACATGTTATTTTCTGGTACAAAATTAAGTATGAAGGCATATGTGTATTTCCTTGCTTTTTTCAGGAAAGTATCATTACACTATCTTCTTTTAGAATATCTGGAAACAGGTCAATGGTAGCTCCTGTGTTGTCTGGAAACTTTGAAAGAAAATTTGGAAAAATAGAAAGTGTGAAATATCAGAATTTCCTGGAGTTCCCATTGAACGCCTACCAGACATTTTAAAAGAAGACAATGTAATGATACTTTCCTGAAAAAAGCAAGGAAATTGACACATGGCTTCATACTTTATTTTGTACCAGAAAATAACATGTGCAGGTATAGCAATTTTTTACCAAAATGTTACTTTCCAGCTGTACCTTAAACCCAGAAGAATGCAGATTTCATGTAATGATTTACGTTCATGTAAACAAGGAAAGTACATATAATCCCCATATAAAACACTGGCCTACGTGACATGTAAACACAGGTTCAAATTGAAATATAGAAAATTTTCAACAAAGCATTTGCTTCTGTGTTCTGTATGCCCCTCTACCTGCTTAATAAGGCAATGTATCTTCAAATAAAACCTTAGCCAAGTAGATAAGGGTCTCTGGAACACTTTTGTAAATAGTTTTCACAAGCAATTTTATTCCCGGACGCCCAAACGTGTCAGGAACACATATATATTTGAATGATCTTGATTGGACATCAGGTTGCAGAGAAATCGTATTTTTACTGAGTGGATTATTGAATTTCATAGATCTAGAGGCCCTTCAGGAGTGGAAAACCTTGAATTATCAGAGATTAATGTTTCCAAACTGTTTTGAAACAAACTAACGTCTTGTTTTCAACCTACACCTTGCTCCTTTCTGTCGTATTTAATAAAACAAAAATAGTATATCACGGAGGGATACGAACCACTCACCTGGGACTTGGGTTATTCACTAGCGCCATAGGCGTTCTACTATTCTGGATACAACTGACGAGTCGTATTTAAGTGGAGACAAAAGTGAGGATCATTTTGAATTGGCGCTCGGTATAAATATATAATACTTTTGTTCTTTCATATCGATAGCTCGTTGGCCTCATGGTTAGCGTGCCTGGCTTCCATTGTCTAGGTTAGTTGATCGAGACCCGTTCATGTCGAACTTTTTGATTTGCTTGTTGTCAAGATATAATAAGTAGGGCAAAATCCAGAAAAAGTAGATCAAAAATACTCCAATGGAGTATAAAATTGTCACCAGGATTCCGGAATGAGACGAATGTTAACTCGTGAAATCTCGGTAGATAAAGTAGGTCAGAAAATCCGGATTAATCCGAACAAGGTTCGGGAATTTCCGTCATAAGAAGTAGGTCAAAAATACTCCAATGGAGTATAAAATTGTCACCAGGATTCCGAAATACGACGAATCGAATCGGCAAACTTCGGTACAATAATGAAGTGCATAAAAATCGTGAAACAGGTGTCAGGGGCTTCCCCTCATCTTTCCATAAATGGTTCTAAAAGCCTTATATGGATCTATCACATGACATTCAAAATGACGTTCCTGTATGGTTCTATGGGCCTTATATGGATCTTTCGAACACGTGACCAAATCAAAATCAAAATCAAAATTTTACCTTGACCATTGGATGGGATTTCATAGAAAACATATTCTCGTGATCCTTAAATCACTTAAATTCGATCATTTTATCTCCACCCCTTGATGGAATTTTATGAAAGAAGTTATGAAAACACATCATCATGTAAGGGTTTTCACCTAAATTAGCTCGTTTTATCTTGACCCTTCAATTGAATTTCATTGAAAAATGTTTCATGAAAAATATCATCATGTTATGATTTGTATTTAAATAAGACCGTTTCATTTAAATACTTGCTGGATAATATTTCATAAAAAAATGCACTTTAAAAATATTTCAGGATTTGCCTTAATTTATCAATGTAATGTAAGTATTAGATTGACTCTCAAATAGGGTTCTATTTTAACTTTTTTATTGAAATTAATATTAGGCAGGACTCACTCTCTAAATAGCTAATAAAAATTCAACCCTTGGATGTGATTTCGTTGAAAAAAAAATATGACAAGTCCAGAATCAAATGATTTGTCCAGAACCTCTTAAGATCCTGTTGAAATAACTTTACACGTTTGTGCATCATTCAATTTCCTACCGGCCTACTATATTTCATGACCATCAGATTGATAGTCACTGTGTTACAGCACTTTAAAGAACATTCCCAATGGCCACTATTGCGGTATAGAGAAACCTGCACATGTCGTCCAAAATGTCCCTACCTATGGGGATATGGAAAATATAGAGTGTATAAAAATGACCTCAGGACAATTAAAGACCTCAAAAGTGAGATGATCTGTATCATTCAATGCCGATGAATGCATTTGGGTTAATGACAACTGGGCGGGTTTGCCTACAACCCGATGATGGCCAAAACTACGGCTTGTTGTTCAAAGTGTTTTAAAATCATTACTATCAGTCTGATGGTCATGAAATATAGTAGGGTAATAGGAAATTGAAGGATTTACAAATGTGTGAAAAATCAGGGAGTAATTTCTTAAAATGACAAAGATATGAGAAAAATGCAGGGTTTCTATTTTTTGACCACCCTGTATGTGGAAATATCCATACATTTTAAGAAAATAGAGTAATTATGAAGAAGAAGATGTAAAGTAAACGACGATCTGATAGTTGGGAAAGGTAAAAAGTCAAAATTTCCTCTGTAGCCCTTGTTGTATACAGTAAAAGCCTGAAGGCCAAATACATTGACATTGTAAACGAGAAAGGTTCCAAGTATTATGTTCGCCTTTGAACGAATCCGATGGCGAAATGGTCCGAGTGACGGAATTCCCTCATTCCGTTATCTCATTCGTTATTTTTACGATTCCTTATTGATGAAAAATTGTGAGCAATGGCCTCTTAATTCGCAACCTGTCACCAAAAACTTTTTAATGTCTTAGGGCCCTCTTCGAGGATCCGAAGTTAATTTGAATCTAGGTAGTTTGGTTACAACGGGGGTTGGCCCTAGACCTATCAGGTTTCTCTGTTTTATCAGGAGATGAAATTGGGATTATCGGAGAATCAACGGCATGATTTTTGAAAAGATTGCTACTAACATTTATTTACATTCTCCATATTCCTTCTTTTTTCTTTTAACCGACCATACTCTTCATTTCAAGGTTTAATGACTCACTGGCATGTAGCGGCCCTGATATCGATAAATTCTACACGCAATATAACCCGATTTTAGATGCTTGGTTAAAACTTTACACGAAAAAGCCTCGATATCCGGGCATTTACTCTTACACTGAACTGAAAATAGCATCGTCTAAACGTGTATGTCTTGGCTTCCGGGAAAGTTTATCAACATTTATACTCAATTGTAAGAGCAGTCGTGCTTATATCGTGTACCAGTTTGATTGTTTTATATGTGTGTGTATTTATAATATGATAGCCTAGTAATACCGTGTCGTTAGAACAAGTGCTAGATATCGAACTGATGACCTGAAATTAGATTATTGGACTGATCGCGCATCTGATATTAGATGATTAATTTGCATTGAATCTGATATTAACTTGCAACCCAATACCACAGTAAATACCATGACTTTACATTAGAATGATAACACGGCCTCAAATTCTAATTCATTATACGTCCATTGCAGGCCAAAAATGTTTCAATGTGGATATTGTAATGCACACGAGAATACATTCGATTCGTATATATTGATCATACATCAATTGAACATGGAGATTTTCCTGTACACTTTTCCCAAACATGTGGAATAGACTAGATGCGAGTAGAAATTATCTTGATTTATCCTATGCCAAGTAGGGTTTTAGGGAGATAAGTTGGTAAGATATATCCCGTATCCTGATTTTGAGGTTTCCATATCAAGAACCTCCATATCTCCCGTCATATCTCCCGCTTCGGTGCATATCTTCCCGCTTCGGGGCGTATCTTCCCGCTTCAAAAAAAGTGGAAATGCAATAAAATGACTTTGCATATGAATGATTTGTTTATTTTTTACACCTTGTACTACTGAAAACTCTACTTGGTATAGGATAAAGCAGTTATGTACGGTCGGTTTGGATATTGGGTTCATCCCTCGTGAGATATGCACATCTACTTTCTGTCCCTACGGTCCCTCAGGTAGATATGCATATCTCCCTCTGGAAAAACCCCATATCCAAAACCTCCCAGTACATAACCCTTATTTATCCCATGGTTACAAGGATATATATCGAATATCACGTGAAGATATAATTGATACGTGGATGAAGATATCATATTTTAGCAAACAATTCCCAAATCATCGAATATCACTTTTGAAACCATCGAATATCACTTATTGAAAGGTGATATTCGATGGTTTCAAAAGTGATATTTGATGGTTTCAAAGGTGATATTCGATGGCTTTGATTTTTTCAATTTTTTTTATTAATTCAGCAAAACGATTGTTTATATATTTATTATATATTTTTATTTTTTGGGATCTTGTTTTTACGGCGTTCGCATTAAATACACACCACTCTGTTACGTCACGTATATGACGTTCGTTGAATTATCGCAATCAAAATGTCAGACGAAATGGAATTTCCATTGCAATTTATCTGACTATTCAATGTTCACTGGATAATAATTCCCAATGGGATAAACGGACAATCCTATGGTTTTTCAAAAATATCACTTATATCCACTCATGGATATCAGTATCTTCACTCATTCGCTGCGCTCACTCGCGAAGATATCAATATCCACTCATGGATATAAGTGATATTTTTCAGAGCCATAGGATATTCCTACATTATTCCATAGTTAGCATGATATCCATAGGATAACATGTCAAAATAAAAACGGTATTTTTGAAATCAGTGGTAAAATATGATATTTTTGGCAAATTTTCACTTAACCATAGCATACGGTGTTTTAGCCATGACATACGGCGCCGTATGCCATGGTTTATGGATTTTTGCTACTTCAGACTCAAAACGAGGCTAAGTGTCAATATCGCCGTATCGTTTGGAAAATACGTTTTAAATCACTTAATTCCCGACGATTCTGATGATGACTTTAACTATGGAATATAAAGAACATCCTATGATTTACTCGTGATATGATTTTAATCCACTCATGGATGTTGATATCTGCACTCTCTCGCTACGCTCACTCGTGCAGATATCATATCCATTCGTGGATAAAGATCATATCACACATAAATCATAGGATATCCTCTATTTAAGATGTGATATTCGATAGTTTAAAAGTGATATTCGATGGTTTGTAAATTGTTTGCTAAAATATGATATCTTGATCCACATATCAAATATATCATCATGTGATATTCGATCTATATCCTCCTTGCAACCATGGGATAAAGCTTTACGTCCCGCTCCAAGCGGGCAGATATAGTATATCTGCCCGCTACGTCATAATCGCCGCTTGCATATTTGTTCATAATTTGTAACGTTCGCGGAATGACTGTAAACGGCAATGGAGAAAACACAGACAATCAGGGTCTGTTTGATAGTTAAAAAAAGGAAAGAGCATCCACTTAATCAATAAAAAATTCGAGAAAATAAATATGGGAATATTTGAGAGAACATGAAAATCCGCCCACGGCCAAGAAAACAAAACTGGACATGAATATTCTAAAATGTTTCCACGATTTAACAATGTGAACCAGATGACCAAGATTGGTATGGGATAAACATATTATCCTATAGTCGCGGTTCAGGATATTGGGATTATCCCTTGGCCAATATATAGGGGTTATGCAATTGGAGGTTTTGGATACAGGGAATATCCCGAGGGATATACAATATATCTTCCCGAGGGACCGAAGGGACCAAGGGAAGATATATTATATATCCCTCGGGATATTCCCTGTATCCAAAACCTCCAAGTGCATAACTGTTGTATATAGTTTACCATGATATGTACTTCTTCCTGTAACTGGAATACGATTCTAATATACAAGCAGCACATACGTATTCCCGGGGAACCATAAATATTTTGTGTAGGGTGTGGACATTTTTCTTTTCATTTCTCTAAAATCAGACTAAGCCTCTATTTTCGTATTCTGCATCTTAAGATATTTATAATGTAAAACCTAAGAGATAAATTCAATGTCTTCAGTTGAGAATAAGTGTAAGGTAAATGTGTGAATTTTGCTTGTTGTTGCACTATTTTTATAATAAACAAGGTTCGATACGCAACACTGAATAGACTGCAGTCATAGCTTAGTTGTAAAGAAAACAAAAGAAGCTGGGACGTGGTCATGCTTGAATACGATTTTAAATATATCGCCGTTTACATTTGTTGAAATCGGCCTGTATTAATTTCAACAGGTGATCGGTGTACAAGGGCATATATTTGAGTTATTGGTTTAACGATAAGTATGACCTATGAGTGGGTAATGTTTTACAAATGCATGAAACAAATACTCCAATGGCCTAATCTCAATTTTCCTGCATAAACTATTACATTGAAATGATGGTCATTTGCTCTCTAACTTCCGCACCGCATACGTAACTTCGTAACAATTCAATAAGCCAAGACAGGACCGCTATAATCGCTACATGCCAGTGATGACTGGTGCTAGAACATGTGGTTTGTTAGTGTATGAATGCTGTCAAAACATCCAACATTTACATTCTCTAGTATTCCCTCTAAATCTATTAACCCTACTATGGTTTTCATTTAAAGGTTTAATGACTGGTGCTAGAACGTGCGACTTGTTGGTGACAAATAAGAATAGCGCAAATACATCTGAAGTCAGCATTACATGGAGTCAAGCAAATTGTAAAGAAAATGTCACCGATACTTTCATCTGTGTAAAGATGAAAAATACAACATGTAAAGCACATTGGCCGTACTCGTGCGCCGGTTATCCCGCTCGCTACAAGGTGAATGAAGCTATAGATTGCCAAAATAAAGGGCTGTACACAATACCTACATATACATTCTGGTTCATATCGGAAGATGTAAGATACTTGTCTGCAGGCTTCAACAGAATAAGTTACATAGAAAATGGAATGTTTCATGGAATGCCAAATCTAGAAGAATTAATACTTCATAAGAATCATATACGCGAAATATCCTCGTTTGGATTTAAGGGGCTGGATAAACTCGAAATTCTTCATTTGTACTTAAACACCGAGCCCATGAAGTTGAAGAACAGATCATTTGGAGGTTTGCACAGACTTAAGTTCTTGAATATACACAGTCTAACAAGTTTGGAGTATCCAAATAACAGTAAAATATTTGAAGATTTAATTTCTCTGGAGAAACTCCACATGTGGGGATGGAATATGAAACATGAAGGAGACTTTTTTCTCCCTAATCCACACCTGTTACGTAGATTACGCATGGATCAACTACATGCACACACAATGCTGTTTAGAAACCCAACGAACTATAGTAACCTTGAGGAGCTTAGGTTTTCTAGCAATGATAGAATATTAGATGGACAATTTAATGGGTTAAACAAACTGAAAATTCTTAGTGTAAGATCCATGCAAATACTACGTCTAAATCCTGCCACGTTTGAAGGTCTTCAATCACTGAAATACCTGTTTATTGGGGATTGTAACATCAACACGATCGAGCAACACACATTTGCCAAACTTCAAAATATTGAGCGGATCATAATTTCACAAAAGGCATTGCCCAGATACCCACTAACATTATTTGAGGGACTTAAGAATTTGACTAGTGTTGAAAGTGATCATATGGAATTGTGCTGTATAGTTCCATCAACAGTGAAAGAGTGTATTCCACAGCCGGACCACCTTTCATCCTGTGAAGATCTGGTGAAGAACGACATACTCAGGGTGTCTCTGTGGACAATTGGTATATGTATACTACTTGGGAACTGTACAGTCATAGCAATTCGGTTCCGGGAAGACAGAACGAGGCAAAGTATTAACAAAATATTGGTAGTGAATCTATCATTATCGGATATGATAATGGGAGTATACATTATCATAATTGCTGTGATGGATATGAAATACAGAGACACCTTCTTTCAAAACCGGGAGGTCTGGACCAAAAGTGGCTTATGCATGGCTTCAGGATTTATTGCATCATTGTCAAGTGAAATGTCTGTGTACATCCTCGTTGTCATGACGCTTGACCGATTCCTCAAAATAGTGTTTCCCTTTAAAATGTGGTTACACTTTTCCAAGCGTGTTGTACTTTGTGTTCTCGTCTTTGGCTGGATTCTCTGTATAACCTTAACAGCTTTACCACTTCTCCCTCTTAATTACTTCAGCCCTCATGAATTCTACACGCAATCCGGCTTTTGCTTACCGCTAATGTTGAATTATGATTCTGCAAAAGAAGCCTTGTTTAACAAAGCCATGTTAAACCAACATGAAAGTACCGAATTGGAGGAAAACATTGCATTAGATAGACAAAACATGCAGCAACAATATTCCCATTTCAACGGTTGGGAGTATTCTTTCGCTCTTTTTAATGTTGTCAACCTTATCGCCTTTCTTCTTATAGCTGCTGGCTACTTGGCTATATTCTTTGCTACAAAGATCTCCAGATTAAAAACCAAACAATGCTCAGGACAGGAGAAAGAAAGGAAGATGGCGGCGAAATTGATGTGGATCGTAGCAACTGACTTCTGCTGCTGGGTTCCCGTAATAATCATGGGATTTCTAACCTATTACAAGGTACAGCTACCAGGTTGGTATTTTTATGTATACGAAGGGTGATTCAAAAGTCTTGGACGCCCTGCTCTAATTTTGTTGGTTTTTGATAAAATTACTTTCAACCTTCCAATAATAAAGACCCACAACTTAACTACTTTGTGTTTTAATTTCATGGTGAAATGATATAGTTTATGTAGTTTTCTCGAAAGTTATTAGTATAGTGACCCTGCCATCCGGAACGGTATTCGCACATGGCAATTTTCAGCCTTAAATGTTGCCGCTATTTGACTTGTTTTGCGAGGCTTGATTACTATATTTTCTTAAATTTTGAATGTTAAACCATGTTAGTTTACTTCACTCTTAAAAATGAATTACTTGATTATTTCCCAAGTTTTTCCCAAGTATAAAAATTACTTGAAGTTAAATACTTAGTTTTACTTCATTTTACTTAGGTTTAACTTATATTATCATTTTGAGTTTTTTAATTGCTTAATTATGTAAATGAGTATTTCAATTACTACCGTAAGTATTTCAATTTCTCTCCTTGCATTAGTAAATTCACCATAAATAAATTACTTAAAAATTACTTAAAAATTACTTAAAAATTATTCAGTAGTTCAAGATTATTTAAGTAATTTTTGACTTAAAATGAGTAGTACAATTTCTCAATATAAGGAAATCCAAGTAATAATTTTTTAGAGTGTTCCTTTGTTACTAGGCAACCAATTAATTCTGTTTTAATCATAATGTCACATATGACAATGACCGTATATGTCAAGATCTAAGAAAATGACATCAGACAATCAACCCTCATTCTGGTATCATTTTTGTTCCAAGATGGCTGCTGAAATGCAGAGCATGAAATAAATCAAAGTGAAACAAAGAATACTACAATATATTTTCACTATTATTGACCTTGAGCAACTACCATATGCACGATACAATCTAGATATGGCTCCGTGTGATTTTCTTTCTTTTCTCCAAGTTGAAAAGAGGGTTGAAAAAAAAAGTTTTTTACTCATTGGATGTGGTTAAGAGTGGCACTCCTGCAGTATTTGCATCACATAAGCAATGGCGGTTTCATAAATGTCTTTCATTGATTGGTAAAGCGGTATGAAAAATGTGTTCAAATTTGTGGAAAATATGTTGAAAAGTAGGTCTTAATATGTGAAGATGATAATGGCAGATGACACTCAGACTGAAAATCGGAATTTCTCTCATATCATGACTGGTGTTAGGTTGTGCACTTGCACCTAAAGTATTTGCCATATAATATTATAACAGTTGTGACGTGCTTTTTCATATTTAAATACCGTTCCGGGTAGCAAGGACCCGGTATCAAAAAATATTTAGAAACGTAGCTAAAATATATTATTTTCTGTTGAAACTTATTCACAAAGTTGTTAAGATGTTGATCTTTATTATCTGAAAGTTTCATGTAATTATATTAGAAAATAGCAAAGTTAGAGCGGGGCGTCCAAGACTTTTGGATCACCCCTCGTATTAGTACAAGAGCGCGTGTTCTTACATAACTTCGAGAGTTAAATATCATTTTGCTTGAGCAAAATAGAGCCTCTAAGTGCGCTCCTTAGTGATTTTTAATCACCTCTTCTGCACGTTGGAAAGCTGAGAGCGTCAGCTTTAGGAATCTAAATAATTAAACCCTGATTACATGATATTATTACATAAATGATGTGATCAAAGCAAGCATACACATACGTGTACTTTATAAATACAAACACATCATTCAATGCCCCTTGTGTCCTTGACGATGGATACGAGTATTCGAGACAGCTTTAAAAATTGTTCGGAAAAGTTGGTTGAGGTTACGATAATAGCAAATCAAAAAAATCATGTCAAACCCGCCGTTGACACACTTGTTGAAGTACACTAAATAAGTCGCATGATATTCTCGCATGCTATATATTCCCTTTAATACACTTAATTAGACGACTATCAATTTATCATAATACGTGGCTATGTTAGTCTTCAACATACTGTCCCGAGACACTGCATGGGATTTCGTCAATTCATTCGTTCAAAATAGAGTCATTGTTAAAATGTTAACAAAGACACAATTCACGTATTTAGTCCCTCGCTTTTCTTACACTGACGAACGACCAATATCAGTGTAATATTGGCAATATTAATGCCGATCGTCAGTGTAAGAAAAGCGAGGGACTAAATGCGTGAATTGTGTCTTTGTTAACATATAAAACCTAAAACCATCGACACATTCTCAAACTAGACTACCTTCCTTAACTTCGAGCCAAATTATTATCCACAACGTGACTTATAAGTAGGTGTAAATCGGGAAATAAAAAAATCTTACCGAAACCTAGTCCCGGAGGAAGTTCCGCCATGATACACCGACGATACGTCTGTGTAATTAGGTGGGTAGCAGTGATAACATCAATATGTGATTAATAAATAGATATAAGATGGTACAGCCTCTAGAGGTTGTAGACTCTAGTGTTTAATGGGTACATCCTCCAAAGTCTACAATGGGTAGAATATCCACAATCTAAGATTGATACAGCGTACAGGGTCTAAGTTGGTACATCTTCTTGAGTCTAAGATGTCAAGAATCACCATTTTGTCACATATAACACCGATATGTGATTAATTAATAGGTCAGGAAATGCTTAGACAGATGGGCGGGCAGACGAACAAACAGAGCAGTATTTCAAGAAACAGCATTATTAGTTGTGTTACCAGAGCAAACGCATATCAATATTATCCAAACCTGTATTTGTTAAAAAAGATCATACAGTTAAACAGTTCTTACGGATGAATGTAATAAACAATTAAGATTAACAAGGATTGCCTGAAATGACCTCTACCCCCGATTCACATACAATATGTTGTGTTACTATGGTTACCAATTGACAAAAGATATTTGGACTCACCATTCCATATAATTACATATGTATTAATGACCCTTGTAAATATGATTCTGTCAACATGAAATTATTTGGAATTGTAATAACAAAAAGTGCCACGCCCACTTTGTGGTAAATTGAGCAGTAGTTATCAAACATGAGCCAAATATGTCATCCTATTAACCTATTTATCATGCTATCTTGTTGTAAACTCTTTCAATATGTATTACGCTCAACTTTGTGTTCATTTTGAAAAATTAAAAATGACAAACTTAACGATCTGTTTGTAGGGAAACGGTAGATTTATCCTTAATATTTCCAATATTTTGCAATTAAGTTATGTTGCCATGGTAACCAATTGACCAATCAAGATCATTCTTTTCATGACAACTAACTATATATGGATGCATAATCCCTGAAAATTTGAATGTGATTGGAGGCACCCAACAGAAGATATAAATGCTTATCACCGTACCCCCTCATAAAATAAGACCAGGGGGTACAAATAGTGATTTTTTTCATGTCTTCCACTACTTAGATTTTTCTAGATTTTTGATATGTCTTTAAACTCATCAATATGCATTTGTTGCACTACGTTTAATAAGTACTGCATTTTTTCATTTATTTTTCGTGTTTTTAATGGAGTAGTTGAGTGGAATCAATTGATGGTAGGTGTGGTAGTTGTTGTTTTATATTACTATCACGTATCTGTCACACATTATAAAGTAGTGGTAAATATGCTTCTAGCGATCAAATAAATGCGATCCATGGCTGGAAATCTTGGATAACTCATCAATGTATGGCTATCCAAGAAAGAACACATTAATAAAAAGGCCGTACATTTAGTTTTACTTGTAGAACTACATGTACTTTACCATTTGTATTTTGGAATTATGTAATAGTATTGATAAGTATACTTATCAGGGCATATTTAAATAGATATTAAGGTCAAAAGGAAATGATGATACCTAATGCCAAGTCAATGGTGTTCATTCTCATGTTAGGGCAATTTGATGATTTGCATTCAGCTAATCTGGATTCAAACTCACAAATATTCTCTAAAATATTATTTGACATTGATCTTGTAATTGCAAACCAAAAAATAATCCATTCTAGCCATAGGGGTATTCGCCATTTTGAAATTGATTTTCATGAAATTAATAAATGCCCTTTGGTGATGAAAGGGTTAATATCTAATTTTGAATTCAGTGAAAATTAAAATGGAGGCTAGTTTCTTAAAGCTGACAATGTCAGCTTTACAATGATGTATGACAGCCTCAGTGCAGATGGGGTCTTTATATGACCTTTGTTTACTTTACTATATCGTTATTTTGATGCTAAATTATTCAGACGTCACAAAGCACATTATTCTTATAATCGTTTATCAACTTCTACCATGAAGACTTTAAAACGAACCTCAATTTTTGTAGAACTGGTCCAATAGTGTCACGATTAATGTTAATATTTTAAAGGAATATTCGTTGCCAGACCCTTTCTCTCTTGATATGGTAGCTATAATCATATACTAGTATATAGTTTCCATATTTAGCAAAACATGGGAAAATGTTTTAATATGGTCAATATTGATCATTTAAAAATCTAGTGCTTATTTCCAGTGAGCTGCCATCTTTTAAGATTTCTTGCAGGAAGTGATGTCATCAACTCTCAACTTCTATAACCTTGCCCATAACAGTATAGGAAAGTAGCTTCTAGACAAGTGATCATTACTTTCTGTGCAAAAAATATTTTCAGGGCTTGTCAACTTAGAATAAAAGAAGAGATTTTCAGAAGGATTAAATAAGATACAAAGTTGAAAAAGAATAGTTAGCTGGTTTTGTAATTCTTAATAGCTCCTCACCTATGCTATATGCAAAGTTGAGAGTCGATGACATCACTTCCTGTGTGAAATTTTAAAAGATGGCAGCTTACTGGAATTGAGCATCACATTTCTAAGTGATCAAATTTGACCATATCAAAACATTTTTGCGTGTTTTGCTAAACATGACAAGCATATATATGGTTATAGCTACCATATGAGGAGAGAGATGGTTTGGCAAGGAATATTCCTTTAAGGATCTCAAAAAGTGGAAATGTTTTTATGAATAGAAATACTTTTAGCTGGAATAGGATCAGTATTTTGACTAAAGAGAAGGAAAGCACAGCAGACATAAAAATGTCGAAAGTGCATTTAACAACAATATATGAAAATGAAATAAGCATTGTTTTCTTATAATAATTATTCATTTCAGGAGAAATTGTTGCATATGTCAGTATATTTGTGTTGCCAATCAACAGCGCTATCAACCCAATACTCTACACATTTAGCACACTTCCCTTGAACGTACTACGGCTAAAATGCAAGTGTAGATCAGCACCTGAGCCAACACAGACGCCAAACCCAACTTCAACAAATGATTCAGTTATAGCAGCCACAACAAGCACTAAACGTTGAGTGTTAAGATCGAAGAAATAGAACTATCAAAGGAAACGAGGTGATGAATAATGAATACCAGCATGTAACAATTGTGTGGATATCCTAACGATCGAACTATCAGTCTTAAGAAACAAAGCTGATGAATTATGAACAATAGAATGTAATATTTGTGTATATATCTAAGTGAATGAGCTTTCAGTCAAAAAGGGATGTATTATGGACACTAGGATTTACCATTTGTGTATGTATCCAAGTGATTGAACCATGAGTTAAATGAAACGAGGTGATGAATTATGAACACTGGCATGTACAATTTTTGTATATATCTAAGCGATTGAACTATCAGCAAAAATAAACGAGGTGATTAATTATGAAAACCCGGATGTAACATTTATGTACATATCCAAGCAATTAACATGTAACATTTGTTTAACAGACACGTTAGTGAAAAGAAACTAGGTGATGAATTATGAACATTAGCCTGTGACATTTGTGTATTTATCCAAGTGATTGAACTATCAGTACAAAGACACGAGGTGATGAATTATGAATACTAGCATGTAACACTTATGCATATATCCAAGTGATTGAACTATCAGTTCAAAGACACGAGGTGATGAATTATGAACTCTAGCCTGTGACATTTGTGTATTTATCCAACTGATTGAACTATCAAATGAAACGAGATGATGACTTATAAACACGAGCATGTAAACTTTGTGTATATTTCCAATTGATAAAACTATTAAATGATATGAGGTGATGAATTGTGAACGCCAGAGTGGTCAGTCAAAATAAATGAAGTGATGAATTATAAATACTTGCATATAACACTTGCAACTTTTTAAAGGGCTAGAAAAGTATCATAACATTATGGTATTGACATGAAGTTTTGTACAGAAACTTAAGGAGAGGCATAATTTACCATTCAAATATTTAAACTAACACTGACTTAACTTTCTTCGTCAGATCTTTGAATATCAATGGTAAATTGTTCATGTGTCTGATATTTACCGTTTTTTCTCCTACAAAAACGTGACTTTCTATGATTTAGGTAGGGTAGTGTGATGATATACAGTGTGTCACACAAAAATACCATGCACCCACATAATGTTGCATAATATTTTTTGTCGGCATAAATTCTTACTTGTTATTGAACTCCATTCACTCCATTCATAAACTGCATTTTTGTGGATTAAACTGCAATAATAGAGGCAACTTAATAAACAGAAAAACGTTCCAGTTTGTATTGGCCCAACCTGTAGAACCTTTCGCACGGGGATGAGAGCGGAACTGGTCAATGGTGCGCTCAAGCAATATTTGTGGAAGTTCTCTCCTCTTCTCCTGCAGAAGCTACTCATGATGCCCCCATCTGCTATCACCGGGCTTTGCGTCTGGTGTATTGGGCGACCATTCATCAGGACTAATGAATCGAGGGATATTCTCCAACAGATATTCCAAAGTGACTTTTACCCGATGGCTCAGAGCGTTATCCTGCTAGAATATGTAATCACCTGGGGCTGAGAGAGCCCTCACTCTTGGCGGATGTCCCTTTTGAAGAACATTTTTGTCCGGTTCAATCTAGTGAACATAATGAATGTGTTACCGCTGGTCGTATAAAATCATAGAAAGTCACATTTTCTAGAAAACGTTGAATCTTAAACACATGGACAATTTACCATTGATATTCAAAGATCTTTGGATTATGTTTTTTTCCCGTTAGTGCAATTGATTATTATAAATTTGATAAAAAGGTTGCATGTAGAGGTGTCATATACTGTAAAAGTTGAACGTGACTTCAAAAGTAGGCCTACCTAAACCTCTTTAGTGGGAATATTTCAAATCGGAATATATTCATAATATGTGTCATCATCATGTATTTGATAAAATCCTAGAATATTAAAAAGTAAAGAGATTAAAACATCCTTAATGTTGTCCATCTTCTGTTTTGTATTTTTGTACCTCTTCTAAACACAATTTACAATTGTGAGTAAGTATTAGTTAAATTAGTAAATGGAAATAATGATCTACTTGTTTTCTGGGCTTTGCTGAAAAGACCAAGTCATTATTTCGAAAGGGGACATGCCATTAAGAGGCCATTATCTGACTTAGTCATTTTTTCAAAAGTGTGAAAATAAAAAAATTCATGAAAAGTTCTTAAAATATTCTGAATAACAAGTTGAATATATATATTTAATGATGGTACAAGCAAAAGTCTGAAAATGAACATGAAATGAAGGGTTTTGACAGATGCAAAAGATGGTAGATTTGTGATGAAGAAATAGAGGTTTTTGCAGTAACAACACAATTACCTCGAAGTTATCCGTTATGAGAGGCTGAGGACTAAACTTGACATAATTTTCAATCTCAGATTATCAGTAGTATCTAACTTAAGCCGGACAGCCACTCGAAATGTATATGGAGCCCATAAGATTCATTTTTCTCAATTGAAGTCACTATTTCTGTTTTTAGCTTCAGAGGATAGGAGGTACATGCTAAGTTTACCTAGATCACAAGCCTTACCACAAATATAAAGTATATAGGAATAGAGTTGATATGTGTGAAAACCTTAAACTTCCCATTTTATTGGGGATGGAACTTGTGGACCATGTGTATTTCTAACTTCTTCACATGTGCATGGATCTAAAATTGTGGCAGCCATCTTGGATTTGTCATATTATGTGGACATGGTTTTGGTTGTGCTGAATTTGTTTCAAAATAACATTTCTTGTATACCTTCGATAAGTGAGATAGGCATTTGAAATTTAATACAGATAGTATACTTGACATTTAATGCAGTAAACAGTAATACAATTCATTCTTACATAATAAGTGAGTCCAGACAAAAAGTTGTTATTGTGTTAGTTTAACTGGGCATAAATTACACTCATTGGTCTTGGTTTTCTTAATTGGCTTGGATAAAATGTTGTTCTGTTTATTCAGAAAAGGAGTATAGTTCAATATACAAGTTCACATTTGTTCCATCCTCTTGTAGAAATGAATCTCATATTATTCCATCTCAAATATAGAACACAAAAATATAATGAAAAAACAAGTTTCTATTAATTGCATAAGTTAGCTTCTATGTCATGACTGAGTTTGGGTTCCGCTTCTAGGGAAAATTTATCCATCTGGAAATATCGTATTGACCATTGCTATTAGTGGGCTGTATAGCAAGGTTGGTCGGGGTCGGGAGCTGGGGATAATTTTATTGCTTAAATATAACCATATCATCATCCTACATTAGAATCCACTCAGTCTAACATCAATTTCTGGTGCGAAAGTTGTCATTTTTGAGTTTTACCCCCCTTGACAACAAATTCTTTGGGGTACTATGACAAATGCTTATAACTAAAGGAGTATTTATTTGATCATCTTCATTTTTGGCATGGGTAATGAACAGGTATGTAAAAGTAAAATTTGAAAAATTCATACAAATCGGTTGATTAATCCATTCTAAAGATAATAATTCAGGTATTTTCAAGGGTCAATTTCAACATTTTCTGAATGTCGCCATGAAGTAAAAATGACATTATGACCCAATGACATATTTATTGAATGTTTTTAGGCTTTAGAAAATAATTTGACTATATAAGCTAAGATAATAACATAAGAATTGTACAATATTGATAATTCTTCATCGTCATCCAGGCACAAATAAACTCCCCCCTCCCCCATTTTCGAATATAAAGGTCTATACCTGAAACTTCCTCAAATAGCTATATTTCAGAAACTATTATTGCCTACATTCCAGAATTTCTCATGGTGATTATACACATCATACTCTGCATAATGGACATATAATTGAGATTTATCCATTCTTTATCTAATAATTAAGGTATTTTCAAGGTTCAATTTCAGCATTTTCGGAATGTCGCCATGAAGTAAAAATTACATGACCCAATGACATATTTATTAAATGTTTTTAGGCTTTAGAAAATAATTTGACTATATAAGCTAAGATAATAACATAAGAAATGTACAATATTGATAATTCTTCATCGCCATCCAGGGATAAATACCCCCCCCCCATTTGCGAAAAGAGAGGTTTTTACCTGAAACTTTCTCAAATAGCTTTATTTCAGAAACTATTACAGCCTCCGTTCCAAAATTTCTCATGTTGATTATACACATCAAAAGCTGCATATTATACATATAATTGAAGTCTTAACACTTTTTTGAGGGTGTAGCTAAGAATAATAGTATATTTATTAGACATCTTAGAAATCAAAATATATGTTTTAGAAGGTTGTCACAACACTACAAGAGAGATATTTTGGATTGTCATCATTTTTGAAAATATTACAAAAACATATTTATATAATGCAATAATCACCTATTTTCATTTGACATAATTGAAATATATTATCCATCTAGTTTAAATGATTTCAGTATATGCATTTAATCCTGAGATGCACTTAGGTTTGACATTCATGAAGTAATCGTTTCTTTTTTGTTTGTAATTAAATTTCTAAGCATAAAACTAGAAGTATTAAATCTGTATGCTTTAGGATATACATAATCAATACCGATGACTAAACATTCAATTGACAACATTCAGTCTTTTTTTTTTTTTTTTTTTTTTTAAAACATTTATTTTCTTTTAAAATTAACTTACAATTATACATTAACATCAATCATACAAAATAAACATACATTTCTACACATTTAATATCTTTTGTTTATGAAACTCACTTTTTATATTGCCTAAATAGTTGTGGTAGTTGAAAATTTGGATTGTTTTTCTGGCAATGAGAACATCTTTATAATTTGAACATGTTTGAAGACCTAAAATTTGTTCATCTGTCAAATTGAAATTATTCCAAATATCTTTGACTTTATTACATTTAATAAAATGATGTACAATAGTGTCATTTACTCCACAATGGTCACATAAAGGAGAATTTTTAATTTTTAACTTGAACAGGACCGAATTACAAGGATAAATATTGTGAAGTGATTTCCAATGTAAAATACGGAGCACATTTTCATTGGTACAATTATGAGCTCGTAACCAAGAGCTTTTATCAATTTTTACATTATTCATTAAAACATCCACATTTCTGCGTTTAACAAATTCATTTCTAAAATCTGAACTGGTACATTGTATAATGTCTTTACCCATAAAATTCATTTTAACTTCATTAATATTGATATTTTCAACAATAATCTTTTTGCTAATATTGGCTTTTAAGCCTATGTACTGAATTAGGGTTGTTGCATTTTTTCCAATGATATGAGACAATTGTTCATATGGCATTATTTCATTATTAATACAGATGTCTTTTAAAAAGTTAATGCCCTTTTTAATCCAATTTTTTAAACAAACTGTTTTTCCACTTATTTTGATAAGGTTATTGTTCCAAAGAATTGAATTATCAATGTTAGCTTGAGCTTTGTACTTCTGCCAGCATCCTAGCATTTTGTCGTAGAATTCTGGCAGTTCAGAATTGTTAATGTCACCGTTACAATTAAAAATAGTTAAATTACATGCATAGATGTTACAATAATATGTAGGCAGACACCGCCAGTGTCCCTTTCCTGGTACAAACAACAATTTTATCCACTTAAAAATGAAAGCAATCTGCATGTCAAACATATTTAACATTTTTAAGCCACCTTTGTCATAATTTTGAACCAGTACGTTGCGCTTTACTTTTTCAGGTATATACTTCAACTCTTATTCCTTGTATTTGCCTTTAGCCCAGATGAATTAAAAAAACAATGTGTTTATTCTTTTTAACATAGTGTCAGAGAGAATAAAACTTTGCATTAAATATAAAAACTGTGATGCTAGCAGGGCTTTTACCAATGTGACCCTACCATACATTGTTAAGTTTCTCATGGACCACATTTTCATTATGAGTTCACATCTAGCAAATCGTGGTTCTAAATTCTCTCTTATTTCTGTAACTTTTTGAGTAGTGCTATACAAAATACCTAAAATTTTAACATTGTTACTTGGAAATAATTTCCATTTTACATTTCCTATTGTATAATTGTTGAACTTCCATTTACCTAGCCATAGTGCCTCAGTTTTATCTTTGTTCATCTTTAAACCTGATATAAGCGAAAATTCATCAACAAGATTCAAGACGCACTTGAAGGAGTTGACATCTCTTACAAAAATGGTGGTGTCATCTGCATATTGCAGAATTTTGACCTCATCATGTGGCAAGCGTACCCCATTAATGTTTTTATCATGCCTTACTTTGCAAGAAAAAAGCTCTGCCGCTATAATATACAGGAGCGGAGATAGGGGGCACCCCTGCTTTATACCTCGCTCTAATAAAATTTCACCATTTAACCAACCATTGTAATTAATGTAACTAATACAATTATTGTTTAAAGTTTTGGTCCATTGTATAAAGGATTGCCCAAATCCAAAAATTGATAGGGAATCATACATGAATTCTTTAGAAATACTATCGTACGCTTTAATGCAATCTATTGCCAAAAGAATACCATGCTCTTGCTCATCATCAAGATAATTTATTACATCATCAATAGTTCTCAATATTAGGCTACTCGATCTTTGGGGAATGTATCCACATTGATCTTCATGTACAATTTTCGCCACAACAACTTTTAACCTATTGGCTAACACCTTGGCTGCTATCTTGTAATCAACATTTGTTAAAGTGAGGGGTCTCCAGTTTTTTAGAACATTTCGAGGCAAGTTTTTCTTAGGGAGTAAAGTTATAAGACCTTCGCGCTGGGTACAAGATAAAAAACCCTTATTGTATCCATCATTCAGTGACAGAGTTACAAAAACACATATTTTAGACCAAAACACTTTATAAAATGCTGCAGTTAAACCATCCAGACCTGGGCTAGAATTGTTTTTCATTGTTTTTAAGGCAAACATACAATCTTCATTAGTAATCAAGCCATCACAAAAATCAGAGTCAGATTTATCTAACTTAGGAACTGGAACATCCTTTAAAAAATCATCTAAAATAGCCCTTCTATAAATCTTACGATCTGAATACAATTCTTGATAAAATTTCACTTGTTCTTTTATGATAACATTTTGATCATTAGTCAATGTACCATTGGATAATTTTAAAGATGTCATAACTTTACTTTTCATTCTTGCAGTTTCTAATTGTAAAAAATATTTATTACTCCTTTCCCCTTTTTCTGCCCACACAGCCTTAGAACGTACAAAGGAGCCATGTGTTTTAGAAGCAGAGAGGAGATCAAACTGTGCCCTAGCTTGATTTACATTTTGATTAAACTGAACATTACTAGGATCATAACATAACTTTTTACAGGCATTTGTCAACTTTACTCGTGCAGAAAATAATTGGTCTCTGTTATCTTTAGCAAGTTGTTTACCATAACCAATAGAATAGGATTTGATTTTTGATTTTAAGCAATCCCATTTTATCTGAGGGTCAACATTTGCCTGTGCCTGTGCATCATCAATTATCTTGTTTACATTATTTAAATACTCTGGGTGCTGTAAAAAACTGTTATTTAATTTCCAGTAAGAAGGACCCTTGTTCTTCTTAGAGGAATCCAAGCACATCAAATAGCCCCTATGGTCTGAGTTGGGAATACTTAAAATTTCAATATTAGTCACCTTGTTAAAACAAAGATCATTTGTAAAAACATAATCTATACGACGCAAAATAGGTTTATTCTTATGCTTCCAAGTATATTCCTTCTCATTTGCATGAAACAATCGCCATACATCACAAAAATCTAATGAGCTATGCATATTATTGAAACCTTTAATCTCAGCCTGAATGTGTTTTTTACCCCCAAGATTATCCAATGCTGGATTTAATACACAATTCATATCACCAGCTAAAATCAAATTAATATCATCAGTTACATAGTATTTCTGTACAGTTTGAGTTATTTCAGTGTAAAAATGTATCTTATCAGCATTGTTACTTGGAGCATATACATTGAAACATAGATACTGCTCACTGTCATGTTTAAATTTTACACCAAATAATCGATCGTCTTTGTGACATATTTCAAAATCTACAATATCAAAAGACTTGTTCACTATAATTAATTCACCTCTACTATGTGGAGTGCCACAGTTGGCATATATTTTAGATCCCCAATCAATACTCCACTCTTCAATAAGTTGTTCTGTTATATAACTTTCTTGCACAAAAGCTAAGTCACACTTGTTTTCTTTTAAAAACTGAAAAAAAGTATGACGGGTCAATTTCCGACGTAGTCCTTGAACATTTCCACTAAAGATCGTTACCATAATTATCTAAAGGTTAATGCATAATACATATTAACCATTATCACTTAAGTCATCGACTTTGTTTCTTTTATCCTCCACACTTTCAGCTAAAGGGCTGACTAAGTCACGTGACCTTTTTTTTGACAAACACATGTTTGTCCAATGTTTTTTGATTTGGAGTTAGAGGTGGTTTTGATTTTTTCTTAGAGTTTTTTTTCACTATTGTACGTTTGCCAACAATATCACTATCGTCACATGAGAGCTGAGAACCACAGCTTTTAACAGAATCATGATCCAAACTAGATTGCTGTGATCCACAGTTCAATATGTCACCACTACCACAGGGATTGGATTTGGCTGGTTCACAATTAGATATAATCTGAGGTGACCCCTCATTGGTTGGAGCATCGATAGGCTTCACACTATCTGGAGGTGATGTGCTACTTAATATATTATGAGATGGCCCCTCATTCGTTTGAACGTCATTAGACTTCACACAAGCTGGAGGTGACGTGATACTTGATGGTTCTTGATTATGGGCAGATAAGAAAACATCAACCTTATCAAGCAGTTTTTCCTCAAGGATCTGCACATCATCGGATGAGTCTTGCATCGCAAGATCTAGAAGCTCCCTGACAAGCTTTGGGGCAGATATACCAACATTTTCCTGTATCTCTACGTCTGAGGTTGTGGAATCAGAAGGCTTATTGTGCAAATGGGATTTTTGACAATCCTGAGAGTTTCTTTTGTGACCGGGGACACCACAATCCCAACATAGCTGAGGGGGTTTATCCCTGGAATAAGGGCAGTCCTTTTTCCTGTGGTCAGTCTTACCACATTGAAAACAAGCTTGTTGAGGCCGTTCTGTCATAGGGCAATCCATTTTTCGGTGCCCCTGTTCCCCGCAACGAAAACACCGTACTCCACCTTTATTAGGACACTCGTGAGTTTCGTGATCCAAATTGAAGCACAGTTTACAGTTGATAGGCTGGTTGTCATAGTATAACGTAACGGTAAAGTCTATTAACTTAGAAGAATCAAGTGGGCTAGGCATTCCATGTGATGAATATCTCGGTTGGTCGACATTAATTTTGCTCGCATAGCAAAATCGATGCAGTCGTGTGATAATCCTCCAATGAGAATTGCTTGTCTTGAAATGACAGAAATCCCATTGACAAAATAGTATCTTTTGTTTTAGAACCATTCGTGTATATGATGTATTCTTTGTCATAATACTGGATTCCTAGAATATCCTTACTTGAAATATGATCTCCTATCCTTGATTTGACATTGCTTGTTATTGCAATGGCCAAATCAACTTCAGTTGTGCGAGTCATTCCTCGAGATTCTAACCTGATCCAGTTTTTTGTATCCTGAACAATTTCCATATTGTTCATTATTATAGTATGCTGCTGTTTTCACAATATGTGTCATTCAGTCAATATGCTTGACAACATTCAATAATGATTAATATGTTCGACCAATATGTTTTTGAATAACTTCACCAATACACTTTGCTTGAGTATTCACTTCAACATTTGCTTCAAGTAGTTGAACATTGTTAGTTATCAACATCACCTGAAAAGATTTTTTCTATGAAATTGTTAACTTCATTATCTGTCATATCATCATCAATTTCGTCATCTGATTCTTCATTATAAATGTCTACCAACTCTTGCAGAAGAATGGCATATGGATTTTCAAGTTCGCCATTTTCGAGGATCCATCCATTTTCTGCTGGAACAAGGGATGACCTGCATGGGAGAAGGAGACTGATGTCTACCCCATCATAGTTGTTGATAGAGGCTTGAGGTTGAAATCTGTTCGCAAAATTTATGTAATTTTTCGAGTTCCTGAAGATGCCTTTGGTCAAGAACTATAGATTTTCCAAGTTCTTGAAAGATTGCATGCATGTCCTCCCTCTTGATCAGCTATTTCAGGGGGTTTATTTTTCCCTTTCTCATGAAGGCACTGGTGGTATCACACCCTGTAAAACAGTGGATATCGATCAGGGTGGCTGTGGTTGGATCACCCAAACCTGCTGCAACTGTCTTCACATAAATGAGGCGCCTCTTGTTTGAAACTCCAGTGTCAAACAGTACTTTGAGAAGTAGGTGTTTGCTGTAATGTAGCAGGAGTATGAGTACATATGTGTCTGGAGATCTGACAAGTATAGTATGTATATCCTTATTATCCTAAAGCATACAGATTTAATGCTTGTAGTTTTATGCTTAGAAACTAAATTACAAACAAAAAAGAAACGATTACTTTATGGATATCAAACCTAAGTGCATCTCAGGATTAAATGCATATACTGAAATCATTAAAACTAGCTGGATAATATATTTCAATTATGTCAAATGAAAATAGGTGATTATTGCATAATATGAATATGTTTTTGCAATATTTTCAAAAATGATGACAATCCAATATATCTCTCTTGTAGTGTTGTGACAAACTTCTAAAACATATAAGTGTTAAGACTTCAATTATATGTATAATATGCAGATTTTGATGTGTATAATCAACATGAGAAATTTTGGAATGGAGGCTGTAAAAGTTTCTGAAATATAGCTATTTGAGAAAGTTTCAGGTAAAAACCTTTCTTTTCCCAAATGGGGAGGGGGGTATTTATCCCTGGATGGCGATGACGAAATATCAATATTGTACAATTCTTATGTTATTATCTTAGCTTAAATAGTCAAATTATTTTCTAAAGACTAAAACCATTTAATAAATATGTCATTGGGTCATGTAATTTTACCTTTATGGCGACATTCCGAAAATGCTGAAATTGAACCTTGAAAATACCTTAATTATTAGATATAGAATGGATAAATCTCAATTTTATGTCTATTATGCAGAGTATGATGTGTATAATCACCATGAGAAATTTTGGAATGTAGGCTGTAATAGTTTCTGGAATATAGCTATTTGAGGAAGTTTCAGGTTTAGACCTTTATATTCGAAAATGGGGGAGGGGGGAGTTTATTTGTGCCTGGATGGCGATGAAGAATTATCAATATGGTACAATTCTTATGTTATTATCTTAGCTTATATAGTCAAATTATTTTCTAAAGCCTAAAAACATTCAATAAATATGTCATTGGGTCATAATGTCATTTTTACTTCATGGCGACATTCAGAAAATGTTGAAATTGACCCTTGAAAATACCTGAATTATTATCTTTAGAATGGATTAATCAACCGATTTGTATGAATTTTTCAAGTTTTACTTTTACATACCTGTTCATTAGCCATGCCAAAAATGAAGATGATCAAATAAATACTTCTTTAGTTATAAGCATTTGTCATAGTACCCCCAAGAATTTGTTGTCAAGGGGGGTAAAACTCAAAAATGACAACTTTCCCACCAGAAATTGATGTTAGACTGAGTGGATTCTAATGTAGGATGATGATATGGTTATATTTAAGCAATAAAATTATCCCCAGCTCCCGACCCCGACCAACCTTGCTATACAGCCCACTATATACACTCCATATTTAATCCTCCCAGTAAATAACATTGATATACAGTATATAGAGATTATCCTATATGATGTTCAGGATATTGGGATTATCCCAAGGCAAATATAATATATTTGCCCGAGGGCCGCAGGTCCCGAGGGAAAATATGTTATATTGGCCAAGGGATAATCCCAATATCCTGAACCGACTATAGGATAATATGTTTATCCCATACCAATCTTGGTCATCCGGTACACATTGTTCAATCGTGGAAATATTTTAGAATATTCATGTCCAGTTTTGTTTTCTTGGCCGTGACCGATTTTCCTGTTCTCTCAAATATTCCCACATTTATTTTCTCGAATATCTTATTGATTAAGTGGAATGTTCCTTCCCTTTTTTTAAACCATCAAACAGATCCCGATTATCTGTGTTTTCTCCATTGTCGTTTACAGTCATTACGCGAACGTTACAAATTATGAACAAATATGCGAGCGGCGATTATGACGTAGCGGTCAGATATACTATATCTGCCCGCTCGGAGCGGGACGTAAAGCTATATCTGCCCGCTGATGAAAATATAAGTTTTTACAAACCGGCTTTATGTACCTATAACACGTCCAAGTATGGGATAAACAAGTATATATGACATCGAGGATCTGGGGTTTAGGTAATGTGAGACATGAGGCCACTTGACTTTTTGAATCTCATATTCAATATTCTTTCTTTAAATCCACATATTTAATATTTTTGGAGTGGAAATTCAATTATGTACCTATTTTTTATTCTTTATCCCATAGTTGAACTCTGTTCCACTCTGTTAGGTAACATGAAAACATATTTATGATATTCTGCAAATGCGTGGAAAAAGTGATATCTGTGGAATACGGAAAATATTTCACAGATATCACCTTTTGGCAGGGATTTGAAAACTACCACCAATATGATGTGTTTTGTTACATAGTGATTTCATGACATCATGGGGAAGAATGAATGAATGGATGTTGTTTTGATATGCTTTGTTTAGTTTTAGAGGTGAACTATGGGAAAAATAGAACATCCTATGAACTCATTGATATCAATATCTGCGCTAATTCGCTATGCTAACTTGGCAAGATATTGACATCAACTCGTAGATAAAGATAAAATCATTTAAAATCATATGATATCCTATACATATCCTTTACTGTGCCACAACTTTCTCATATGTTATATATTTTGGCACAGGCCATCATTTATTTTCCTTGAATTCATGCTTTTGTTCCTCGTTTTAGAAATGAGAAGATCTTTGATTTTCCTTGTATTTAAGTTGCTTAAATGTTGCCCTGTGATGTTGATAAAAGTCAATAGTAATCCATTACAGTCACAGTTGAAATGTACGGATTGCTAGCCCAGAATCTACCAAAATAGCATTTGCATTTTGTCAATATTGCCCTATGTGCTTTTCCATGAAAACAATTTTAATCGTATCTTTTCTTCAGTATTTCATATATTACATTTTAATATATTTAAATTGGTTAATATTTATATACTATTTACTTAGACAACAATAAATAAAGATTTTTTTGTAAAAACACCAACAATTGTATATGATCTTTAAATGAATGTTGTGTGAACATCAAAGGTCAAAATTCGCTGAAATTGTTTTTTTTATAAAGCACAAATGATTTTTCTTAAATATGATATGCATTATTATCAGATATCTTTGGGGGCTAAAAAAGGCCCTTAATGACACCCGTCCTTTTAAGTTTTACCACTTGAGATACTGAAGGATGTAGGAATGGTATAATAAATTTGCAATGAACTCACACTTTTTTCACTTGGTACCTTTTGAGGTGGATCCCGGCTATGGCATTAATGGTTGAGAAATAGGGATCGAAACCAGCCATAGTTTTCTCCTCATGACCATTGTGAATTGTTGTGTTTTATGGATTATGATGACGACTTTGCGAACAGATGTTGACCCTTTGAATTGCCTATGGACTTCATCTTTTATGAGTACTAGTATCTACAACTATTTTTGATGTTATGAGTATTGGCTATCAATTTTTTAAATTTTACTTCAACATGTATTGTAATGACTTCAGTATGAATGAAATGTCCCTTGGTGTTCTGGTTTTGGATTTTGATATTGGTCCTCGATTGGAGAGGGGATACGGATGTTAGACATTGTTTCTCTTCACGTTAGATCATGGTTTGGGATATATAGGGTCTACTTTTCTTATGACAGATTTACACTTACAGTTTGCTTTTCTTGTTGTTTTTTAGTCACCCTTCCCTTTGACATTTGTGCTTATATATTCATGTTTGTGTTAAATATGCTATTGCAAGGGACCCAATTCTATATTATATTATCTTAGTTAATGAAATTAGTTAATGAAAACGAAGAATGAAATCTGAAGGGCTGAGGTGGAAATGTCAGTCTACCCCAGTGGGGATCGAACCCACATATTATAAAATATTTATTACATTATAGCGTATCGTTTCATATCATATCAATCATATTATATATATTACATTTTATACACTTTATATTGTAGATTTTTTTGATTTCGTGTCTTGCAAAACGAGACAATCGTTAGAAACTGTACACTGAATGTAATTGCATCATTTGTTTAAACATGTCGTTTTGGTACTCACTTTTCATATAAGTTTTTGCATTGGCAAATTAAACTCGTCATTGATTGTGAGTGAACAATTGAGATTAAAGAAAGTAAGACAGATCTGCTTTGATTGTGCTTAGTTGACTGTATCTCAATAAAATAAAGTTTCTTGATTGTTTCTACTTATAGTTCACTATAGTTTCTACTTACGGTATTCTTCCATTATTCTTGACTCGTCATGAAAATAGTTCTTGATTGTGTTTAAGCAATTATGCCCGTGACACATTGTGGCCCAAGAAGGAATGACAGTTCTCAATTGTGCCTCAGGGAGGAAAGATAGTCTTTGATTTTTCTTTAGATGTGAAGGAACGATAGTCTTAGATTATTCGTGACTCGTTGTTGCTTGATATCGAATGTTAGTTCTCAATTGTTCTTGCCTGATTGTACCTCAGGATTTGAAAGAATGGTAGTCTTTCTTGACTCTAATATCAAATGATAGTTCTCAATTGTGCTTGTCTGATTGAGCTTTAGGAACGATAGTGTGAAATGTGTGAATAGTTCTTCTTCAAATGTTTGTAATTAAATTCAAGAATCTCTAGTCACATAGTGTTTCCTGAACCCCATTTTGGCATTTTCACATGACTTAATTTTGAATTTAATTCCATTTTGTATTCCGAGTGGTCCATGATTTTTGGTAATTTGTGTTGGTTGCACAAACTGCCCATTCACTGATTAAAAACCTAAGTATGCTGATCATAAAACCAGTTTTACTCATGCAAAATAATGATTAGAAGTGCAGTTTTAGATGCAATGATATATAATTGAATGCATTACCATGATTAGTTCTAGCTGCAATCGTAAATAGGCAGGATACTGTCCTGAGTCACAGATATATAAAAGTCCACACAGTACATATTACAAATACATTTATATGCGCAGTAGATTAAACAATTTAAATGTCTACTCAAGCAGTGGAATCTTTTTCAAGACTGCATTAACTTTTAACAATGCGAAAAAGACTGATAATGTCACTGTCAAATATTAATTATCAAAGGTTTCTTTTGTTTTGGCGATTTTGATACTATTCGTTTGAGGTCTTGGACTAAGATTATTTTGAATATATGAGAAAAGCCTTTTTACCATCGGAGAGAACATATTCGATAGCCAAGACTACGAGATCTGGTGAGTACATTTTCGAAAAGTCAAGCAATAAAATAAACAATTCGGTAAAGGACTGGTTGCAGTTTGGTGAACTTAATTCAACATTGTTTTCTTTTTATTCCGATTATCGAAAAAATCTAAAAAATTCACATTCTCAACGTTTAGAAAAAAATGTTGTATTTAGTTCATCAAACAGTGTTTTAATATAAAAAAAACAAAATTTAACTCAGTTGAACTTGTTTAACTTCACTTGTCTATCTAACCCCTACCCATAGATCTTGTCAATTACCATAAAGATCGATGGAGCCATGGGCGTAGCGCTCTTTTTCTAAGTAGTACGCCACCACGAGAGCCCGCACAGGAGCAAGAGTAGAGAGAAATAAAAAACAAGTGTTCATGGGGGTCTGGGAGGAAGTTTTTGATATTTAGTTGTATTTGGAGCGAATTTGCAACCATCTGGTACGCCTACGGTGCGTACCCAGCGTACCAGGCGCTACGTAGAAATCAATATATTCTAACAGATCCTAGCATTTATTTATATACAAAGATTGTAGACTACTAATAAAATATAAAACATTATCTTGTAATCTACTTTACGATTTGATTTTAGAATCATTTAAATTATTTGCAGAACTATTTGGCTCAGATATACCAGTCAAATCATATATTTACTGACTTCCAAAGAGGGCGAACGGCAACTGCAGCATGAGAGCTATTTTCCTACTGATGTTTTACATCTTCGTTTTGGAGAAAACAAACACTGAGGAAGGTGAGAGAAACGTTGTAACTGTTAGGCGAGTTGAACCTAGGGGGTAGCCTTTTAAAACACTTTCAGATATCATGCTTACAATATTCCATAAGATGCCTGTATTCTAAAAGGTCTAGCAGGCCTGAATTTATTTAAGCTTAATTGAGAATGCTTCTTTTGACAACAACTTTAAAAAGGTAGATAGGACGTCCTTTAAATGGATTGGTAATGCTCTGAATCCATAGCTTTGGTGAATGCAAAGTGGACATATTATCTAAACCATCATTTTTAATTCACATTCAATATGCTTGCGTTGGAATCGACACATTGCACTATGTAAAATCCCATGATTAATGTGTATGATAACATCTGATATTAATGTTTAATCTGTTGTTTAATCCAGTATCACAGAAAATATCATTCAAAATTAAAACATCTGATATGGAACCATAATATCATAGAGTCTGATATTAAACTATACCAAAATATATTCCAATATTAGTTGATATAATTTAGTTTCACCACAGCTTTAACAGGATTATACCCCATTCATTTTTAGTATAATACATATTAAAATAGATTATACCAATGACAAACAGATGCTACTGTATTATACAGATTTGAAATTCAGAAAAACTTCGTTTTTATAAGTTCAGACCTCAATTAACAAACCTTCTTAAATATTGGTTAAAGCCAATTAAGACCCAGGAAGTATTTTAGAATTTCGGTAATATTTGACGAATTGTATATCTATATAATTCAAGTTGCATAATTCCTAGTAAGATATTATTTTCTCATATGACTAACCAAGATACAGCCATCTTTACCCCATGCAAGATATTGCCATCTTTCATCTTAAAAAGTCACACGTGTAAGATGAGATTTACTTGTGACATCACCGGTCTATAAACATCAACAACATAGCAACAAATACACCGTTGCTACTAGTATCCATGCTCATTCTACAAAACTAAGCTGTGACGTCATAACGATGGAGCTTTGTTGCCTCGTGTATCCATGTATTTTCTACAATAAAGCATAATACAGAGTCATATGAGAAAAACTTTCTTGTACTCGTACCTGTGCAATATCGTCCATTCTTGACTCGCTTTGATAATGTTTCTTTATTTCGTCTGCGACTCGATAAAGAAGAATTATCAAAGCTCATCAAGAATGGACGATCTTGCACAAGTACTCATATAAGAACCTCTATATCTTAAAATTCTTAAATCTTTTAGGAAATAAAATATAAAAACAGTATCGTGTATGATTACTGTCAACCTCTGAAGATATGATATACAGGGTGTTCAATAAGAACTGATAAAAATGCCGTAACTTTTTTGTTTTTCATATATCTTTATAATTTTTCTAGTGTGCATTGTCAAGTATTATACTGATGTACTGTAAAAGTTGCAGGACTGTACCCCCAACAGGGTGGTGGTGCTGGGTTCAGCCAAAGGTGGTTAGTGGTGGATCAAGTCTGCACGAAAAAAGTCTCAAAATGACCAACTTAAAATGTTAATATTGCTCCTCAGCTAGCGCATCCTCTTGTCACACATCAATGTCACCTCTAAATCATTTTGAGTATTATGGTGCGTGCAACCAACAGTTTAATCAGTCAGTCTGTAATTTTTCTGATAGGAATTCATCCAATATTTCTTTTATTGTATTAATCTGACTAGGTGAAGTTACAACTTTTGGCCACCCCTGTCTGGGTTTATCTGCAACTGACTTTCTCCCTCTTTGAAAGAGCGGTACCAACAATATATGCCAGGGATGGATATAGTGTCCTTTCCATAAGCTTCATGAATGTATTTGATTGTATCCTGTTTTAATTTATCTAGGAGTATATGGAACTTGGTGCTGCTTCTAATTTGACGCTGAATATTATTGATATTCTGTTCAGCAGTCATGTTTTTGATGACATTATTTCTGCTGAGTCTGTGTAATGTAATTTCTTCATGAAGTCATCCGATCTTAAATTACTTTGACGTCAGAAATATAATTATGTATGAAAATGTTCACATTTTAAGGCGGTTATTTTGAAAAGAATTTCATGCAGACCTGAACCACGGCGAACCACTTTTGGCTCCACCCAGTAGCACCTTCCTATTAGAGGACATTCTTGTAATTTTCACAGTACATCAGTACAATACTCAACAATGTACAGTAGAAAAGCTAGTCAGAAATTTCAGATACACAAGCAATTTCAACTGACAGATGTTAAAAATATTATTTCAGATTCATGTCAAAAATGCAGTTTCAACTGACAGATGTTATAAATGCTATTTAAGATACTTAAACAAAATGCAGTTTCAACTGACAGATGTTACAAATGTTATTTCAGATACATTACTGTCTAAAATACGATTTCAACTGACAGAGGTTACAAATGTTATTTCAGATACATGTCCAAAATGCAGTTTCATCTGAAATATGTTACAAATGTTACTTCAGGTACATGTCCAAAATGCGATTTCACCTGACATATCTTACAAATGTTATTTCAGGTACATGTTCAAAATACAGTTTCAACTGACTGATGTTACAAATGTTATTTCGTACATGTCCAAAATGCAGCTTTAACCGACAAATGCTATACATGTTTTTTCAGATACATGTCCAAATGGCTGGTACGGGTGTGATGATGCATGTTACAGTTTGTTTACTACGAAAACACACAAGCTGACATGGGTGGAAGCTAGGGAAAGCTGTTGGTCCAAGGATGCCTTCTTGGCTGCAATTACGTCTATTTATTCTTATGGGCGTAGGGAGGCTGCATGCATAAAGGAAACACTGATTAACTGGAATAATAAAGATTCACCTCCGTATATTAACCATGAACGGCAGCAATACATATACGCAGGTAACAATTTAAAAGTCGTTAAAATATGTACTTGAATAAAGGAGTTTCTAAATAGCTAAATAGCAATTCTCGTTTTTTCATGAGATTTAAAAAGATTTGCACTTTTTAACTCTTGTGACTTACTTTTCTTTATTTTTAGCATATTTGAATTCAGTCACAAGTCTTCTCTAGTAATAGCTTTGATCTACACAGTTATGTCATTTATATCATCTTCCATGATATTGTGAAAAAACTTGGGCCAAATCTCCATTGGTGCAATGCTAATATTCATCAAAACCTTGGTTTATTCGTATGACAACCAACAATTTCAATTTTAATCACAATATGTACATTGATATGGTCATACAATAGTATGCCGTTCGAGTTCTAGACAGATTCAACCAACACTTTTTGATAAATCATGAGATTAAGTGACTATTGCAAGTTTCTAGCGTTGAAGTGACTAGAGGTGTGGTCCAAAAGGAATCAAAGACAAACAAGGGTGACATCTATTAGCGATATTCATCTATCTAGAAACTATACAACTGAACATGGTTAATATTTGTAAAGTGTGGGCTGCAGTTATACGATGCTATGAATGCCCATATTTAAAGCAGTGTACCAATTAGATAACGTTATTCTACGTACTCTATCTATAATATTTGAAGTTTATTGTATCTTCGATAAAATTCTTTTCAATTACGATGAAATTACCGGGACCCCTGTGCTAACACAATGAACTGCTATCATTTTTATTGAGTAACTATGTCACAACGTAATTATGTCTGGAACAAGATGGCATGTGTTTCGCTAGCAGCAACTAATTTCTCAATCAACGTATGCATGCAGTGAGCGCATGGTTTCTTGATTCAAAAATTTAATTAGTATTCACTTGGCATCATTACAGAGCGCCGTGTTAGCGGTTTCAGTTCCTCACTTTTTTTTTATCAGCGACGCCACTCTCTTAGTTTTTTAAAAGCACTATTTGGAAGTGTTTTTGTGCCTATTATTAGATTGGGGCTAGATGGGCAAAGTTTCAAGCTCAATTTTCCCAAGTCTAATTGGTGATATACAGGGTGGTCAAAAAAACTGGAAACCCTCACACTGTTTTCCTAATATCTTTGTCATATTAAGAAATAACTTTACACGTTTGTGCATCATTCAATTTCCTACCGGCCTACTATATTTCATGACCATCAGATTGATAGTCACTGTGTTACAGCACTTTAAAGAACATTCCCAATGGCCACTATTGCGGTATAGAGAAACCTGCACATGTCGTCCAAAATGTCCCTACCTATGGGGATATGGAAAATATAGAGTGTATAAAAATGACCTCAGGACAATTAAAGACCTCAAAAGTGAGATGATCTGTATCATTCAATGCCGATGAATGCATTTGGGTTATTGACAACTGGGCGGGTTTGCCTACAACCCGATGATGGCCAAAACTACGGCTTGTTGTTCAAAGTGTTTTAAAATCATTACTATCAGTCTGATGGTCATGAAATATAGTAGGGTAATAGGAAATTGAAGGATTTACAAATGTGTGAAAAATCAGGGAGTAATTTCTTAAAATGACAAAGATATGAGAAAAATGCAGGGTTTCTATTTTTTGACCACCCTGTATGTGGAAATATCCATATATTTTAAGAAAATAGAGTAATTATGAAGAAGAAGATGTAAAATAAACAACGATCTGATAGTTGGGAAAGGTAAAAAGTCAAAATTTCCTCTGTAGCCCTTGTTGTATACAGTAAAAGCCTGAAGGCCAAATACATTGACATTGTAAACGAGAAAGGTTCCAAGTATTATGTTCGCCTTTGAACGAATCCGATAGCGAAATGGTCCGAGTGACGGAATTCCCTCATTCCGTTATCTCATTCGTTATTTTTACGATTCCTTATTGATGAAAAATTGTGAGCAATGGCCTCTTAATTCGCAACCTGTCACCAAAAACTTTTTAATGTCTTAGGGCCCTCTTCGAGGATCCGAAGTTAATTTGAATCTAGGTAGTTTGGTTACAACGGGGGTTGGCCCTAGACCTATCAGGTTTCTCTGTTTTATCAGGAGATGAAATTGGGATTATCGGAGAATCAACGGCATGATTTTTGAAAAGATTGCTACTAACATTTATTTACATTCTCCATATTCCTTCTTTTTTCTTTTAACCGACCATACTCTTCATTTCAAGGTTTAATGACTGGTGCTAGAACATGTGGTTTGTTAGTGTATGAATGCTGTCAAAACATCCAACATTTACATTCTCTAGTATTCCCTCTAAATCTATTAACCCTACTATGGTTTTCATTTAAAGGTTTAATGACTGGTGCTAGAACGTGCGACTTGTTGGTGACAAATAAGAATAGCGCAAATACATCTGAAGTCAGCATTACATGGAGTCAAGCAAATTGTAAAGAAAATGTCACCGATACTTTCATCTGTGTAAAGATGAAAAATACAACATGTAAAGCACATTGGCCGTACTCGTGCGCCGGTTATCCCGCTCGCTACAAGGTGAATGAAGCTATAAAGTGCCAAAACGAAGGGCTGTACACAATACCTACATATACATTCTGGTTCATATCGGAAGATGTAAGATACTTGTCTGCAGGCTTCAACAGAATAAGTTACATAGAAAATGGAATGTTTCATGGAATGCCAAATCTAGAAGAATTAATACTTCATAAGAATCATATACGCGAAATATCCTCGTTTGGATTTAAGGGGCTGGATAAACTCGAAATTCTTCATTTGTACTTAAACACCGAGCCCATGAAGTTGAAGAACAGATCATTTGGAGGTTTGCACAGACTTAAGTTCTTGAATATACACAGTCTAACAAGTTTGGAGTATCCAAATAACAGTAAAATATTTGAAGATTTAATTTCTCTGGAGAAACTCCACATGTGGGGATGGAATATGAAACATGAAGGAGACTTTTTTCTCCCTAATCCACACCTGTTACGTAGATTACGCATGGATCAACTACATGCACACACAATGCTGTTTAGAAACCCAACGAACTATAGTAACCTTGAGGAGCTTAGGTTTTCTAGCAATGATAGAATATTAGATGGACAATTTAATGGGTTAAACAAACTGAAATTTCTTAGTGTAAGATCCATGCAAATACTACGTCTAAATCCTGCCACGTTTGAAGGTCTTCAATCACTGACATACCTGTTTATTGGGGATTCTAACATCGAGACGATCGAGCAACACACATTTGCCAAACTTCAAAATATTGAGCGGATCATAATTTCACAAAAGGCATTGCCCAGATACCCACTAACATTATTTGAGGGACTTAAGAATTTGACTAGTGTTGACAGTAGTCATATGGAATTGTGCTGTATAGTTCCAGCAACAGTGAAAGAGTGTTTTCCACAGCCGGACCACCTTTCCTCATGTGAAGATCTGGTGAGGAACGACATACTGAGGGTGTCTCTTTGGACAATTGGTATATGTATACTACTTGGGAACAGTGCAGTCATAGCAATTCGGTACCGGGAAGACGGAACGAGGCAAAGTATTAATAAAATATTGGTAGTTAATCTATCATTATCGGATATGATAATGGGAGTATACATTATCATAATTGCTGTGATGGATATGAAATACAGAGACACCTACTTTCAAAACCGGGAAGTCTGGACCAAAAGTGGGTTATGCATGGCTTCAGGATTTATTGCATCATTGTCAAGTGAAATGTCCGTGTACATCCTTGTTGTCATGACGCTAGACCGATTCCTCAAAATAGTGTTTCCCTTTAAAATGTGGTTACACCTCTCCAAGCGTGTTGTACATTGTGTTCTCGTCTTTGGCTGGATTCTCTGTACTACCCTAACAGCTTTACCACTTTTCCCTCTTAAATACTTCAGCCCTCATGAGTTCTACACGCAATCCGGCTTTTGCTTACCGCTTATGTTGAATTATGATTCGGCAAAAGAAGCCATGTTTAACAAAGCCATGTTAAACCAACGTGAAAGTTCCGAATTGGAGGAAAGTATTGCATTAGATAGACAAAACATGCAGCAACAATATTCCCATTTCAACGGTTGGGAGTATTCTTTTGCTCTTTTTAATGTTGTCAACCTTATCGCCTTTCTTCTTATAGCTGCTGGCTACTTAGCTATATTCGTTGCTACAAGGATGTCCAGATTAAAAACCAAAAAATGCTTGGGACATGAGAAAGAAAGGAAGATGGCGGCGAAATTGATGTGGATCGTAGCAACCGACTTCTGCTGCTGGGTTCCAGTAATAATCATGGGATTTCTAACCTATTACAAGGTACAGCTGCCAGGTTGGTGTTTTTATGTATATTAGTATTAGTGCACGTGTTCTTACATAACTTCGAGAGATAAATATTATTTTACTTGAGCAAAATAGAGCCTCTAAGTGCGCTCCTTAGTGATTTTTAAATCACCTCGACCTCGATCGTTGGAAAGCTGAGAGTGTCAGCTTTAGGAATCTAACTAGTTTAACCCTGATTATATGATATTAATACATAAATTATGTGATCAAAGTAAGCATACATACTTTATGAATACAAACACATCATTCAATGCCCCCTGTGTCCTTGGATACGAGTATTCGAGACAGCTTTAAAAATTGTTCGGAAAAGTTGGTTGAGGTTACGATAATAGCAAATCAAAAAAATCATGTCAAACCCGCCGTTGACACACTGGATGAAGTACACTAAATAAGTCGCATGATATTCTCGCATGATATATTCCCTTGAATACACTTAATTAGACGACTATAACGGATAGGTATCGATATGGAGAACTGAATCCAACAATGTTTTTCTCTTAAACCAATCATTGGAGACATTCTTTAAAAAAAAACATGGTATTTTATGTAATGTTGACTGATTGACAACAATTTTAATGCGAAAATTATTTAAAAATATTTTATATAACTGTTTTTGTTAACATTTTTTGTTTTTTTAGTGCAATTGTTTTTGCTCCTTTCTACCAATTCTTGAGAATGAAATAAAATGTCTTTCTGAACCTTGTTGGAACAAAATAGCATATACAACATGTTTTTAGACCTCTCAATATTAAAGTTATACAAAGGAAATTTTGGTTGATTTTAAAAAAGTATTCAAAAATTAAAACAAAATCCCCCCAAAATAGATAAAAATCAAGAAAACCCTTTTATTTCATTAATAACAAGATACTTTTTTAAAATCAACCAAAATTTCCTTTGTACAATTACAATATTGAGAGACCTAAAAATGTTGTGTTTATGTCGTTTTGTTCCAATGGGGTTCGGAAAGATGTTTCATTTCACTGTGGAAACATGATACCAAGAACAAAACAAGTGTTCGATGTGTTTTTTAAAACAGTATAGATGAAACTATATATATCCATTTCAAATTATATTGTTACCATTCAAATGATGGCCATTAAATTGACAATTTGTAAGATTTTCAGAAATTTCTGATGACTGGTTTAAAAAAAACGTGTGTTCAAAAATTCGCCATATCGATACCCATTCTTTATCATACTCCGTGGATATGTTAGTCTTCAACATACTGTCCCGAGACACTGCATGGGATTTCGTCAATTTATTCGACAACAATTTCGTTTCACATTAAAAGTTTTTTTTTCAAACAAAAAGGACGCGCTGAAATTATACATTTCAGAAGTTTAGAAAAATAGCCACAATAACGTTGAGTGGAATCAATTGATGGTAGGTGTAGTAGTTGTTGTTTTATATTACTATCACGTATCTGTCACACATTATAAAGTAGTGGTAAATATGCTCCTAGCGATCGAATAAATGCGATTCATGGCTGAAAATCTTGGATAACTCAATGTACGGCTATTTAAGAAAGAACACATTTATAAAAAGGCCGTACATTTAGTTTTACTTGTAGAACTACATGTACTATACCATTTGTATTTTGGAATTATATAATATCATTGATAAGTATACTTATCAGGGCATATTTAAATAGATATTAGGTCAAAGGGAAATGATGATACCTAATGCCAAGTCAATGGTGTTCATTTTCATGTTAGGGCAATTTGATGATTTGCATTCAGCTAATCTGGATTCAAACTCACAAATATTGTCCAAAATATCATGAAATTAAAAATGAAATTAAAAATGCCCATTGGTGATGAAAGGGTTAATATCTAATTTTGCATTCAGTGGAAATTCAAATGGAGGCTAGATTCCTAAAGCGGACACTGCTTTTCAATGATATATTATTAATTAAAACCCCAGTGCAGATGATGTCTTTATATGACCTTTGTTTACTTTACTATATCGTAATTTTGATGCTAAATTATTCAGACGTCATAAAGCACATTATCCTTATAATCGTTAATCAACTTCTACCATGAAGACTTTAAAACGAACCTCAATTTTTTGTAGAACTGGTCCAATAGTGTCACGATTAATGTCCATATTTTAAGGATCTCACAAAGTGGAAATGTTTGTATGAATAGAAATACTTTTAGCTGGAATAGGATCAGTATTTTGACTAAAGAGAAGGAAAGCACATGCACAGCAAACATAAAAATGTCGAAAGTGCATTTAACAACAATACATGAAAATGAAATTAGTATTGTTTTCTTATAATAATTATTCATTTTCAGGAGAAATTGTTGCATATGTAAGTATATTTGTGTTGCCAATCAACAGCGCTATCAACCCAATACTCTACACATTTAGCACACTTCCCTTGAACGTACTACGGCTAAAATGCAAGTGTAGATCAGCACCTGAGCCAACACAGACGCCAAACCCAACTTCAACAAATGATTCAGTTATAGCAGCCACAACAAGCACTAAACGTTGAGTGTTAAGATCGAAGAAATAGAACTATCAAAGGAAACGAGGTGATGAATTATGAATACCAGCATGTAACAATTGTGTGTATATCCTAACGATCGAACTATCAGTCTAAAGAAACAAAGCTGATAAATTATGAACAATAGAATGTAATATTTGTGTATATATCTAAGTGAATGAGCTTTCAGTCAAAAAGGGATGTATTATGGACACTAGGATTTACCATTTGTGTATGTATCCAAGTGATTGAACCATGAGTTAAATGAAACGAGGTGATGAATTATGAACACTGGCATGTACAATTTTTGTATATATCTAAGCGATTGAACTATCAGCAAAAATAAACGAGGTGATTAATTATGAAAACCCGGATGTAACATTTATGTACATATCCAAGCAATTAACATGTAACATTTGTTTAACAGACACGTTAGTGAAAAGAAACTAGGTGATGAATTATGAACATTAGCCTGTGACATTTGTGTATTTATCCAAGTGATTGAACTATCAGTACAAAGACACGAGGTGATGAATTATGAATACTAGCATGTAACACTTATGCATATATCCAAGTGATTGAACTATCAGTTCAAAGACACGAGGTGATGAATTATGAACATTAGCCTGTGACATTTGTGTATTTATCCAACTGATTGAACTATCAAATGAAACGAGATGATGACTTATGAATACTTGCATGTAGCATTTGTGAATTTATCGAAGTCGTTGAACTATCAAAAGAAATGAGGTGATGACTTATGAACACGAGCATGTAAACTTTGTGTATGTTTCCAATTGATAAAACTATTAAATGATATGAGGTGATGAATTGTGAACGCCAGAGTGGTCAGTCAAAATAAATGAAGTGATGAATTATAAATACTTGCATATAACACTTTCAACTTTTTAAAGGGCTAGAAAAGTATCATAACATTATGGTATCGACATGAAGTTTTGTACAGAAACTTAAGGAGAGGCATAATTTGCCATTCAAATATTTAAACTAACACTGACTTAACTTTCTTCGTCAGATCTTTGAATATCAATGGTAAATTGTTCATGTGTCTGATATTTACCGTTTTTTCTCCTACAAAAACGTGACTTTCTATGATTTAGGTAGGGTAGTGTGATGATATACAGTGTGTCACACAAAAATACCATGCACCCACATAATGTTGCATAATATTTTTTGTCGGCATAAATTCTTACTTGTTATTGAACTCCATTCACTCCATTCATAAACTGCATTTTTGTGGATTAAACTGCAATAATAGAGGCAACTTAATAAACAGAAAAACGTTCCAGTTTGTATTGGCCCAACCTGTAGAACCTTTCGCACGGGGATGAGAGCGGAACTGGTCAATGGTGCGCTCAAGCAATATTTGTGGAAGTTCTCTCCTCTTCTCCTGCAGAAGCTACTCATGATGCCCCCATCTGCTATCACCGGGCTTTGCGTCTGGTGTATTGGGCGACCATTCATCAGGACTAATGAATCGAGGGATATTCTCCAACAGATATTCCAAAGTGACTTTTACCCGATGGCTCAGAGCGTTATCCTGCTAGAATATGTAATCACCTGGGGCTGAGAGAGCCCTCACTCTTGGCGGATGTCCCTTTTGAAGAACATTTTTGTCCGGTTCAATCTAGTGAACATAATGAATGTGTTACCGCTGGTCGTATAAAATCATAGAAAGTCACATTTTCTAGAAAACGTTGAATCTTAAACACATGGACAATTTACCATTGATATTCAAAGATCTTTGGATTATGTTTTTTTCCCGTTAGTGCAATTGATTATTATAAATTTGATAAAAAGGTTGCATGTAGAGGTGTCATATACTGTAAAAGTTGAACGTGACTTCAAAAGTAGGCCTACCTAAACCTCTTTAGTAGGAATATTTCAAATCGGAATATATTCATAATATGTGTCATCATCATGTATTTGATAAAATCCTAGAATATTAAAAAGTAAAGAGATTAAAACATCCTTAATGTTGTCCATCTTCTGTTTTGTATTTTTGTACCTCTTCTAAACACAATTTACAATTGTGAGTAAGTATTAGTTAAATTAGTAAATGGAAATAATGATCTACTTGTTTTCTGGGCTTTGCTGAAAAGACCAAGTCATTATTTCGAAAGGGGACATGCCATTAAGAGGCCATTATCTGACTTAGTCATTTTTTCAAAAGTGTGAAAATAAAAAAATTCATGAAAAGTTCTTAAAATATTCTGAATAACAAGTTGAATATATATATTTAATGATGGTACAAGCAAAAGTCTGAAAATGAACATGAAATGAAGGGTTTTGACAGATGCAAAAGATGGTAGATTTGTGATGAAGAAATAGAGGTTTTTGCAGTAACAACACAATTACCTCGAATTAATCCGTTATGAGAGGCTGAAGACTAAACTTGACATAATTTTCAATCTCAGATTATCAGTAGTATCTAACTTAAGCCGGACAGCCACTCAAAATGTATATGGAGCCCATAAGATTCATTTTTCTCAATTGAAGTCACTATTTCTGTTTTTAGCTTCAGAGGATAGGAGGTACATGCTAAGTTTACCTAGATCACAAGCCTTACCACAAATATAAAGTATATAGGAATAGAGTTGATATGTGTGAAAACCTTAAACTTCCCATTTTATTGGGGATGGAACTTGTGGACCATGTGTATTTCTAACTTCTTCACATGTGCATGGATCTAAAATTGTGGCAGCCATCTTGGATTTGTCATATTATGTGGACATGGTTTTGGTTGTGCTGAATTTGTTTCAAAATAACATTTCTTGTATACCTTCGATAAGTGAGATAGGCATTTGAAATTTAATACAGATAGTATACTTGACATTTAATGCAGTAAACGGTAATACAATTCATTCTTACATAATAAGTGAGTCCAGACAAAAAGTTGTTATTGTGTTAGTTTAACTGGGCATAAATTACACTCATTGGTCTTGGTTTTCTTAATTGGCTTGGATAAAATGTTGTTCTGTTTATTCAGAAAAGGAGTATAGTTCAATATACAAGTTCACATTCGTTCCATCCTCTTGTAGAAATGAATCTCATATTATTCCATCTCAAATATAGAACACAAAAATATAATGAAAAAACAAGTTTCTATTAATTGCATAAGTTAGCTTCTATGTCATGACTGAGTTTGGGTTCCGCTTCTAGGGAAAATTTATCCATCTGGAAATATCGTATTGACCATTGCTATACACTTCATATTTAATCCTCCCAGTAAATAACATTGATATACAGTATATAGAGATTATCCTATATGAGGTTCAGGATATTGGGATTATCCCAAGGCCAATATAATATATTTGCCCGAGGGCCGCAGGTCCCGAGGGAAAATATGTTATATTGGCCAAGGGATAATCCCAATATCCTGAACCGACTATAGGATAATATGTTTATCCCATACCAATCTTGGTCATCCGGTACACATTGTTCAATCGTGGAAATATTTTAGAATATTCATGTCCAGTTTTGTTTTCTTGGCCGTGACCGAATTTCCTGTTCTCTCAAATATTCCCACATTTATTTTCTCGAATATCTTATTGATTAAGTGGAATGTTCCTTCCCCTTTTTTAAACCATCAAACAGATCCCGATTATCTGTGTTTTCTCCATTGTCGTTTACAGTCATTACGCGAACGTTACAAATTATGAACAAATATGCGAGCGGCGATTATGACGTAGCGGGCAGATATACTATATCTGCCCGCTCGGAGCGGGACGTAAAGCTATATCTGCCCGCTGATGAAAATATAAGTTTTTACAAACCGGCTTTATGTACCTATAACACGTCCAAGTATGGGATAAACAAGTATATATGACATCGAGGATCTGGGGTTTAGGTAATGTGAGACATGAGGCCACTTGACTTTTTGAATCTCATATTCAATATTCTTTCTTTAAATCCCCATATTTAATATTTTTGGAGTGGAAATTCAATTATGTACCTATTTTTTATTCTTTATCCCATAGTTGAACTCTGTTCCACTCTGTTAGGTAACATGAAAACATATTTATGATATTCTGCAAATGCGTGGAAAAAGTGATATCTGTGGAATACGGAAAATATTTCACAGATATCACCTTTTGGCAGGGATTTGAAAACTACCACCAATATGATGTGTTTTGTTACATAGTGATTTCATGACATAATGGGGAAGAATGAATGAATGGATATTGTTTTGATATGCTTTGTTTAGTTTTAGAGGTGAACTATGGGAAAAATAGAACATCCTATGAACTCATTGATATCAATATCTGCGCTAATTCGCTATGCTAACTTGGCAAGATATTGACATCAACTCGTAGATAAAGATAAAATCATTTAAAATCATATGATATCCTATACATATCCTTTACTGTGCCACAACTTTCTCATATGTTATATATTTTGGCACAGGCCATCATTTATTTTCCTTGAATTCATGCTTTTGTTCCTCGTTTTAGAAATGAGAAGATCTTTGATTTTCCTTGTATTTAAGTTGCTTAAATGTTGCTCTGTGATGTTGATAAAAGTCAATAGTAATCCATTACAGTCACAGTTGAAATGTACGGATTGCTAGCCCAGAATCTACCAAAATAGCATTTGCATTTTGTCAATATTGCCCTATGTGCTTTTCCATGAAAACAATTTTAATCGTATCTTTTCTTCAGTATTTCATATATTACATTTTAATATATTTAAATTGGTTAATATTTATATACTATTTACTTAGACAACAATAAATAAAGATTTTTTTGTAAAAACACCAAAAATTGTATATGATCTTTAAATGAATGTTGTGTGAACATCAAAGGTCAAAATTCGCTGAAATTGTTTTTTTTATAAAGCACAAATGATTTTTCTTAAATATGATATGCATTATTATCAGATATCTTTGGGGGCTAAAATAGGCCCTTAATGACACCCGTCCTTTTAAGTTTTACCACTTGAGATACTGAAGGATGTAGGAATGGTATAATAAATTTGCAATGAACTCACACTTTTTTCACTTGGTACCTTTTGAGGTGGATCCCGGCTACACCCCCAAAATGCAATCTGATTTTCGACGCCGTTTCGGTGCCAAATTTCGGTGCCGTTTCGGCACCAAATGGACTGACTAGTCCGGTAGCAAATTTTGGTGTCGAAAGGTTTCGGTGCCGGAACGGTGTCGAAACGGTGCCGGAACGGTGCCGAATTTGTTCGATGCCGAAACGGTGTCGAATTATATTGGCTGTGTATGGCATTAATGGTTGAGAAATAGGGATCGAAACCAGCCATAGTTTTCTCCTCATGACCATTGTGAATTGTTGTGTTTTATGGATTATGATGACGA